TGAATCAAAAGTTTTTCTTTTGTCTCACTCCTTGCAAATTTGAATAAAGAAAACGATGTTTGTAAACAGTGATGTCTCCTATGAGAGTCTCGTTTGCGATATATTAATTAAGTGGTGACATCCCGCAGCTTTATTTACAATTTTTGATATTTCGAACGCAATTGCTTGCTACTGCGATTCTTTAAAAGATTATTTGAAAAGTAGAATTCTGCTTTATTATGCGCGGTTTAAGGTTTTATGTTGTCACGGTCCCACCAGCTTTTCAGAGCCAATCTCACATATATTTGAAAGTGCGACGAATTAAATTACGTTGGCATATTTATTGTATCAAAAATGCATCCAGAGCGAACGCTGTTGAGATATGAGCTTTTTCGCTCACGTATTTTTTGACGGGCAATATCGACCGTCTGCCAAGAGTAGACATTTTTTTCTTTCGTCTCTTTTCTTTAAATGAAAACATAATACTAAGCAAAAATAAAAGACACGAAATAATTGTTATATAATTATCATTCGATCTTACATTCAGTTGTAAGGCTTTAAATGTATGATTTAGATTGGCCTAAATTTTGACGCAAGATAATTTACACGAATTTATCATGCCGGGGTCCTGACATTTTCTTTGAAGTATATCTATTCAATAGCGTAGTGAGTCTTATTAACCATGTCACTCAATCATATTTAAAACAAGGCAGTTGACAAGAGCTATTCAAACAGGCATCGAACAATAAACTTACCGTGTTATAAGTTACACTCTTCTGTCGCTCTTTGGTTCTCGTTTAATGTCATAGCAAGTCAAGTTACCTTTGGTATTGTTCATCCAATCGCTATAGTTTCAGTTTCAGTTTCAAGCAGTCCGTAAAATTTTTGGAATTAAAACGACAGTATGTTAATTTTCATCAATGACGTCACAATTATTGTTGTGTGAGACCCCATGAAGAATCTCACAGAATCTTGCAGGGTCCAGTTCTTCGAAGGTCGACTAGCGTTTACTCGGGTTAATTTTAATCTTGGTCTCTTTTTCTTTTGCTCAAAAGCATTTTCTCGGATTATTTCTGTACCTTTTTTGGGGGGATGGGCAACCAATCATCAGATAGTAGACGAGAACCCGAAATAATATCTCAATTCAAATTTCGTACTAACCGGCTTTGAACAACCGGACCCAGAATATTCTAAGTGTTGTTATAACTGCCCTTTATTATTCCACTATTATGTCATTTTACCATATAAGGTCAAGAGAACAAGCAAAATACGAGGCCGTAATACACCGTAGTGTCCTGGTTTAACCGGTTTACAACAGGGCGAATACCGGCGGATGCAAAAGGAGCAACTGTGGCTGACAGAATCAGGATGTTTTGGACACTCTCATTAGAAAATAGAAGCAAAATACCATTTTTCTTTTGCAGTGAAATAATTAACCTCTCATTCAATGGTTTGGCATAGTACGCGCGAACATTTTGCTAATTGTTAACGTCATTCTCACAGACAGAATCAGGATGTCTCTGAATACTCTTACCAAAAAATAGAAGCCAATTGCCAGATAATTTTTTTTTTGTAGAGGAATAATAAACCTCTTATTCGATGGTTTAGCATATAATATGCTAAACCATCGAATAAGGTGTATGTATTAAAAATGACAGAGCATTACTAGCCCGTGTACAAGGCATTTACAATCTGTGTTTAACTTGCTAGTGGACATCCTTATTGGCATCGGCCATGTTATCAATTGACAACTGTCAAAAAAGGTGTCTGCTGACCAGTGTCAAATGACTATATCGCGGGCCCGAGTGAACAACTCATTCAGGTAACGTGTTTTTTTAAAGTTATCCTCCGACCAGTTATTGGTTTAACTGATCGCAGGCTCAGGTCCACAATAAACAGGCCATATAATAAATAACTTATAGTGCCTCGCCCGTTCGGTCATTACAGGAAAATCTCCGACCTCGGCCTTGATGTCTTAACCGCGCTATCGCTCAGTCAATGCGTCAAGGTCTCGGTCTGTGATTTCCCTGCATGTAATGACCTCACTCTCGGTTAATAAGTGGTATACAACGACACTTTTATGGGAAAGAGTATTGGCACATAAAACGTACGGTAAAGGCTTTTAGGCTTTTCAGGTCGTTCAAGACTATCATTCTTTAGATATAGCACTAGCACTTGGTTTAAGGCCTGATTCTTCAAAGTTCCATCATCAATAAAATTGTTGTCTTCTTACAGCCAGGCACTTCATCTGGCTTTGTAAAACAAATGAATTGATACAGACACTTGGTGGAATACGTTAAATCGATCCACAGCATACACGTTCACGAAACTGCTTAATATCAGTCTTTACCTAAAGAATGGAATTTACTCAACGGCATTTAAAAGCTTCAACTCTCTTTTGAAGCTGCTCTCCCTTGTGTCTCCGATAAGTCCCTTGTATCTAGCCTTCTTTAAGGGTGCCCATCGGGTTAGCATAGTTAACTGATATTTGGCGTAAAAAACAGTAGTTAACTGATAATTGGCCAAAAAAAATAGTAATTAACTGAGAAATGAAAAGGTAACAGTTAAGTGACATTCTGTTAATACAATCGTTGATGTTAATGAAAGCAACAAAGTTTTGCAAACAAAAATGCTATTTTTTGACTTTTTTCTGTCTCGCTGACGACCTGGCCGGGCGACCTGGTGGCACTGTCGTTAACTGATATTTCTATATTCAGGCAAAAAGGCACCAGGGCAGTACCCGGCAAACAGAAAGCGTCAGTCATAGAGCTGGCTGTAGATAACTCAACGAATAATTCGTTGAATATCAACAAGATTTCTGTGTTCGGAAAAGGAAAGTACTGTTTTCACCGACCCAGAAGATCGTAAAGTTAAACATTACTAACCAAAGAAAAAGCTGTGACTCTTAGCATTGGATCTGGCCAAAAAGAAGTTCTGATGACTCAAAAATCAGCATCTTTCTTTTAAGTACATGGAATTTGTACTTACGAAAAATCGTTTTGGTAACTGATGTTGCAGTTCTCAATATTGACACTATTAAGGTCGTGTTTCAATCGATCATTCTGAAACAGTTTCATTTCTTAAAACCCTTGGATACCTTTATGACGCTTTTGAAATTCGCGAAAAAGATAAAATTGAGGACGCGAAAGAGTATGTCGACAAAGTCTGTATCGAGGTACAAAAAACTTCTCAGTGACAACGCAAACTATTTCTCTCTTTCATACAAAACATTCAGTAGAGCTTTGAACTACGCCCAAGACTTTGGAACCACAGTAAAAGAATCGCTTAAAAGAACTACGAATTCGAAGTGGGCTACACTCACAAAAAGTCGAATTGTCTCGTGTCAAATACTTTTATGCCTTTGTCAGCAACTCTCAACTATGTCTCTCCCATCCGTGTAAACAGTGACACAAGAAGATGAATCTGGATAGAAAGCTTACGACCTGTTTGACGACGAACTATAAGGAGCGAATCAACTCGAGATAAAGCGGGAACTTTCCCACCAGCGTCACTGAACTATGTCATGCTATTTGCTATGTTTTTGAAAAGCTAAAACGTTTTTTCTTACATCAATTGAATTGCAAAAATCTTGGTCCAGTTTGTCATTTTCAAAGACTATATTTTGGCATTGATGTTGTTTCCGGTCGTCTCTTGCAATGGATTGCAAGGATTGAAAATGGATTGAAACTTAGGCTAAGAACAAGATACAGGACATACAGCAACCAGTTAAGTACGAGACTGACTCAGATAATGAGAATGACGATGAAGGTGACTTTGAAGTAGTTTATAGCGGGACATGCATGACCAGGTCGGGAAGATCAGTACGAGATCATGACTGGTGCGTCTAGCCTGGATGTACGCTGATGGTTATACGGCTGATCTAATTTGTACTTACAGCGAAAATCGGTTAACAGGGGTCTCAATAGCTATCGCTTACTCATTTTTACCACTTAGGTTAGATAATTATGTTCTTTTAATTTCTATATTTCCAGTTACTTTATATAAATTGTACTATAAATTGGCGGAGTTTATGTGAATTCATGTAAGTCTACACCTTGATTTTATTAGGGCCTACCCCAAAAGTAACCCGAATTTTCTTTACTTCAGCACGTCAGTTATGACGGAATAATATTTGCTGTAGGAAAGTGAAAGTTGATAGCTAACCAAAACTAGTAGTCAACTGAGAATTGGGTACCCCCATTAGCACCCTCTTTTTTCCTTTCTCGTTTTCTGTATCTGTTTATGCTTTTGCCTTGTTCATTGTTAATATTCTCTTCTTCCACGTATAATCAGTTCCTATAATCATAGTTGCAACTTTGAAATCCGTTTAGTACCTTTTGTTATAGTTGTCTTTTTCATTTGTATTGAAATTTGTAATGAAGTGTTGTAATAAAGCCAAAAAAAATTATATTCGAAGTAGTATAATGGTCCAGTTTCGTCCAGTTTCGAGCTCGCTATGACCATTGAATAAAAGAACTGAAGATGCATTTTTTTTTTTACAGGCTTAGCCTCCATTTGAAATAAATATATAATCACAAATTCCAACGAGAAGAAGACCTATTTATTACTCTCGCTGTCTATTGTATATTGTCAAATTTCAAACACTTATAATTACAGTCAACTCCCCGGCTTTATTGCAGACAATGTTGGGACCTCGAGGTAGTGTCCTCATTACCGAGAATCCGTAATAGCGGGAGTTTATTTCAGTCAAACGTCTGTAATTTGTGTTTGCCGCGGATTTAGCTGCTGTCCGTTTCATCAAGGTGTCTGTTATAGCGGGGTGTCCGCAAGGCAAGAGTTGACTGTACTTGCCGGAATTTGTGAATATTTTGCTTAATGTCGAGGCTAAACCTGTAGGAATGTCACGTTAATTAATGTTTGCATTCAGCGGTAATGAGACCTTTAAAAGTTGATAGTTTTGTGTCAAATATAGACCTGTTGAGCCCCTTTTAAATGAATGTCACTGTATCACGCACACAGTCCTAAAATGACCAGTAGAATGACTAAAAATCCTTCACTAGTCAAGCGAGTCGAATTGCTACAGGGATCCGTAAGCTGACCGTTGCAGAAGTCGCTGTCACAACACAGTTTGCAGTGAGACGTTTTCTGGTATTTGCCGACTGTCCATCTGATAATGGGGCTGTTGCAATCTCTTTCGCAGCTTCTGACGACTTGTGCGGTAGTTCCATTGGGCAAAACCTTCCTGTACAGAGCGCAGTGATGGTAATCTCCTCCGCATGAGTACTCCCTCGTTCCGTACAAAGAGTTCGTACTGCATTCTCCTTCTTTAGAGTTGCAGTAATGGCACACAATACCACCTACGAGAGAGTCAGAAATTATAAAGAAATTAAAATTTCTTTTCCATTCGCCATGAAAAGTGCGTCTGCTTTCCTTGGTAAATAACAGGACGGAAGTAACAGTCGACTGTGCCAGTGTAAAAATAATTGGCCTGGAAAACCACCTGCTTTCACGCAAGATACGCGAGGCCATAAATATTCATAATCGGCGAATGGGAACGAACCGTTATCAGGGCTACCACCTTCCCCAATAGATCTTCTTATCGATAAGGCGGCCTTATTGGTTTAATTGGATTTAAGAAATATTATGGAATGCCCAGGGGGCATGAGCACAATCCGATATACTCGCTCAGTATTTGCGCGCACTTTTCGGGTCAATTTTTCGCGAAGTTTTCCTAGAAAAAGATTGTTATGGAAAAAAAAGATCGTTGTGCCGTGTTTGGATGCGATAATGATCGCCTTTTTCTCGAGAAATATACATTGAAGTTCCCTTTTTGCCTGAAATGCGCTCGTAAATGCTCAGCGATTGCACCCTGGGCATCCCATAATACTCCTATATTAAATTTAATATGGCCGCCGTATCGGTAAAAAGGTCTTACTATTTATTGCAGCATCATGATCAAATCAAGGCGGCGAGTAACCACAAACCGTCATCGCTGATGAAGGAATCTCGATGGGTTCCGAAAGCTCTGAGTAACTTTCAACAAATTGTTGGTGTTGAAGAATATATAAATATATTTTTCTGTAATGTCTCAAAAGCAGAATCTTCACTCTGTCACGTTTAGTTTACTTAAGGTTAACCCACCTCAATAATTCTTTTACAGGGAATCTGGGCTCATGTGCTACGAGCCAATGCGCATGGAATAGAAAATACAAAAGCTCTCTTTTGGAATAGCAAAATAACAAGAATGAGATTCGTAAAAGGATATTAAACTATGCTCCGCTGTTAGGGTAGATGGGAATGGGTGATTACGATCGAAAAAGCGGTGAAAAAACGACTTCCATTCTTTAAAGTAGAAACCAGGACACCAGCGGACACATTCCAAAGAAAATTGATACCATCTGTTCCTTAAGGACCCTTCGAATAACAACAGTCAAGGTGGTTTAGGATCGATGACGTACCTTCGGTCTGAAGTAAATCTGTAATAACCACGAGACAAAATATTTTGCAAAGCGAAGCACTCATCGGTAGAATTCAAAATCAGCTGGAGATCGCGCAAAAAATGTTTGATACATGCCGGTTTTCATCTTAGTCTTTTCCCTGAAATAAGAAAAAGCGAATTCGTAAATCATAACTAGTCGGGGACAACAGTTTTCCCTCCTGTTGAACTACTCTCTTTTTCAAAATTAAACAGGAAATTCGACGGACAAGAAGAAACAAATGCAAGAATTCTCAGGTAAGTTCTGAACGTGCGATAGCGTCAGGCAATCTTAAATATACGAAATTTGTGACATGGCTGGGATTTTCTTAGTGCGATTTCCTATACTGACACATTTAAGTAGTTTCCACCTTATCATCTAAAGTTTTTTTGCCTTGGTACGCGTTTAGAAAAGAGTTCTACAAATACGATTTTCGCATAACATACTTGGGCGTGCTATAAATACGAAATACTGGGAAGTGTTTTGAATGTCTGACACCTTAAGACCTTAAAGTAAATGTGTATACTAAATTTGTGTAAAATTTCTGTTTCTCCACACGAGAAACCTTTATCTCACTCTAAATCCATGAACTTTCAGTTAGTTAAGAGTATTATGGTTCGCCAGTTATTTATAATAAGATTTTCACTAAAATGAAGCGACAATCGACCTGTAAATAAACAAGAAATCAGCCCTGAATTTAAATATGCAGATAGTCACTGGCAAACAACTGAGCTGATCAAATATAGCAAAAAAAATTCAAAATCGAAACCAGCATTTTTTGTACTCTGTGGATGCAAAGATTTCTTGCTTTCAGCGAAAGAAAAAAGGTTAAAATTGTACTAAATTCTGTCTAGATATTTTTTTTTAGCAAAAATCAACTTCAAACCCAGCCAGAGGGATAAACACCTGCTCTTAAAGTTCGGACATTGTTATTCATCACTGCAACTGAAATGATATTATCTATGATATTATCTATAGGTTCGTTTATAACCACTACCCAGTTCGAAAGTGACCCTACTCAAACTCGTTCAATAAGGGAAAAATAAAGGCTCTCTTACGCTTGAAAGCGTCGATAAAGGACTCTTTCCAGAAGCCGGACCCATATTACTGATCTCCATTTTCTTCAGCGTTGGCGTGTTGCTAGGATTCCCGAAAATCAGTCATTTGTGACGTCATACCTCGCGCAAAAGCGTTGCGATGAAATTTTTTTAAGCCATGGCACGCATTATCTTGCATAATGTCAAGCCAAGACAAGATCATTTATTGAACTCAGCTCGGTTTTACATATTATACAGATCAGAAATTTACATAGACGATTAAATACGATACAAGTCAGAAATAAGATAGTCCACTTTCACGACTTACATTCTCAAATGTCCGAAATGTCGTAATAGTATCGCAGTCTGTATCGGTGGCTAAGTCGCTGGTAGGTAAGCAACGTATAAACACAAGAGCGCAGGTAATTCAGGGAAATCACGTTATAGCAATGACAATGTTGTGGTTCAATACTACGGGCTCGTGCCATCTAAGGGACTCCGAATTCCGGAATCCGGAAAAACTTTGCTCATGGAATCCGAAATCCTGGGCTTTGGAATCCAGAATCCAAGTTCCACTGACAAAGACTGGAATACAGTACCTGCAATCCGGTATTCACGGCGTAAAATCCAGAATCCAAGACTGTCTTGGATTACCCTACATGAGGCGAAATGCGATCGGCTCCTGGCGAAATGGTAATGTCTGATAGCGACTGACGATATCAGAGGATCACAGGGAGTTCAACCTCGCGATCGTCTCCAGTACTTTTCCTCTTTCCTTTTTTTTCCCCTTTTCCCGCCCCTCCCATTTTTAAGGGAAAAGCACTGGGGACGAGGTTGACAAGGTGCTAAGGAGGTACTGCGCATCCAAGAGTTAAGTACAATAGTGAACAGGTATAAGAATAGGACCTATCTCCCATATACCGCGCGTTAAAATGGTCACATGATTGATGATTTACGATCATCACGTGACCTTTAGTTGAATAGAACATTAAACACACGATCAAACTGATGAAGAAGTTGAGATAACGTCGAACTATTTCGGTGAAAGCTATAATCTATTTTTACCCTGAGGACGAAAATTTCCTTGACTACAGTATGATGATGGTTTTAAAAAAAGGAAAATAAAATTTGAACTAAGGATAAAACTGGACCACAGCAACTGTATTGTCAAGTCAGTGTTAGGTTAGACGATGTTAAACCACTCAAATCGCGCTGTCCGTCGAACAACACCAGGTAAAAATATTTGCACTTCATTGAGGATTTTCATATGTTATGCTTGGGTCACCCGTGCAAGAAAGGAACATCGCGTACGAAAAGTCGCGGTTGCCTCTGTTATGCATCTAATAGACTTTACTCATGATACCCGCTATATATCTTTGCACGCGCATTAGGATTCATGGGATATTGCCATGTCACTTGGAGCGCTTTCCATTTAGTCAAAATTTCCGGAATTTCGGGTTCGGCGGTAAATGGAACACGTTTCGTCGGTTCTTCCCACTGGAAAATTCCCAGAAAAAGTGGAAAATCTAAAAAGATGGGACTGTTTTCCCGAGCGGAATTTCGTGTTCCATTTATCCGTTTCTCCTAGTTTGTACCAGTTCCAGGCGGCCACGGTCGGGCAAAGCGACGTACCGGGGTTTACGACCAAATGGAACAACTTTTTACCAATCGGAAATTCCACTTTTGCTCCCATCGAAATTTCCGCTTTTTTCCTAAATGGAAAGAGCCCTCGGTATTTCAGAAGTGATAAAATTTGCCAGTTCGAGTCATCGCGGAAGAGTTTGTGTATTCTGTCAAAACCAGACGACAATTTAAAAGTCATACAGGGGCATAGCTAGGATTTTTCAAAGAGAAGGTGTCACTGTGTCACACCAAGGGTTCTTACCAGATTGAAATGTCGCATCCATGCCGTGTTTTACTGAAACCGACATTTTTTCGGATGAGTAGTGAGAGTGGGAGGAGGGACAAGCCTACAAAATAGCCGCATAGATGAATTAAGTCCACGTAACATGAATTACGCCCCTTCGAATTTCGACAAAATTTACATTATTAATGTTTGCTGGGAGGAAATCTTTGCTCGCTACTGCATTCAAAGAAGTAACAATGATCGCTTCCACCCACAGTTTGTCACTATCGTCTTTACTATCAAAAGTTCTTCATTTTCTGTTGTCTATAATTAGCAAATTCGACCACGACTTCCTGCATTGGCAAATTTCTTCACTTGTTTGCTCCCCTGAGAAACCACATGACATTGCTTTTACCTCAACAGTCCTTAAGCGCGTGCAAAGATTGCGAGTATCGTGAATAAGGTCTATCTGAAGAAAGTGGTTGGCAGCATTTCGCCCAGCGTAAACTGTGGAAAAGCCAAACCATCGAGCCACGAATCTACCTTCGGCGCTCAAGTATAAAGTGCTATAACGGTGATAAGTACAATAATTAATGCCCCGTATTCCACTCGTCCTACTTTGGATTTAGGATTGCAAGGGTCTATAAGGTAGTTATTACACAAGTCACCATCGCAGCACAGTACGCAATGTTTTGTCTTCTGATATCTTCCTATCGTATATGTCGTATTAAAACTCCTACACTCGGACGCGCAGTATCTTGTATACTGATGAAGGGAACTGTTTCCAGGTGGTTCTTTCTTGTAAACCGCACAAAACTCATGATCTCTAGAACATGTGGTTGTTGCCACTCCACTGAGCGATTCAGGGGTACAGCCGGCGTCCGATTTAGAGTCGCATTTATAGCATACCGCACTTCCTGCGATGACAAGAAAACAAGAATCAATTCTCTAAACTGAGGGGTTATCACGTCCTTCAATTCCCGGAGGTGGGGGGCGTTTGTACTTCCAAGGAGTGGGCTAATGGGTATGTCCCACTGGATGGGGTCTCATTTTCAAGACTGTATTAACTATTATGAAGTTGTAATTTTATAAGAGTTACTAGAATGGGTCGCACATATTGAGGATTTTGGGTGTCAGAAAATTCAGGTATTTAGAGGTTTAAGTATAGAAAGATTTATACCACAGTAAGTTTAACAAATGTCTCAGTTCTTTTCAGGGTGACCTAGTTAAAAGGCTTTATAAGGTAGATTCATAAACAGAAGGTGACTAAGATGGGATTGCGAAAATTACTTGTTTCCTAAAGTGACTAAGATGGGGTCTATAGTATGGCCACAGAATAGACTACAATGGGGTAGGAATTCTGATAGTCTAGTGACACATACCCAGCAAAAATTAACCCAAGTACCGCCCCCCCCCCCGTGCCACCTGCCCCCCCAGACTTCAAGTAAAATTGTGGTGAGAACCTAAACTGGACCTAGTGGTATTACCAATGGTCTGGGATTCACAGTACCTTTCATGGGGAGAATGCTATTCATCACCAAAGAATACTTACCTTCGCAGATCAAATATGAAAAGGGTGCAGCCAGTAAGACATACAAGATGGCATAAGCACAAGGCACCATTATTACAGCACTTGATTGGTAGAATTAACGTCTGCAAAATGATTAAGATATCTGTTTTAATCCTGAGTGCCCTCTGATTGGAGAGCAGCGAAAAAATCTTGTGTCTTTTGCGGGTCTTTTGCCTTTCTAAATTGATTTAATGGTGTCAAAAATTGGTTTGCACTTGAGTTCACTTTTCTGATGAGTGCCCAGGGGGGCTACTCCCTATGATGGCCTATATGGGGAGGCTCCACCCAAAAGGGGTACCATTTTTCAGGACTCGGGTATATAAAAGGGTAGGGACTTCACTAGTTGAAGTATATAAAAGGGGAGGGAAATCTGTCATTTGGGTCTGTAAAAGGGCCCAAAAGGGTTAACAGATGAATTTTATGGCTTTAAAAAGTCGTGAAAACGTTCTGTTTTTGTGATTGATTCCTATTTTAAAAGACAGTGCATTTACAGCAGTTAAAAGGGATGCAAAGTTCTAAACAAGGTATGTGAAAGGGGTACCATTTGCCAATAGAACGTATAGAAAAGGGGTACCTTGTTTATGAAAAATGGTACGTAAAAGCGTAAGGAGCTGGACCTCGGGGCAGAGACATTTGTTAAGTACCCTCCCCCCCCCGGATGAGTGCCAGTTGCTAGACTTGAACTTATTGGCATTGACTGTTATCAAGGCATACGTTTTTGAAGTCAAATAAATGATCTTTGTCAGTCATTTAATCAGCTGCAACATGCTAAAAGCAACAGGAGTCAGCGTCGCCTAATAACATCACTGAGTTGTGGATCAGAGATCAAAGAACTTGAGTAACGCAGCGTAATCGGCTTACTACATGGACAATTTTTTACAGGATCGATAGCGCTTCTATGAAATCAAAGGACAGTTGAACCGAATTCGAAAAAGCAGATGTTATCGAATCTTAGAAGTCAACTACCTGACGTCAACGCAAAGCGATTTTTTGCCAACTCAAGCCGTGCCCTACCTTACTGAATCAAGCCTTTGCTTAACAACAAATATATCAACTCGCGATGAGTCGGAGTTCAATCCTATCTACACATACCTACAAGTTTCATATGGTATCCAACGCACCTTCAAATCGATTTGATTGCATCTACTTCGTTTAAAACACATTAAAAGGTTATAAACACCATTTTAACGACATCGATATGGTAATAAAGAAAACAGCAGAGTTATTCTGTCACGCTTGCATGCGTATTCGGTAGTTTATCGATTGACGTCAAAATGAAATCAATCCTGTGTAATAAAATAACAAGAAAGGGTAAGCGTAACCATAGCAACTACATTCAAAGGCACTTGATAACCCTAATAATTTGCTGAAGGCGAGAAACGTCGCAGCCATGCAAACAAATTCTTGGGTTGCACGTGACGTCACCAGAAATCAAACTAAGAAACTATCGAGTCTTCTGAGTTTCTACTTTCACGAGGTATTACAGTACCTAAACAGCTTCACATAAACAAATTTTTGGTTCCAAAAGGTTCTTCGTTTTGCGAGAGAGGACGCTTGAATTTCCAGGCTTTTGCGTGACGCGGCATTTAGCTGGCGGCCGGGAAAGCTCTTTTATGGGTTAAAAACATTACCGATTTTTGGAGATTTTGCAATCTAAACATTCCTTGTCTCCTAATAAATATTACTGAAATCTTTATGAGTTCCTCAAGCGAAGAATTCACGCATTAGTAGGAAAACTCGAAAACAGATGTTTCTGTTGGTATCCGGCGGCCATATTGGTGTTCCTGAAAGGAACACCAACCTGGCGTTTCCATACAAAGCTTTATAAATTTAGGTAAACTGTTTTTCCCAATATCTCGCATTTGAAATATTTCACAGACCTGATTCTTGGCAAGGGTTTTTGTATATTTATCTTTTTTAATTTCCCAGATTCTAGTCCTTCTGTATTGAATGGTTTGCATTTTTATTTTTCATTGCGTGACAGTGCAAGCCAAGAATTAGGAAGCAAACACCAACATTCACGTTTCCTTTATTGATGTTTAATTTAGCATTGTACACATTACTTCTAAAGATCGATTCACAAAATAAAACGAACAACTATCTCAGGGCCGTAGGCAGACTTTAAAACAAGACGGAGGCAAGTTTCGAGCGCCGGAGGCCCGAGCTGCTTGGGGGGGGTCTGGGAGCATGCCCCCCCCCCCCAAGAAAAGTTTGAAATCTAGAGGCTCAGAAATGCTCTTGCAAGCATTTTCCGTGTCATTTTTCTTCAGAAAAGTCAATCTTGGGCAAGTGTTGAAGTTCACTTTTTTATTGCTCAGCGATACTGGTGCCAAGTTAAAGACCATCTGTATTTTAAATCATTCTTAGTCAAATGTTGTAACACGTATTATAACAATAAAATGAATCCACGAGAGTAGCCATGCAAAGTTTATGGATTTTGTACTGTAGGTAATTGGGAGAAGTCTAATAGGTAACAATTTTTTTGAAGTTAGTTCTTAGATGATATACAGAATCACGCTCACGTATCAATTATCTGTTTCGATGCACGCTTGCTTATTTTCTTCAACTTTGAGCCGACAGCCCTGTCATAATATTACCATCTCTTATACTTGTAGGACTAAGAAGTCACTAACTTTCACGATTAAGAGTAGTAAACTTCTCCCTTAACAGTTAGAAAAGTGAAAGTTTTTTGCCCGTCGTTTATTCTTTAAAACAGAACTGCTGTCAGTTTCCGTTGGTTTATGAATGTACGCTAACGCAAGCCAGTTGAGCCTCGCATTAGCCATCCTTGTTCGGGACCAGGTTTTAAGCCTTCTCAGTGAGCTGAAGTTTCTTCGAAAAAAAAAATGGCCAAAATGAAGACGAGGCAACTGCCTCGTCTTGCCTCATGTTAGCTACGGCCCTGTATCTTCGAAATTCAGTAGAGGTATTTTACAGTGCCGGATGCAGACTCTGAGATAAGGGGGAACCAGGTCTCCAAAAATTCTTTTGTGGGGCCCTTTGGGCCTCAGCTTGGTCCCCTGGATCCGCCACTGTTTCAAGAAATCACATAATCATTTGAAATCCTTTCAGACACGCCATAGTATTCAGAAAATTTCTTTCGCGCACGATAAAGGTCTTTTTCTAACCGTTTTTTCAGATTTTAATTAAAATTCCGTGAAGTTATTTTTTCTCTTTTTCTTCGCTTTCCTTTTAATGTATTGCTGAAAACCTCTACGCTAATACTTATTGTTGTAACCTTTTGAATTGGTCAGTGGAGTACAAGAGTGTTTCCTAGCTCCAGGCTATGGTAATTTCATTACGTAATCAGCCAAATTCGTCTTAAGTATATTCTTTGTTTGCAAGTTTGTTTGCTCAACATTAACCAAGTTTGAGAATTAATTATCCCAAGTACTAAGGCTAATGACTTCTCGGGTGCCTGATAGTTAGACTTGGTTAGTCTTACCTCTTTGCTTCATCTTTCTCCGTGGGCTATTTTCATTCCTAGCTCTTCTTGAGTTTTGTATGCAAATTTCGGTCAACCAAAATCAATATTCATGTAGTTTCGAACCTTCGGCTCTTGCGGTATACAAATCTTGTCATGGTGGATTCTGATCACATCAAGAACTGGAAGAAGAGTGGTAAAGTATAACTGACGTAAGCAGCTAATCGGTTAGTACTTCGTAAATTAAGTAGAGCGGTACTGCTACTCAGAAGTGAGTTTAAAAAGATTCGTTAAATCCCAAACGGGACATTGCATATAATTATAAACACGGAATAAGTTGAAATACCGTGTCATGACATGACGGTGCAGTGTCTGTATAAAGTGTCTAACGGGTAGCGGAAATAGAACCCTTTATTATAATTTTACCTTTGAAAAGAACAAGGTAAAATCGCAAAGTCATACGTGTTGTGTTGCCAGGATAAAGGTGTAAGTTCCACATTTTTCGTTGTTTATTTATCTTTTTAACTGAAGTCGATTCAGATCAGTTCAAACTGGAAGTATGGACGTACTTTCTACCGGCACATTTTATACAACCGATGCCCAAACACTTACGTAACTGAGTGCACGCACTTAAAGACGCATCTTCTTCATATTTATTGCCTTTTTTCTCAAGACTAGTTAAGGACGTTAAGGAGCGCCACTCGTGACTTATATGTCGGAAACACAGCCTTATCAACTTTTAAAAGTTTTTATTTGTGTGTAGCGCTTGATTATCACACAAACTAGATGAGAGCTACTTAGCATAACAGAGCCAGAATGGTAATCTTTTTGTTACAATTGTTATACCTTTAGTGCCTCGAGCAGGTGCTTAGCCAGTGACATAAACTGATCAACTCTTGCAGTTACTGAAGACTACAAAAGCTGATATCACATCCAAAGTGTGATGTGTCAGGTGTTTGATACTTGACGTTTTTCGGCCGCATAGCTTCTAAAAGCAAGTATTTGGTCGAATTTTGTGAAAAACGGTCAGCTTTTCTTCAGATGCACATCAGTTATCACCGACTTGATTTTCCATAACACATCTTGCATTTGACAGCTGCTAGCCAAATTATATGCAGAAGTACCTTTAATTTGGAGCATTTAATCCATGACTTACAACTTTTCTATTGCTAAATCACTCATATTTAGTTCAAGAACTGGATAGACGTAAGAAAACCTTGGCACCAACGTATTGAGCAGTACTAAATAACAATAATTTTCCGGGCTATTTTTGTTTATCACGCGTGTCTTGTTTAAGACACGCTGTGTTGCTTTACAGTTTGAATTATTTGGTCTGAACGACAAGTCAAACTTGTTACAAACTTGACACTTTTTCTTATTCTCGACAGAACCTGTGGTGAAGTTGATGTTAAAAAATAACGACAAGAATGTGGTATAACCCTTGGTTCATTTATCGCGTGATAGCGGTTTTAATATTAAGTGGACTAGGTCACTGGATTTTGCGAGGTTTGTGATACTCTCATTTTTAATTTAGCATTTTAGGCTTATTCGAGAGCGCTATACTCATGCTTTTTGGTTGGGAGACACCTGCCCGAGGTCGAAAACCTATCCCACGGAGTACGTTCATCGACGGTTTTTAACCGACATGATTATATAAGTGAAGACAGAACATGACAGGTCCGATGTTGAATAAATCCCTTTTTAGCTCTTTTTCTACTCAAGAAAATGATTTCAAATTCATCTATGTGTTGAGTACAATGCTTTAAAAGTAGTATATAGGAGGTCGCTTAGTTTCAGTCTGCCTTTAGTGAAAAGAAGCAGTTCGACAACTTTTTAATCTCTCTAGCCTGCGGTATTTAGAATCCCCTCTAAACAACACGGTTTGGATGAGTGACTGAAAACCCAGCGTGAGTGAAATTTCACGGCTAGGAAATTTTTCTCTTCGAGCAGTTCGCAGGCAATTCCTAAAAATGAATATCACTTGCCCTGGTAAATATTCAAAGAACCGGTCTTTATCGCCCACTCCGCTAGGAAATACATGTTTCCTTCGATAGAAAAAACGGAAAAACAAGAGGATGTTAAATTGCGGGTATTAGTTTATCTGGGTATTCATGTATGACACTAGACTGAGTACTTGTATTTATTCTACTGTTTTTGAATTCATTGTAGTTACGGTAACTTCCATAGACTCCTGCTGAATCACGTTTTATTATTTAAATTTACACGATATCGTGGTGCTTATTAACAAAATTCATTTTTTTCTTTTCTACCATCGCGTTGCCATGTCTACAATTACATGACGTATAAACATGGCATGTCTTATACGTCATATAGCCTAATAGTCATAAAAACGGATGTCGCAGTTTATTGACAAGGTTCATCATTCAAAAGAATTCTGGTATAAAAGGTGACCGACGCCTGTTATCACTACTTTAAACAAATGAAGTGGTTTATTCTTCGAGACATCGATCGAGTAGTATTTAACTCAGTCGCGATAATTCTGAAAAATATTGATAGTGATTTAGATGAAGGAATGACACACTTGAACAATATTTGTTGCTCTCTTAATTGTAAACTAAAACAAAAGACCTCCTCTTTTGACCGAAGAAAGAAGGATTGTGAAACTCTGAAGGCGTGAAGCCCAAGGTAAATAAATAAGATACAAGCAAGAGAACATAAAGGCTTTCTGTCCCAGGGGGGAGTACTCCAGATTTCAAGTGACATGAAGGATTTTTGGGAGGTTGAAATTTTCTATTTTGGGACTTTTTTTTGCGTAGGAAAATTTTGGCAAGTATTTATTGGGGTAGCTTGATTTAAGCAAGGATTTTTTTGGATATTCAAAATTAATATGTCTCCATTTTTCGTGTTATATCATTTAATGCTTTGTGGAAATTTTTATGGCTCGGAAATTCGGCATGGGATTTTTTGGGTTTTGTTGGAAGCCCTAGGGATTTTTTTGGGTGTTAAATTTTGCCCCCATTCGATCATCCCTGTCACTTGAAATCCGAGGTACTCCCTCCCTCCCCCCGGGCTTTGTGTCCTCTTGGCACAAGACGGTGAAAACGTTTTTGTTCCAAAAGTACCTGAAGAGTTGGCGATAATTGAATCAAAACCGGTTTTACAATTACGTACTTTATTTTTTACATGTGTAGGTACTGATGGCTGTGAACAAGGTAATCCTAGTCTTTATTTCATTGACGACCACAACATTAAGTGTGTGGAGTTTCAATCACTTCGTCAATCTAACCCAAACATCACAACAGTCGTTTCCAACATTGCCGAGGGTACAGCAGTAGACATAGATGTAAGAAACAATATAGTGTACTGGAGCGACACTCACGCCTGGACAATAAATAAGAAGAATCTCACATCTGGAGAGGTGAAGGTCATTCTGAAGGAAGACATTGGGGAGGTTTTTTCCATAGCTGTTGAATGGGAAAGTGGCTTGATCTACTGGACAGATTATCTCTACGAAAGAATAGAAGTGGCAAAAACGGATGGAAGTGCTAGGAAGACATTAGTGACACATAATGTTAAATCGCCCGTTGGAATTGCAGTGCACCCAGGAAAGGGGTAAGTTGAGATTTATACATGAGCTCATATCCTACAACATCTCTGAACATCATTTCAAACACCTCCTGGGGACACAGGGATACGAGGGCAAGTGGACTCCAACTGAACCCGTTCCCTTGAATCTGGCCTTAGTATTCCTTCCGTAGCGGAGACTACGGGAGGAACGCACTGGTCCATAAAATTACCACTAACACCTCTTGAACAGTGGCACCCAACGGGAATATAGTTCAAAACCACATAAACATAGCATTAAACGTCTTTTGGTCTTTAAACAATAGATATAGGCATATTTTTATCCCATAAAAAGTTTTCATCGGATTTTTCTAGCTGAAAGTCTAGTGATCCGAAAATTATACAGGGATCAAAACTTACCTTTTCGAAAATTCAGCCAGAAAAAAAGACTCCCGAAAATTCTAGGCGACCTTTTTAGGGTAAAAATCCCTTTAAAATGGGCAATCATACCATTTTTAGATGTTCAAAAATCCTAGGAGAGGCAGGCAAGCAGGAAATTGTACAACAAATGTTCCGAAAATTCTGAATCTCAAATCGTCTTCCGACGGAACAGATGTTTTCCGAAAATTGACGTTGGGTGCCCGTCTTGAAATTCCATGATTGATCGTTTGTTTAACCTTTTTGTTAGATATCTGGTTTGGTCCGACTACGATTACAGTCAACCGAAGATAATGCGTGCTGATTTAACTGGTGAAAATCAGCGAGAATTGTTCACCTTATTTCACGGCGTGCCCTTGTACCTAACCATCGACTACGCCGAAAACCGTGTGTACTGGGCAGATATTTTCTATGCCTACACCTTCATTGGTTCCGTGAGCCTCGATGGAACCCATTTTGGAGCGATTGGATATCTATCTCAAGCATTTTTTCCATTCCATCTGGCAATTTTTCAAAATGACCTTTACTGGGCTGACGTGAATAGGCAAGGAATAGCGTGGTTTGATTTCAAAGATTCTAACAGCCGTGTGATAACTAGAGATGATCTTACAGAGTACAGTTTGGTCGGACTTGCGACGTATGATCCATTAAGACAACAAACTGGTAGGTTTTGACATTGAGTGTAGAGAGGTAGCTCATCTTATTCCAGGGAAGGAGATGAACCTTGCCAAGATCACTCAAAGTCATCTGCACGACTTTTCCCTTTCCTACTCGTCCTGTTATCTTTATCTGCGACCGTTTTGAGCAAGAAAGAGTTATATTTCGAAAGAGAAACCAACTGCAAACAGTCTATTCTCTAAACGGGTATAGGTACCCGCGATTTGTTGCTAAGTAAACAAAAAAGTACTTTCCGTTGAAGAAAGAGTAACAGCACTTCGATCAATTCGTGTCACAAGCTGTATGAAGCTTCTGTCCAACAATCTGTTACTCTCCTTTTATTATATAAACACCAATGAAATACCAGGTGAGCTTTCTGGCGAAAACATGATATCGTCACATGTGAAAATAACATGTTATCTTCACACGTGAAAAGATGACCGTTGCTATGGCTACATAATAAATCGCGCCTTTCACGACAAAAAACTATTAAAGTGAAATGATTTGGTGATTCATTGGTGTTTATATAACAAATAGAACATTCTCGTTTATCGTGTTGAAGAAATATTTTTCAACACTCCAAGAGAAACTTCGTATTTCCGCGCAGCCATGTAATGTCCTCTTTAAACCTCTCCCCAACTTTTTTGAAACAAAAAGTTCATAGACAAATAACGTCCAGAATGAAATACATAATACTGTAATAGGGTGCTGCTCGAATGTTATAAATGTACTTTTTAAGGGGATCAACCGTTTCTACCAAAAAGACTTGACTTTCCTAAAAAGTAACACGTTTGAACCGGTTTGGTTTAGTTTTAGCGTTAAGTTTTAAATGCCGTGGCATAATTACCCCAGAGAGTAATCTCCTGGACGTTGAGTTAATTTTCGCCAACAGATCAGCGGACTCTACTCGTCGTTTTCCACCATTTCAACCAAGTTGTGGTAGTCAGTTTTGAAAACGTTGATCTGTCGAATCAACGAGAAACACTTTTCCTCATACGCTGGAACACAAAATTAGCTGAACAACTAAAAATAGTTGAACCCAACAGAACATGAGCTTAACAAATCCAATAACATAAAGGCCCTTTTTCGTATTTGTGAACTTTCATGGCTGGTGAATCTGTCAGTTTGACAAACATCTAAAAAGAATCTGTTTTGTTGTTGTTGTTCTGCCGTAGATGGAAGTGGACCTTGCACAGAAAACAACGGCAACTGCACTGATTTATGTTTGCTGACCCCAGGAAGAGGAAGGAAGTGCGCTTGTCCACAAGGCATTACGTTGAGTTCAGATGGACTGACTTGTAATAATGGTAAACTAACATTTGATTACTTTTTAAAACCATTACCTTCGTTTCAGCTTTTAGTTTTCCTTATCATGTATCTAACATAAAGCTTTTGTCATCTACAGCATCCACAGCTGCAACGCAGTCACCACCCCTTCCAGGTATGCTATGGGTGAATTTACATGTTGTGTCTGGTAATTAATCCTTTTAGTATTAAAAGAATTGAGAATGACTTTCACAAAACGAGCAACTTTCGTAGAGGGTTCTACCCAGCCTACATACAGTGGGACCTATATTTAACTAAGTGACAAGGGACTGGAAAATTGTGTTCTTTATATCGAGGGTTCGTTATATCGAAAACCTAGATTTAACGAAATGTTCGTTGTATTGTGGTGTAGTTAATGATTAATTTCCAACGCTTAGCATTTCCGGATCTGAACAATTTCTGTACGGTAGGCGCTCGTCTAATAACATCCGTCGGAAGGCCTTTTCTACCCTTATGATTTTTACACAAGGTAGAACTGTTTTCTGCTTCTTTTTTTTTTTTTGAAAGGCAAGAGAATTCGAACCCATGACCCAAATACCCAGTACGCCACACTAACCATCCACTAACTACTAGACCACTGAGGATTTGTTGGATAATTGGGAAATAATTTAAGTACACAAAGCATCAACCCCAATCCAACAAAAGAACCTAACCAGTTTCGAAATAGTGCTTAACCCTAATCAGTAAAGGCAGAGCTTAACCCCAATCTGTAAAATGCAGTGCTTAACGCTAATCCCAAACGATAAAGAATACTGCGTTGTGTAAACTTCATAAGGTGTCCAAAGGCCATTAGACAGATGTTAAAAAGTACTGACCTTTCTGTACGTAATAAACATTTGTATAGACGAAGCTATTGTCTCAGTCCAGAGGTGTACATTGCTACGGCACTAGAAAAGCAAGAACAGGCCAAAAAAAAACTGCTTAAAACTACTGTATACCAAAATTTTATCCTCGTTGATCTGCTTCGCATTCTTAAGCTGTCTTTCGGTCACATGTTGACGTATTCGTTATATCGAGGTATATTTATTACGTCTGCGTTTTTGGATCGTGTTCGTGATAACGAGGATTTCGTTAAATTGAGGTTCCATGATACCAGGAAGACCAATCTTGGTGAATAAGCTGTAAATTATTGCGTTCGATGAAGGAGAAAGCGTACTAATACAAAAGTAATCGAGAGAGTTGGGCTTGATTACTCTATGCGATCTCAGAGGCTAGTTTAGCCATCACAGAAGTTTGAGGAGCAAAAGGTATTATGTCAGTGTACATACATGTCAAAGTAACCCCAATTTTTCAGCGTACTGCTGCGCTGCTTAAATAAGGAGTGTATAGTACATTGAACACAAGTAATATAACACTCAAAAAAGTCAGTAGAAATTAAAAATGACAACGCTAAAAAGATCATTATCTGACAACAAGTTTCCTTTTTTACATACAAGCTATCGAAGTCCGTCTGGCTGGCTCGGCACAATCCAACCAAGGTCGAGTGGAAGTGAAATACAACGGACAATGGGGGACAATATGCGACGATTATTGGGGAATATCTGAAGCACATGTCATATGTCGCATGCTGAACTTCTCTGGGGCAGAATTTGCGCCTCGAGAAGCAGCATTCGGTCCTGGAAGAAGTTCTTACCCCATCTGGCTGGACACCGTGAAATGCAGAGGTGATGAGCCTACCATTGCAGCTTGTCGGCATGATGGATGGAGACAACACGACTGCCGACATAGCGAGGACGCCAGTGTCGTCTGTTGGAGGGATTCAGCACCTAGTAGTCAAGGTAAAGCGCCTCCCTGATGATTTAGAAAACCTTTCAACAGAAATCCCAATCAAGTAGTTTCAAGTTTGTTTCTTACGGATGAAAGTGCTAGGACGTGCATGGTTTCTGGCTCATGTTCCCATAACAGATTATTAATTACCCTTGGCTACCAGGTAGTTAAGGATTATTAAGGATTAACAAACAACGTTGAATTAATCATAACACCATTTGACGTTCTCATATTATTCTTATTTTTTTGGACATAATAGAACCAACTTTGGCTCCAGGACCACACCCTGGTACGTATGTATTTTGGTGTTAATTGAAATCTCTAAATCGTTTTAAGCAATTATTACACCTTAGTTTTAGTTAAATAAGTTAGATACACGGCATTCATAGAAAACAGGTCTAGTTTAGTGTAATTATGAGTGCTATTGTTACTAAAGAGACTCTTTAGATACGTATTTACTGTTAGTAAATATTGTTATGTAGTTGTATTCAATATTGTACCCAAAAAAAACCTGATGAATTTTTACCGTGTTGAAATAAAGATTGAGATTTGAGATTTAGATTTGAGACCGTGGTAGGATTAGCTCAGTCGGTGGAGAGCTTAACTGCAGGGAGGGAAGTCGACAGTTCGATCCCCGGGGCCAGACCAATACTCTGGGTCTTAAAATAACTGAGAAATGAAGGTACCCCCCTTGAACTGAAAGCGGCTAAGCCTTCGCGTGGCTCGGATTCCCCACGTAAAATGACGGTCCCGTCTCCCGTTGCAGACGTAAAAATAGTGTCCCTAATTAGTACTTTCGGGCTAAATACATTGACATTCAAATTAAGTGTTTTTTTTGGCTGGAGGCGCCTTCTAACGTCTTTCAATATCTAAATCGGAAATTGTCTAGAAACAGAGCAAAACTGGTTCAACCATGCACCAAAGGTTATGAATTATTCATTGTTAATATTGAATGCTGCACAACGAGTTTAATGAGCATTCCAACCAGTTAGCTGCTAACTATATCCTGCCATCATATTAATTCAGAGCAGCCTGCAGATGTATTGAATAGTATGATATTCGCCTAATGCCTTGTAATAGCAGGGTTTTCATTTGACAGTATGACGCGAATATAATTTCATTGCCTTCACAGAACTTGAAATACGCTTGCACGGCGGTGAGACGCATTACGAAGGTGGGGTTGAAATCAAACTAAACGGAACCTGGGGAACAATATGCGATGATTTTTGGGGGATCGAGGAAGCTAACGTAATCTGTCGCATGTTGAACTTTACGGAGGGAGCTCTAAGTACACAATGCTGTGGCTTTTATAACGGCTATGGGATCGCCGAAAAAATATGGCTGGACGATGTTCATTGCGATGGTGATGAACAGAGCATCGCGGAGTGTCGTCATGGCGGTTGGGGAAGTCACAACTGTAGGCACACGGAAGATGTGGGAGTAGTCTGCAAACATTCACCAGTGTCAGCACCAGGTAGTCATTGTTCTCTTAAAAATACATCTTGACGACGCTTGACTATAAGCTTGTTATGCGAAATGGGAGTTTATATAGTCACTTCAAATATGATCCTTCTCCGATGACTGTTTTTCAATTTTCTTTTAATTTGACATTTCTGGATCATTCATTTGATTAATATGAGGCCACTATTACCCTTACAGCCGTCAATCCGGGGATAATAATGTTTTTAATAATCTTTAGCTCTGTCTGTTATTAAAAGTAAACGGGTATAGTTAAACGAAAAGAGCTCTTACTTGGAATTGTCCTCAAAGAAGTTTAAAGATCTGAACTGGCATAGCTGTCTTTTTATATCATAGCATTGAAATAACGAAACGTTAAGACGCAATATTTCTTCTTTCTCCCTAAAGATCAAATCGTACGACTGGCAGACGGAGCGAGGGAAAGTGAAGGAAGAGTGGAAGTATTCCGTGACGGTCACTGGGGAACAGTATGCGATGACCAATGGGACATCAATGATGCAGATGTGATATGCAAAATGCTGAATTATTCAAGAGCGGTACGCGCTCCCGGTCACGCCTTCTTTGGCCGTGGAAATGGCAAAATATGGCTTAGTGGCGTGGAGTGTAGAGGCAATGAAACTTCTATTCTACAATGTGGGCATCTGGCATGGGGCAGCAATAACTGTGACCACCACGAGGATGCAGCTGCTATCTGCCAACAGCGTCCACCACATTTAGGTTAGCAAATGAAGATAACATTTGGGTCGCTGCAGGCCACACCAGTTACTGCATGTGCATGACTTATTATTAGGAGTGGACGCTTGTGCACCTCAGATTCATCTGTTATATTTTTACATTTCTAAACCCTAGCATTCGAGAGGGTTTGGGCAAAGTTGGTACTTACTGCGATAGTCATACTGCTTCAAACTAAGATCATATGGGTTGCTGCAGGTGATCCAGATAAACATTTATTCTTAAATACGTCTAACAAACATGTTTGGTTTTCATTTAAGAATCCAAGAATTTCATCCTGGTTTGTGAGTCTGGAAGGAGCTTAATCTACCACATTTCCCTTGATAGTAGTGGCTTTCCGGAGAAAGGGGTGCCTCTCGCACTACAGACAAATGACCCACAAGCTGTTACCTTCAATAGCGAAGACAAAATGGTCTACTGGATTGAACAGTCTGGCTCTATTGTTCGTTCCTATCTTAACGGAAGCTCAAGGCAGGTTATCGTTAAAGGGCTGACGTTCCCGGCAGGTCTAGCAATAGACCATTTGGGCCAAAATCTTTACTTCACCGACCAAAAAGGAATCATGGTATCAAAACTAGATGGGTCCTATCAGACTCATTTAATCAATTCGACGTTTGCTCATGGAATAGCCTTAGACAGCGATAATGGGTAAGAACCTCTGTTAAATATATGATCGTATGCATGAAGCAATCGACTCAGACCTTGCACATACTGTCGAACCCCTCGTAAGCCACCTCCCAGTATGTGAAGATTTAGTGGTCGCTTATGAGAGATGATCACCTTCGCGAATTGAACCATAGGGGGAACTCTATGAGAAGAAGTTCAGACCTACCTGAATTTTGACAAATACTCTATTGCATGTAATTTCTGAGTTACGTATAAATGTAGTTCTATCACTAAACGTTTTTCGTATAAACTGAGCAGCTTAGAGCATAAAGCGAACAAAGAGGCTGCACCATGCATGCGACAAGCGGTCGCTTAAAAGTGGTTTGTGAAGTCTGTCGGGCCAAAAAGCGGCCGCGGTTGCCTTACGAGAGGTGGTCGTCAACGAGAGCTTCAGTCTTATTTTAGGGCCTTGACTGGGACAATTTTGGATGTTTTGTCGGATGTTTTGTCGGATGGGTAGCAGTCGCGGATCTAGGGAAGCGGTCCCCTTTCTTTTTAGACCAAACGCAAGGTCTGGATAAGGCATTAGGCAGTCGCTTATGGGAGGTGAGCATGGAGATAAGACTGTATAATAAACTTTAAGAAGTAGCATGCAATGAGACGTTTCAAGCTTTGAGGAACGTCTTTTTCTAAATCCTCTTAAGAACAAACAACTAAAATGTTCAATAATTATAGCAATCACTCAATGCATTGTTTTGTTCTGAGGTATTGTGTCTTATTTTCAGACATATCTACTTCACCTCTACTGGGACCAAACCAAAGATACAACGAGCAGACATGGATGGCAAAAATGTTTTTGTTTTGATGAACGTTTCCTCCATTCGGGAAACTAAGCTTGACGTAGCACTTGACAAAGTCAACAAACGCCTATACTATTCAGACTCAAGGAACAACTTGGTAAAATACATCGATCTCGCCAAATTCACTCTCCACCCTGTCCTGTCTAATCGCCCGCATGGACCAGTGGGTCTTACCTTAATCAATGGTACCCTTTATTGGACAGGCGGTGAATTACAGACTTACAGTGGTGCTGTTTACAAGGTAGATGCAGACAACGTAAATGGTAGCATCGTACATAAAGTAATGGACCTTTTATCGTTTCCTAAAGGATTGTACGCGCACGATTCGGAAGGTGTCAGGCCATCAGGTAAGATGGTCGATCATTTTTTAACGGTCAAATAAGGGACTGTTTTAAAGAAGTCTCAGTAACTCTAAATGTTTGCTTATTCGGGTCATCCTTTTGGCTTACCCGAGGAGGTTTTCCAGTAGTTGATACTGAATATTTGACCTGTTTTGACCTCTAATAAATTTCTTTCTATGCGCCAAGCCTTTAGCATTAACGTTAATGTTTCGAGAAACAATGTTTGACATTCTGTTCACTAACATTACAAAATTAACAACTCCAGAGTACATATAGACAAAAAAGCGCATTGAGTGGCGCCTCGGAGGAAATTAAAAAATAAAACAATATACAACAAAACCTAGTCGGAGGGATTTTCATTATATTAAAAACTCAGACGTTACTTAAAATATCATTTCTTTCAGGAAATCACTCCTGCACCAATGGTAACAGCAGATGCTCCCATCTTTGTGTGGTAAACCCTGAAGGATATCGTTGTCTCTGCCCAGTTAATGAGCGATGCCAGACATTACCAACATCAATTCCAACCACTACAATGCACGTTTCTAGTGCAAGTTCTACAGAAATTGGAAAGTCAGTGTCTACATCACAAACTATAAAATCATCGCAATTGAACTTACTTCCCACCATCCAGCCATCCCGCAGTTTCTCCAAAGCTGGCTTATCCCAATCTTCTTTCTCGTCTGTTGCGACTCCCAAAGTTAGCATCAAAATGTCCAGCGCAAGTTCAAACGCAAGGTCATCTTCTTCACCATCCCCTTTGAACAGGCCAACCTCGGCAGTTTCCACATTGACATCTATTTCTTTAATGCCGGGCGAGGTGTGCTCCGTTAGCAACCCATGTGAAAATGGAGGCCGATGTACGGTCGATGGTGTCAGCTATAAATGCGTGTGCGCAGGCTATTTTGCTGGTCGGCTCTGTTCAAAAGACATCAGTAAGTTTTATGTTTCATGTTTTTTGTTATGTTTTATTGTTCAGTCCACCAAGGAACCAAACGTAGTGTACTTAATAGAAGGCTAATCTATAGCTTCCTGCTAAAACAGTGAATATTAGTTGACTTTCTATTCTGAGATTTTTGCTTGAAAAGCTTAGACAACGCGAGAAAGCCTATTTTTAATGAAATCAAAGTTTTGAAACCTCCATAGTAAAATGGACCATGTCTGTCTTTGGTTTACCCTAATATAACAAAGTAATGGACAATCAATCAATTCAATTTAAGAAGCTAATTTTTAGCGCCGTTGTTTTTGTAGGGAATTTGGTTGTTGTTATTGCCATTGAAATACAAGAAAATAAGGTGAGTTTCATGGATAGAAAGAGGAATTTTGTAAACATATATAGGCTAGTAACACAAAAACTTCTCCAACTAAATGTCGTCAATGGAAGTAGCACAAATAGGCATCAACAGGTCCTACATCGAGCCTACGATACAGGTAATAATAATGTTAATAATAATCATCATCAACACCATCATCATCATTATCATCATCATTAACGTCATCATCATCATCATCATCATCATCATGGTCATCATCATTAACGTCATCATCATCATCATCAACACCATCATCATCATTATCATCATCATTAACGTCATCATCATCATCATCATCATCATCATCATCATCATCATCATCATCAACACCATCATCATCATCATCATCATGGTCATCGTCGTCTTCTTTATTCTTCTTAAGTTAAGAGATATTTCTCAAGTGACATTTAAAATCGTAAAAAAGCGTTAATTGTAAAATACCCAAGAAAAACGCAAACCATATAAGACTGAAAAATATATTTGTGACGAGAAAATGAATGGGGACCTGTTTTTCTTTCCTCTGGTGCTTTGCATGCAAAGACGTGTGGAGTTAAAAATTTGCTTCTGAAGGACTACAACATTACTCCATTTCACCCAGGAAAGGATTTAGTGAAGTTGGCTTTAATAACTCTTCTACTTTGCCTTCTACTTTAAGCTTTGTTTTGACAGTAAAATGTACTGTCCACATTGCGCTGAGGTTATCAAATCTTGGATATTTACTTAAAAACTTTGTCTTTCTTCACAGTTCGATAGAGCGGTGTTGGGGCAAATCATAGTGGAAAGCTTGAACAAACTCTGCGCGGGTGAAACAAACAGCTGCCCAATACAACTCTTAGAGTAAGAACAATTGACTCTAAATAGAATGAAACAATTGCCCACAAACCGTCATTAAAGACGTTTAGATTCTAAGACGAGTGCGACCACGAGTACGTGATTTTCTCAATACACTCAGTAGTGCGCGGGCGTGAACCAGCGTCATTTTGGCCCATTTGCACCAAGTTATAAGCAGCGCTCTTCAGCTTTCAGGTCTTTCATAAACCGAAGCAGCTATTGTGTTCTTGTTAAGTGTTAAGCGTTTTCCTTCGTTGTTTTAAGGAGGTAGGAAATCATCTTCTTTCTTATCCAGGCCGTCTATTTTTTAAGATCAATTGTCTTCAATAACTTCGATAAAACGTTTTGGTACCCAACTGGAGAGAAATCTTTTCCCTTAAATTGGTCTCTATGTATATGCAAAGTCTGAATTTGTTACCAACATTCTTACTTCTTTTTCAAAGGGAAAAACGAAGGAGAAAACGATCATTAAAGTTGACAAAATTTACGCAGGATGACGTCATAATACCAGTTGATCCAAAGCAATTAGGTGCAAACCTTCATGTAGAGCTGGCCGTTTTAAAAATCTTGGCAGATGGTACAACTGGTGTAGTATCCAGTGACAATCTCAGCAAGATAATACTACAAGCGGAATCAAAAATCAGTGACTTACTCGGCGGGAGATTGGTTAGCGCCCAGCCCAAAGTTCCAGCACAGACCACCCAACAACCGCACAGTAAAACTGCAACGATGCCTATTACTCTTTCACCAACAACAAGAAAACCGGCGTCGCCTGGTAGAGTGGCTGCTAGTGAGGGAGGAAGCAATGACGCGAGTGTCATAGGAGGGGTGGTTGTGGCCATTGTTGTTGTCATTGCTATCATTGCCTTCCTGGTATGGTATTTCAGGTAAACCATTTTTAAATTTATATGAACCAATATTTTCAAAAAGGATATAAATTTTGGTGTTGGAGACACCAATCATAAGAAAATACGGTGTTAGCTGCAGTGCGCCAGAAGTCGCGATCTATAAGTGACTATCGTGAGACAAACGATAAAGGAAACCCTTTATAAGTTTGTTTGGTTCGTCTTTTAGGTGTTGTTTTAGATGCACTTCTCGTGAGGATAATTTTACTCAAAAGTAAATCTCAATAGAATGAATGTGTAGTATGTATGAACTGTGAAGATTTGAAGGATTGCTTTTGATATAAACGCTATAGTTCAATCACGGCGGAGTAGAGTTCAAGACCCACCCTAAAATCCACAATCACATTTGTTGCGATTGAATGTAACAAGAAGAAATATTTAAACGCTGTTGTTCATTTACAAGTTCTCTTGTAGTGGTTTGAACAGTAACTATCCTTATTTGCAACAGAAATAATAGAACTGAAAGGATTTGGTAGTTGATGTAAATTTGGATACAATTCTCCTTCACAGGGTACGAACAACTGTTCCCTACAAAAAGGAAATAGATGCACCCACAAAACGCACGACTTCATTTGAAAACCCAGGTTACGATACTGCTGCTATTGCTGGCTTTGGTGCTTCTGATAGCGTGATTTATGAGGATATTCCGCCCATCGTTCCTTCTCCCTATCAAGAAATGAACGATTTTGGTGCTGCTATTAACCCGCTTTATAGATCAACTGACCAGGAAAATGTATCCTCGACTGATGGTAATAGATCTAGAAAGTTTGACGCTGACAATGCCGACTTCAGTCGCAAACCAGGAATTCCAGAGGCTCCTGACGGAAACCAAACACTGGAGGAACAGGATTCCAAGATGTCCTTTGACGCTAGTATCCGTCAGCAACCAGCAGTTCTAATCTTAAATAACAGTGACAAGCCTGACAATTTTTCAGAAATTTAACTTTAATTGCACGTGCACGAATTGGCAAAGTACAGTCGAACGTAGATTGCACTGACTGCGAGCAGTCTCTCTTTTCTTTCTGATTCAGTGAGGGGATTGCACGCGCGCGAGCGTAGAGAGGCGAGACGCGAGAAACGAGGGTGGTAGCTCTTCCCCTTTGGCGCCTTTAGTCACGCGTGTGATCATTTTGTGTCTCGCACGTTTCGCTTGATGGACTGAAAAAAAGGGGGACTGCTAGTAGTCTAAGTCGAACTTGTACGACCACCTCTAGTAAGCAACCAATTCAGGGGATCCAAACACCAAAATTGTATCAATAATACCCTTCTTGTAGTGGTAACCTCTCGTAATTAGTAATCATCACCATGGTACTGGTTTTTTATTTTTTATTTTCAAACGTGTTGTAAGAAACCTCTTGACCCATGGTCTAATCTCCATGTTCCCTGTACGTATTACAAATTGCATGCGGAGAACGTTCGAAATGAAAGCAATAGTAAGGTCTATTCCAAAAAGGACAAGGGCCGGAAAAGAACCCCTTGCTGTTCGACCCTCATTAATGACCAACAAATCTTGGTATTTGGGTGGCCCCTTACAGGAGGTTTGACTTTACATCAATGCTCGTCGTTTCATCGTAGTTGCGTGAACGTTATATCTCTAGACAATACATTAAAAACGCGTGAGTAAGCTCCTGCTTTGTCTAAACAGGTTCTTACATTAATTGTAATTAGCACTTATTAAGGCTATTTAGGAATAGGTGCATATTTTCTAAAAATTAAAAATTCATTGTAGCTAAAAGGGTACTTTGCCGCCTAATCCTTTTATATAATCGGCATACCAAATAAGTGTTTGTGTAGAAATGACTATAACAAGAAATGTAATTGAAGCGCTGATCACAAGTGCCTCCAAGTGTAGAGACTTTTTAACAATGGATATTAAAAAATATGAACATTAGGGACGGACCATTAGAAATTTTGGGGGGGTTGGGGTTGGGGAATTTTTGAGCCGCAGGAATTTTTTTCGTTCTCAAATTCTTTGTATTAATTTTTTTAGGCCGTAGCATGAATATTTTTTTGCGGTAAATTGGCGTGCATAAATTTTTTTCGCTTAATAATTTTCCCTTGCGCGAACGTTTTTTTTTGTACTTCGCCTGCCTCCCCCCATAAGTGTTATAATGGTTCGTCCCTTCGGCTAAACAAGTTTTTCCTACAGAGGACATGATCATTTCCGTTTCTCTAATTTTGTCGAGACTAATAAATAAACAGCGGGAATCAGCAGTGAGCCGTTTGAAAAAGAGAAAGGTGTAATTTTTCATTTCTTATGAGCAACACTCTTGTACTACAAGAACACAGAGAGTTCTGAAGAGTTGTTAAATATTTTCGATATGTTAGTAGAATAGGATGCAACGAATTATCCCTTTTTTGCGGGGGAATCTTATTAACTTGCGGGAGAACACTTTTTCGCCGATGATGTCATCGTATTCTGTCTTTATCACCTGAATAAAATACGTGAGAATCTCAAGGCTTTGTTGTTTTTTTCACAAGCTTTCACACTATACCAATGTTCCAATTTTGCCGTCTCCGGCCGGTACAACTCGTGCATGTTAATGTGGACGAAGGCAAACTCGAAACACGAATCTTTACTTACCCCTCCCTCTTCCTGCTTCTTCACAATTCAATTATTATGTTTCCTCCAGCTGTCAATCTTATGACGTCATTTCCTGCCAACAACCGTTGAAATCAAAAATCGTAAAACATCCTATTGTTAGAAGTAGAGTTTTCTGTCATTCTTCAACGTTTTAGCTCAAAAGAAACAAGATGCAAAATACTATTAAATCATATTTAATGTAGTTAACGACCAGGAGCTATGGTACCGGGTGTTTTTGGCATTCTTTGGTAGCGCGTTGGTCATCTGTAGCGTTGTGCGTGACTATGTTTGCGTTTGTAGCGTTTACCATTGTTCGTGAGCTGGAGGGCAGATTCCTGTCCAGCGGTATGTCGCTTTGGCGCATGCGGAGGCCACGTGCCTACGTTGGGTTTGCGTTGTACTCGTAGCTTTGTTAGCGTGGCGTGGCGTTCCAGTAGCGTAGCGTTTCTCTTGGTTCTGCCCTAGTTTTGGTTAGCTTGGTTTCCCAGTTCGAGTAGCATAGCCTTTTCTCGTGGTTCTGTCAAAGTTTTTTCCGGTCGAAGTGGTTTTTCGTTGCCGTTGTTCGTCGTTTTTTTCCTGTTGTGGTTCGTCCTCTGCTGGAGAGTTTTGGGTTGTCCTCTGTAATGCCGCGCCCATCTCGCTCGACCAACAACAGCTTATCGGCGGGCCTTCCTACCGAAGACCCCCTTCCATCTACGGCAACGTCTGAAAGTCCTGTGTCGAGTACGGCTTCTAGTTCTTGGTCGCCTCAGTTGGCTGACTCCCTCACCGAGGCTGTGGTTCGGGCAATCGGAAACTCCATTCCCGCCATTATTTCATCGATCCAGAGAAACGCCTCCTCGCAGGCTTCTTCTTCGGTTCCAGGCGTTTCTGCTAGCGGGGCTCCACAACCTTTATTTTCTTCAGCGTCCACTTCGAGTGGGAGTACAAGTGATGGTGTTTCTTCGGTGGCTTCAGGTACGTTTACCCTTCCCGCGTTTGTTCCTACGTTTACGCCAGTGCCGGCCATTACCGTCTCGAGCTCGGCCCGCCCCGTGGCTCCTACTCCCTCCACTTTCGTATCGCCCGGCGTTACTAGCGGTCTTCCAAGCCTTGAGTCTTCGTTGGCATCTCCCAAGTCTGAGAAGGCTTTTATCGTTGGTTCGGGGCATGCCCCTATTCCCTCAAAACTGGTGTCAAAAATTGTAGGTGGCCAGTTTGTCGAGTTGGCAGATTTGTTGTCCGTGAGCCTTCGCGCCGTGGAGCAGGAGCCGCAAACGTTCCTCGATGGTAAGCTTGTGGTGTCCTCGTCAAAACGCAGGCAAGTGGAAATAAAAGACATTTTGACTTGGACGGAAGCCTTTACTATTTTTCAGATGGTGCTGTGCGCAGCTCACCCTCATCGTTGGCCCGATCTCTCCAAGTATAAGCTGCTTATCATTCAAACGGCTCGTCATTTTTCTAGTTCAGCCTGGTTAGAGTATGACCTGGCGTTCAGAAAGGATGCGGCTGCCTCTGGCCTCAGTGACTGGTCAAGGATGAACTTAGACCTATACAACTTTCACTTAAGGTCTCCAGCCATGGCCTCACCCCCGCCACCTCGGTCGTCTTCTTCCACGGCATCAGCTCCACTTCCTGCCGCCTCCCGTGACACCAGCCTGGTCCCTCCTTTTTGCCATTCATGGAATGACGGGCAGTGCCGCTGGCCCTTTGGTAGGTGCAAATATCGACACCGCTGCAGTAACTGTGAGGGTGAACACACCCAGATCAATTGTCCATTTCCCAACTCCTCTGGCGCACGATCCCGATCTCCCCAACCCGGGGGGAGAGGGGGACGGTACTGAATGGGCAGTTTTGCCCGGTGAGGCTTGTGTACATAGTGTAAATAGTTTTGTTGCGTCGTCAGAGGGGCAGCGTGATCTGCGTTCCTCGGTGAAGCCGTCTTGTTCAGTTACAGTTCCAGTTAGTATACCCAGCGTTGCAGTTTCTGTTCATTCTTTCTCGCCGTTAGCCCCAGCCTCCCAGGTCTCTCCACTACGGCCGGCTCAATTTCAGATAGAACTTCAGCATCATCCAGACCAGGCGGCAGTGGCCTATGTGTTGTCAGGATTACGTGAGGGTTTTCGTATTGGCTTTGAGTCGTCCATGGTCAATCTTAAGTCCGCTTCTTCGAACATGCGTTCCTCCTTCGAGCACCCATTTGTGATAGACTCCTACTTGCAGACCGAAGTTTCCTCCGGCAGGGTGGCTGGCCCTTTTTCAGCCCCTCCTTTTCCTTCTCTACACATCAGCCGCTTTGGGGCCATTCCCAAGAACAATCAACCAGGCAAATGGCGTCTCATCCTTGACCTCTCCTCTCCTGTTGGGCACAGCGTGAACGATGGCATTCCCAAGCCTCCCTTCACAGTGCAGTACGTTTCAGTCGATGCAGTTATTTAGGGCATCATGGCGTGGGGTCGCGGAACACTGATGGCTAAGTTCGATGTGGCCAGTTCATACCGGAATGTGGCTATCCATCCCGACGATCGCCCCTTGCTGGGGATGCAGTGGCGTGGGAAGTACTTTGTCGATCTGGTTCTCCCGTTTGGGTTACGTTCAGCGCCATTTATTTTCACTTCTATTGCGGACCTGGTTGAATGGATCTTGGTTCATAATTATGGCGTGGACGTCCTATGCCACTACCTGGATGACTTTTTTACCCTTGGTCCACCGTCATCCCCGCTCTTCCACTTCTATTTACTTACCTGTGTTCGCCTTTGCGAAAGGCTTGGTCTCCCCCTTCATCCTGACAAGGTAGAGGGACCGACGACTTGCTTAACTATCCTCGGGATTGAACTCGACTCCGATAGGCTTGAGGCTCGCCTGCCCACTGAGAAAAGAGACCGGATTGTTGCCTTACTTGAAGAGTGGTCCACCAAGCGTTTCTGTAGGGGGCGGGAGTTGGAATCCTTGATTGGCCACCTCCATCACGCCTGCAAGGTTGCCCCACAGGGGAGGACTTTTCTTCGTCGGATGATTGACTTGCTTTGTGCCTTCCGCCTGGACGATCATCCCATCAGGCTAAACCAAGAATTCCGTCGGGACCTTACCTGGTGGCGGGAGCTTTTTCAAACCTGGGATGGCCTCAGTTTCTTTTGCATGCCCACGTGGGCGCCCGTCCCGGATTTCCAAGTCTCGTCGGATGCTGCAGGGTCACTGGGCTATGGGGCTATTTTTAACACCAAGTGGTTTTGCGGCGCTTGGTCTATGGAGCAACGGTCGTTATCGATTGCGTACAAGGAGCTCTTCCCCATCGTTGTAGCCGCCGCCTTATGGGGTTCTCAGTGGGGCTCTCGGCGGGTCGAGTTCCTGTGCGACAATGAGTCAGTGGTGGCTGTACTTAAGTCTGGCACTTCACGGGACCACCACTTGATGGGGCTGCTGCGTCATTTATCCTTGCTGGCTATACGCCACTCATTTATGTTTACGGCGTCTTCAGTTCGCGGCTTGGCCAATCCAGTAGCTGACTCCCTCTCACGTTTTCAATTTCAGCGTTTTCGTCGTCTGGCACCTCAAGCCGACCTGACTCCCTGTGTGTTTGCGGAGTCGCTGCTGGCCGCACTCTAGACGTGTTGACCCAGAGGTGTCAGTTTCTGCTCTCCCAGGGACTCGCGCCCTCCACTCGGCGTGTTTATCTCTCTGCTCAGCGTCGCTATATTGATTTTTGCCGCCGGGATGGTCGCCTTAACAGCGATGGCTCCTTCCCTCCTGCCGATGAGGAGACTCTCATGCGCTTTGCTTCACTCTTGGCCGACAACTTGACCCACGCATCTATAAAAGTGTACCTGTCAGCAGTACGTTCCCTTCACATCGACCATGGCTTGTCAGACCCTTTCGTCAACTGCCTTCGTTTGCAGCGTTTACTCAGGGGAATTAAGCGGGTTCAAGGTCCAGTATCACCCCGGCGCCTGCCTATCACCCTGGATCTTCTGCGGGCGATTCAACATCGTCTAGACTTCTCCAGGAGAGACCATGTGATGCTGTGGGCGGCATGCTGTTTGGGTTTCTTCGGTTTCTTACGAGCTGGGGAGTTCACAGTGAATTCTGCATTTCAGCCTAGTATCCATATGACTGTTGCTGACCTGCAAGCTGATTCCCTGGTGAATCCTTCCTGTTTTAAAGTTCATATCAAGTGCTCTAAGACTGATCCGTTTCGCATGGGCTGTGATATATATGTGGGGCGTGGTGAGGGCCCGGTGTGTCCCATCCGTGCCTTGGGCAACTTCTTGGCTCTGCGTGGCTCTTCTGAGGGTCCTCTCTTTACTTTTAGTGACGGTCGCCCTCTTACTCGGCAACAATTGTCATCCACAGTTCAGTCTATCTTGCACTCAGCTGGCTATACTGGCTCTTATTCAGGCCATAGCTTCCGTATTGGGGCGGCAACTACAGCTGCCGCTCGGGGAGTTCCGGATCATCTGATCAAGACCCTAGGCCGGTGGTCTAGTGATGCCTACCAGATTTATATTCGCACTCCAGTTAGCTCCATCATCCACGTATCCAGACAGCTGGCTGCATAGCAGGTATCTGTACTACCTTTGGGGCTGCCGTGGGGGTGGGTGCCTCAGGTTTGGGCCCTCGGAGCCTGGGGCTCTGCAGCCCCGAGCCCCCTTGCTCCGGGTTTCCGACCCGGAGGTTCCTTCGGCTTGGCGCGGGGGGGCTCGTGGCTGGGTTGCGGGTTGGTAGGCCTGTGGGTGTTCTTCCGCCTTGGGGTGTATTGCGGTTGCAGCCCCCTGGCCCATGGGCACCCAACCTCCACTTGCGACACAGGCGTTAAATACTATTAAATCATATTTAATGTAGTTAACGACCAGGAGCTATGGTCCCGGGTGTTTTTGGCATTCTTTGGTAGCGCGTTGCTCATCTGTAGCGTTGTGCGTGACTATGTTTGCGTTTGTAGCGTTTACCATTGTTCGTGAGCTGGAGGGCAGATTCCTGTCCAGCGGTATGTCGCTTTGGCGCATGCGGAGGCCACGTGCCTACGTTGGGTTTGCGTTGTACTCGTAGCTTTGTTAGCGTGGCGTGGCGTTCCAGTAGCGTAGCGTTTCTCTTGGTTCCCCTCCCTCCCTCCGCTTTCTTTCTTATTTATTTAGTTATTTATTTTTTTCAGGGGTTGGTTCATTTTACTTCCACTGGGCTTCTGGCCTCAGTGTGACGGGTGCTATAATGGGGGGCTGGGCGCGGGGGGGCTCGTGGCTGGGTTGCGGGTTGGTAGGCCTGTGGGTGTTCTTCCGCCTTGGGGTGTATTGCGGTTGCAGCCCCCTGGCCCATGGGCACCCAACCTCCACTTGCGACGCAGGCGTTAAACTAATTTATTTGCTTGCAGCAGTTTTGTAGCCTGCGAACGCAGACATATTTCCATTGCTTCTCTCCACCTGAAAAAAGAGAATTGACGACCGGAAAAACGTCTGCGCTCGCAGGCTAGCAGTTTTTTTAAAGCCCCAAACAAGAGACTACAGTGGAACCTCGATAACACGCAGCGCCGTAGCTAGTATGAGGCCAACCGAGGCACTCGCCTCGGTAAAATTTTGACGAATTTCGCCGATCATTTTTATTTTACATAAGCGATCATCGGATATTTTTAACGCATCATGATATTACAAAGAATTCAGCAATTCAGTCAATATACTATGAAAAAATTACATTATCATCGATCTCAAGGGGCTACGTACGTTAACTCCAATTTTTTTTGAACAAATACTGATCAAAACCATTGGCGAGGTTAACGGTCACCCAGATTATGTAGCTTGTTTCTGATTATTGCTTTTTAAATTCCACTTAAATTAACTCGAAAAAAAGTTACCGAAAGGCCCAGAAAACGCTGCAAATCGCATTTCCGAGAGACTAAAGTTCAAAATTTCTCGGGGGGGGGGCATGCCCCCGACCCCCCCTAGCAACTCCCGCCTGCCTCGGTTGGCCGTTTGGTCTGGCTACGGCACTGACACGAACAACCATGCAACGAATTCCTCGGTACTTTCCTCACCCCCGTAATAGTAAAATATAGGACAAAGAAATTAAATCAACTGCAAAAACCGTGGGCGAAGAACCTGCCGGTTATCAACGTTGGATTGCTCTAGGAAAGAGATCCAATATCAGCCAAAATATTAAGAACCAAAAAACAAGAAGTCCAAAAACTACTGCAAAGCTGATCGTAACAACGTGTATTGCTTTTTCATAACGATATTTCGGCTGACCATACCAGCTTTCTTCAGGTTTACAGATGTTACTGAATTTATTATGGGAATTACAATATTATACAGATGGAAAATGTCGCAAGTGAAAATTGTTTAAAAGGGAGAGGCGGAAATTACGTACAACACAAAAAGGAAAAGGAAAACTAATAAGAATAATTCGTCACGGAGGCTTAGCCCATTAGGTTTAAGGGTCATGGCCTTATAATTATCTATCAAATGTGACTCCTCCGCCTTACGGACTGAGTCACAGGTGCGTGAAGAATGAATTTTCTCTAGTGGGATTAACCTTAGTATAACTAAACCTCGTCATGGTCGCTCCTTCTTTATATCTAGGTTCCACTGTATCTAACCCATACAAAGCTGAAAGTTTCATTTGCACACGGTAAAAAAAAAAAAAAACAACACCCTATGCCGACCATAGCAACACTCTTTCTTCTTATAAGAGTATATTAACTAAAAATATTGAGGCTGAAATTTGCGAAATTTTAAGAATATCTGTCGAATACACCCGAGGCTTAGGTTTGAAAAGGATGTAATTTTGTGTGTTGAAAATAGCTCATTTTATGTTTGTAACGTAACCGCTTATAATTTTGCTCCTACTCAACGGCAAAACGAAGAAAATGGCAATGACAGCTCGATGAACAGTACATGAAATACATATCTAGAGTACCCACAATACAAAAGGAATGACCAAACCGCAAAAACTGTATGATAAATTCGTTCTTATTTCAATATAATTTAAGAATAACACAAGACATATCTTCAGCCTAAAATCGGCGGAAAAAAAAGAATATTCAGCCTAGGCCGGAAAAACAACGTTCTTTTAAAAAAGTAAAAAGAAGGAGAGCAGAGCAAGCCCACTCTTACTCCTTCCCAATCCCCGCTCTCAACGTTCACCGTGCTCATGAAAACAATGCAAATGTTTCCGATCCGAAAGCTTTCGAAAGCCCTAGTTCCCTGTATGAAGTTCTAACATGAGCGAAAGAGTTGTCCAATGACTAACGTTTAAGTGACCGGGGAAAAAAGACGACGGGTAGTGAGAGATGTCACGCTCGGATGTCACACAAAACCTTTGTGGAGATGGAGAAGAAAGAGCCTGGAAACTAAGGATGAAAACGCCTTGCATTTTCTGTACCTTCGTGATCCTAAAAGAAAGTCTTTCTGTTCTGATCTTTATGCTTGTACTATCAGGGTTGGCTTAAGTTCTTGCAAATATTTATTCCGTTTAGCTTATTTATAAAAACGTGGACTTAGTTGTCGGGCCGATTGTTGGCAAAAACCACACACCAAGATGTCAAAGAAATCGCTAGTATTTGTGACCGGGAATCAAAACAAGCTAAAAGAGGTAAGATCTGAGTTTTTCTAAATTTTAAAGGAAGCTTTGATACGTGTCCAGCTTCTTCCTTAATCCTGCTGCCGTTTATTTCCCAGCTGTTTATTGGTTTACCTGGCAGTGAGTCGTGAAAGTTTCTGTTGCACAAACACATACAGCTTAATGTTATGTATATCAAATGCGGTTCAAACGTGGAATGTTCCACCAGCGATCAAGCGAGCCTCGAGCTCGCTGAGGCCATTTGATCTCATCCATATTTCAGTTGAGAAATCGTAAAATTAGAATGTTACTGCTTGGAACAGGGAGATTCTCCATCACTGGGCGCAGTTCTTTTGAATGTCATAGGTCTTAAATGTTTTTTTATTTTTATTTTATAAGGTGGTAGCAATTTTAGGGGAGGCTTTTCCATGGAAAGTGGAGTCTAAAAACATAGACTGTAAGTATCAAAATAATTATCATCATTAAAGGTTATAGCTGCAGCTAATGTTAAGGCTGTATATAATGGATTTGATTTGTACCATTGTTTTATGCTGCCCTTCTTCTAAAAAAAAGAGCAAGGTGTGGGGAAACACACCAGCAATGCATAGTACAGGTGCAAGCATGTAGTCATTAAAATCCTTATTTACTGGGATATCAACTCAGGTGACAAACTGAATTTTGCTTGCACCTAGTGGGGGGAGCAAGCTAGGGAATTGGTGCAGTGGTGAGAGCACTCATGCACTTCCCACTAATGATGCCAGGGTTCAAATCCTGGCTTTAACACCATGTGTGGGTTGAGTTTCTTGTTGGTTCTCTCCTTTGCTCCAAGAGGTTTTTTCTCCGGGTACTCCGGTTTTCCCCTCTCTTCAAAAACTAACATTTCCAAATTTCAATGTAACCGGGAAAGGTAGACAAAGAACCACTCTGTGGAAGGGTTACCTGTAAACTGTTAAGTTGTGTGCTTGCACTGATCAGCATTCAGAGCAATTCAACTGACAAAAATTCTGATGTTTGTGTCTCTAGCAATAACCTGTCAGGCTTTATGAATATCGAAACAGCCCTTTCCCTACTAAAAATTCAAAGGTTTGGCTCTTAAATTAGTTGCCGTATTAATAGTGGCCAATTATTAAGATACACGTTATTTCTACGCAGTAGTTTCAGCATATCACAATATGTATGTACATACAAATGATATATTTTACTATTTTTATAGTACCTGAATTTCAAGGTGAACCTGATGACATATCAAGGGAAAAATGTAAAGTTGCAGCTAGAGAGGTTGGTAATTTTAAAACCATAGAAATGTAAAAATAGAAAAAAAAAGAATGTGAAGAATTTTTGTCACGTTTACAAGGTTTATACAAAATCTTGCATTCTTGAAAAAGTCTTGAATTTAAATTTGCAATGCAATTTTCCAGTATGGAAAAATGGTAAAAAGTCTGGAAGTTTTTTTCAAAGCTACGACAAGTGATTATAAGTTAATTTTTTTTCCTTTGCTTGGTCAATCCCATTCAAATCATTCAATCTCTCCCATAGCCAAGACATTCAATCACAGAATGAGAAGTTTCAGAACTCTCTTAATTCCGCATCGCACCATGGTTACTGTACCTTATAATTATCGGTGCATCATCTGTTGATCACCTATTCAATAACCTTTAGTCTAATTAAAAAGTAACTTATTATTTTGGAAAAAGTCTGGATTCAAAAAAGGTCTTATACCTGCCAACTCTCACGCCTTAGGCGTGAGTTTCACGCCTGTGGGTTGAAAACTTCGATCTCACACCGGCTCACGCTTGCGGGCCAATTTCTCACGCCTGATTGAAAAATGTGAGTTGTTGCCATCTTGCTTGACACAATTTCCAAAAATATGTTAACTCAGACCCATGTAAGGAACAAAAACCATGTGTAAAATGAATAAATGACAATACCTTGACCTTCCTCGCGATCTCTGATTTTGTGGATAAGCGTTTTCTCGATAACTTCACCTTTGGCAGACTTCGGACGTCTTCGGACTTCTTCGGGGATCTTCGGAAATGATCGTGTCGTCTTCAATAATCCCAGCACTCCTAGTATAAAAATCTCACGCTTATATCTCAGAAAAAGTTGGCAGGTATGAGGTCTTGAATTTTGGATCCAAAACTCAACTGCCCAAACCCTGCTTTTGACTCATATTTTAGAACTTGAAAGAAAGTGAATTACTGCAGTCAGTTACCTATAGTTGTTTTGTTTACATTTGTCAGATTCAGGGTCCAGTGATAGTTGAAGACACTTGTTTATGTTTTTCTGCATTGGGAGATCTTCCAGGACCTTATGTGTGAGTTACTGGTACACAATCAGTATAATTTTTTACTTGTGACATTGGCTGTCTTTCACTTCCCTTGCATATTTCTCTACTCAATTGTTGTATTTTCTAGTTATCTACTCTTATAAAAACTTAACCTTTGTCAAGCTCTTTATATTATTGGGTTCTTAAAGATTATTATTCTCATATTGACCCTTCTCAGGAAATGGTTCTTGAAGAAATTAGGGCCTGAAGGTAGGCTTAAGGTGCATTGCCTTACTTTGTCTTTGTTATCACTTGTATTTAAAGTATGAATGATTATTTTATCCACTGTCTGACTTGCCTGTATCCTCAAACAATCACTTTTCATGACCCAAATTTGAGGTATACTAAATTTGCAGTGAGTTAACCTCCACTCTCAGAAGTTCCAATAAAAGTCAGTTGCTCACTTACTTCCAAGGGGAGCTGAGAATTGCGACCCAGCATTGTTGAACTGTCTGAGAATTAGGTTAGCACTGAGTTGGTTTAAATCAGTCAAGCCAGTGGATTAGTGGTGTGCTGATGTCAGAGCTTTTTCTTCATAAGGACAGATAGAACAGTTTAAGAATTTTAGTCATCACATGGTGGCTTTGTAAGTTATTAATCAGTGAGGAACAGTAACTGTTGTGGATGCACCAGATGACATCTAATATGGCTGTAAACATTATTAATGTCGGGCTGTAAGTGTGTTGTTAAGTGCTTGTTCATCTTTATACTTGATGACTTACATTATTATATGTCTGTTAAGTGCATCAATTAGATGACCAAATCAGATGACTTTTGAAGCATCTGCGTAATGGTTTCCCTGAGATGTCTTAAATGTCTTCCAGTATAAACTAAGCCATGTCTGAATTGCCACTTTGCACAGCCTATTTCTTTAATATTTATTATCACTGAAACTTGCATAACTAGAACCTTCTTCAGTTTCCAAGAATTATTCTAGTATACATTTAATGTTTGGTTTATTGGCTGGGATTTAGTGGAAGACCTACCAGAGTCTGTTTGTTTTTAGGTTTGCACAGACTCTTAACAGGCTGGGAAGACAAGTCTGCATATGCACTCTGTACATTTGCCTACTCAGCTGGAAATCTAAAGGACCCTGTCATGCTATTTAGAGGAAAGACAATGGTATTACACCAGAGACTACATAATCTCACTTACATTTTTAGCATTTGTACCAGCCACCTTCTCAAAGTAAAACAGAAAGAGAGCATAAAAAAGATATTATTAGTCATTGTACATTAAAAACTATAAACACTTGTATCCCCGGTGTAGTAAGAGTTTCCGTTTGAGTTTGTTTCAGAAGTTGGAATGCGAATGAAATAAAAAGGAATAAATTAAGGTCAGGGCTAGGCTCCTGAAACATATTCCTTAATATTTCAGGGTTCAGTTAATTTGTAGTTTGTATATAGTAAATACCAGATAAATGTTTGTTAACATTTACTCTCTTTAAAATCAAAACGTGCATCACATAACTGCAGCTTAACCCAAAAAATCAGCAAACTATTAAAGGAAGCATCTTTGTGATGCTGAACCCCCAGAAGGATGGAAATTCTTGGTGATCACTACTACTGATTTTGACTTCATTAATTTCTTAAAGTTAACTCTTGCATGTATGTAATGCCTATTTTGGTTTCACCATTATTGTGTTTTAATTCAATGGCTTTGCCAATACATTATTTGCACTTGTCTTAACTACATTGTAATGAACTTCTCTTCTTTAAAGGGTAAAATTGTTGAACCCAGAGGTCCAAGGAATTTTGGATGGGATCCTTGTTTTCAACCTGATGGCTTTGATCAGACGTGAGTATAATAATACTGATGAAGTCCAAATTAATTTTGAGGAATTTTTGCATTGATTAGTTATGATTTGTTTGAACTTTTGATTTTACAGGTATGCAGAGATGCCATCAGAAATAAAAAATTCCATCTCTCACAGAGGCAAGGCTCTCAAAGCCTTAAAGGAGTACTTTGAGGATGCAAAGGCCAATGATGACTTTCAGGAACCAGAAAATAAGAGACCAAAAAACTTTACTGATACAAAATAACCCACAAAAACTAATTCATTTACCCAGACATGTGCATGTACACTCTAGTTAAACAGGCTTAGTTTTTATTAAAATCAATCGTTTTTTCTGACTAGTGCAGTTTTTATGATATTTGTTGTTTAATTTAACGTTTGGAACGCCAGGTCAAAAAAGCGGCATTTAGCAGAAGGCTTCTCGCCAGATGCAATTGCGGGCAGACTTGACGAAAAAACGCGTATACAAGAGGAAATAGAAGATATTGTTTTGAAATTACAACGTTCCGACTGTTCATGCATTTAAGGAACAATACAATACAATACATTGCAGGAAATCGTCACATTCACGGACGAAAAGAAAATCGCTTATAATTATTCAGATCCAGTAGGCACTGTGGAGAAATTAAGCCACCTAAAACCCTTATTTAGCCCCAATGAAGAACTTTACATTTCAAAAGAGGTCAAAGAAAAAATGCTCTTGCATCAGAGAGCAAATCATGCCGACCAGAAACAATGACCGCGGAAAATCAATATGCGTGTCACGACCTCTCAGTTTAAAATAAGCGGCAAAAATCACATTTGATCAGTCAAAACGTTGTCCTCCAGAGCGTAATCTAACCGTCAGAGAAAAAGAAAAAAACTTATTGGAACAAGCAGCATTTTGGTTTGAGGTAAAAGTCGTGTGTTGCCTACAGACCCCCTTTTTTACAACATGCTGCAGTTTGGTGCAACTTGACGCAGTCTGGTGCAACTTGGTGCAATTTGCTTCAATTTGGTGCAGATTGGTGCAACTTGGTACAGATTGGTGCAACATGGTGCAGTTTGGTGCAACTTGGTGCCGATTGGTGCAACTTGGTGCAGATTAGTGCAACATGGTGCAGTTTGGTGCAACTTGGTGCAGATTGGTGAAACTTGGAGCCATTTGGTGCAGATTGGTGCACTTTGGTGCAACTTGGTGATGACTGGTGCATTATCGTGCAGTTCGGTGCAACTTGGTGGAGACTGGTGCAACTTGGTGCAAGTTGGTGCAGATTGGTGCAGCATGGTGCAGTTTAGTGCAACTTGGTGCAGATTGGTGTAACGTGGTGCAGATTGGTACACTTTGGTGCAACATGGTGTAGTTTGGTGCAACTTGGTGCAGATTGCTGCAACTTGGTGCAGATTAGTGCAACATGGTGCAGTTTGGTGCACCTTGGTGCAGATTGGTGCAACTTGGTGCACTTTGGTACACCTTAGTGATGAGTGGTGCACGTGGTGCAGTTTGGTGCAAGTTGGTGCAACTTGGGGCAGAGTTGTGCAACTTGGTGCAGAATAGTGCAAGATGGTGCAGTTTGGTGCAACTTGGTGCAGATTTGTGCGACTTGTTGCAAATTGGTGGAACATGGTGCAGTTTGGTGCAACTTGGTGTAGATTAGTGCAACATGGTGCAGTTTGGTGCAACTTGGTGCACTTTGGTGCAACTTAGTGCAATTTGGTGCAACTTGGTACAGACTGGTGCAGCATGGTGCAGTTTGGTGCAACTTGGTGCAGATTGGTGCAAGTTGGTGCAGATTAGTGCAACATGGTGCAGTTTGGTGCAAGTTGGTGCAGATTAGCGCAAGATGGTGCAGTTTGGTGCAACTTGGTGGAACATGGTGCGGTTTGGTGCAACTTGGTGCACTTTCGTGGAACTTGGTGCAGTTTGGTGCAACTTGGTGCACTTTGGTGCAGCTTGGTGTAGATTGGTGCAACTTGGTGCAGATTGGTGCAACTTGGTGCAGATTAGTGCAACATGGTGCAGTTTGGTGCAACTTGGTGCACTTTGGTGCGACTTAGTGCACATCAGTGCAACATGGCGCAATTTGGTGCAACTTGGTGCAGGTTGGTGCAGCATGGTGCAGTTTGGTGCAAGTTGGTGCAGATTAGTGCAACATGGTGCAGTTTGGTGTACTTTCGTGCAGATTGGTGCAACTTGGTTGAGACTGGTGCACTTTGGTGCAACATGGTGTAGTTTGGTGCAACTTGGTGCACATTGCTGCAACTTGGTGCAGATTAGTGCAACATGGTGCAGTTTGGTGCACCTTGGTGCAGATTGGTGCAACTTGGTGCACCTTAGTGATGAGTGGTGCAACATGGGGCAGTTTGGTGCAACTTGGTGCAGATTGGTGCAACTTGGTGCAGATTAGTGCAAGATGGTGCAGTTTGGTGTAGTTTGGTGCTACTTGGTGCAGATTGGTGGAACATGGTGCAGTTTGGTGCAACTTGGTGCAATTTGGTGGAACTTGGTGCAGTTTGGTGCAACTTGGTGCAGATTGGTGCAACTTGGTGCAGACTGGTGCAGTTTGGTGCAACTTGGTGCAGATTGGTGCAAGTTGGTGCAGATTAGTGCAACATGCTGCAGTTTGGGGCACCTTGGTGCAGATTGGTGCAATTTGGTGCAGATTGTTGCACGTTGGTGCAACTTAGTGATGAGTGGTGGAACATGGTGCAGTTTGGTGCAACTTGGTGCAGAGTAGTGCAACTTGGTGCAAATTGGTGGAACATGGGGCGGTTTGGTGTAAGTTGGTGCACTTTTGTGGAAGTTGGTGCAACTTGGTGCACTTTGCTGCAACATGGTGCAGTTTGGTGCAACTTGGTGCAATCTGGTGTAACTTGGTGCAGATTGGTGCAACGTAGTCCATTTTGGTGGGGATTGAACTTGGTGGAGTTTAGTGCAACTTGGTGCAGATTGGTGTAACGTGGTGCTTTTTGATTGCTACCTGCATTGTCTCCTTCTTTAGTTCTAACTGCCGAGGTCAAATATTCATCTTGCAAAATAGCGCTTGAAACAGCACGGGACGGCGAAAAAAACATGACACATGACAGTTAACATTTTCTTCAAACTTTTATTTAAAAATTTTCTTTAAGTTCTGCATTTTGGAACAAATTATAGCCACCGTATTGTTCATATGTATTTCTTCTATAAACTAACAAAAGATCGTTGCTCAGATCAACAACGGCCACCACTAACAGAGGGTGGTCTGTCTGTGTGTCATGACCTCTCAGTTTGAAACATGCGGCTAAAATCACATTTGCTCAGTGAAAATGTAAAACCTTCCAGAGCGTAATCTACCCAGTAGAGAAAAAAATTTATTGAAATGAGCAGCATTTTGGCATGAGGTAAAAGTTATGTAGGCCTACCCCCACCCCCTCCTTTTATTGCCAGAATAACTAAGCACACTCACTGTGGTCATAAATGACCTCAACGACTGCGAAGTACCGATCGATCAGCAGCAGATGATGATATCACCACTTGTAACTTTGCCTCGAAATGTTTAATACCGAAGTTACTACGTGTTACAGTCTTATTACGTTATTACGGTAAGGTACTTTCGCCTTTCTTATTACGTTATTATGCTATTATGGCAAGGTCAGTCCTTTCTCCTTCTTTCTTATTACATTATTACGGAATTACAGCAAGGTACTTCACTCTTCTTTCTTATTGGCATCAAAGCTACTGTAAAAGCAAGTGTTTTATCCTTATTACGTTATTACGGCAAGGTTCTTCACTATTCTTTCTTCTAAGTATTAAAGCTACTGTAAAAAGCAAGTGTTTCATTCTTATTACGTTGTTACGCTATTACGGCAAGGTACTTCACTCTTCTTTCTTATTAGCGTCAAAGATACTGTAAGAAGCAAGTGTTTCATTCTTATTACGTTGTTACGCTATCACGCAAGGTTCTTCACTCTTTTTTCTTCTTAGCATTAAAGCTACTGCAAAAAGCAAGTATTTCATTCTTATTACGTTGTTACGCTATTACGGCAAGGCACTTTACTACCCTTCTTTCTTATTAGCATCAACGCTACTATCAGAGAGTAATTAAGCCGGCGATATCAACCCCCACTAAAAACCCTTAAAGACATCTTTCTAACCAGCGTAAACAAGAGGTAATGGTCTTGTACAGTAATCACTTTCTTATTACGCTATGCAAGCGTAATAAGAAAAAAAGAAGAAATGGCTATCACATTCTGGACGATAGTGTGCAATGATAATAATTCATTATTTCTATTAATTTAAGCATTTTAATGTATATGTTGTGATTCAATTTTATCCTTGCTTTACATTTCATTTTCTTTTGTTTTTGGGTACATGTACATGTATGATAATGATTTTGAAACAAAAGAAAATATAATTTAAGCCAAGGATACACTTGAGCCACAACATAACAGTGAATACAATGCTCTTGTGGAGAGATGATGTTGCCTCTCATTTTTTTGCCATAAACTGTTCTTCAGCATTAGATTAAGAGTAAATTATTTTGAGAGACAAAAGGAGGGAAGTTAATTAAGATATTTTGAAAAATCTTGAATTAACTATACGACACATTGTAGCTCTGTACAGTTTTTGTATGTTTATATGAAGATTGGACAGACCTGAATCGTCAAAAAGTATCAAGGTTATCAATAAAATTCATTTAAATGTAATGGCAAAAAATAAGTGATAATATTTTTTTCATATCTTCCTTATCTCAAGATATAGTAATGATAAAAAATCATAAAATCAAGCATTAAAACCTATTAGGCCTGTTAACATGGAGGTGGGGGACCCCAGGTAAGTGAGGTAAACAACTTAGGTGGGGTAAACTGCCTGTCGATATAATCTCTCATATGGTCACCCCCATCTATCATGCAGGGGTTGCAATAAAAACTGAAGTATCCAGCAGGTTTGAATAGAGTTACTGACTGTATCAAAAGGGGGCCATTAGTCCCCTTTATCTAAAAAGGCGGGGGGATGTCTGGGGATGTGTTTCCCCAGATAATTGGTTCTGGGGACTAAACTGAGGACAAAAGAGCGTATTTTTCGTTCAAGAAAATGTAGCTTGAAATCATTCAACTTTTGATTTATCAGTCACAAATCAATTCCTACAAGCAATGAACAAATGATGAAAATTTTGCATGTTCTGCGTAAACCTATAAAGAAACTATAAAGAAACTGGTGAAAATTGACTGAAATATAGCATTTACGTATACATGACTAAAGCAAAATGTAAAGCCAATGGGCCTTATATGAAAACACATCATAATTACGTTTTCATTCAGATTTTACAAAAAAAGAAAATTATAAAGTTATTCAAACTAGTTCCTTCTTCTTTCTAGAAAAAAGTAGCCGAATTCTGTGAGCAAATTAGCCGATTCGTTTCTTTGGAGGTAGGTGCTTATTGAAACCCCTGATCATGTAAACATGATCATATGGACAGCTGGCCGGTTACCCCACCTAAGCGGGTACCTCACCTACCTGGGGTCCCCCACCTCCATGTAAACAGACCCTTAGTCTGGTTTGAATGTATGGCCTGAAAGCAAGAACCTTTTCCATTATACTAAATTACCATTTGGGAATCCACCCACACCCTGTACACATTTTCATATCTTGTTCATGAGCATTTGCACAATTCTTTTGTCTTTCTTCCACTAAAGCTGGAAGGTTGACATGGGTGCCATCGCAATAAGGAGGATTCTTGGTGTGTTTACAGCAACAGATTGTATAGATTGTCTGAGGTTTGTCAGGGACCTTCCATTTCATTGACTTGAATCCAGTTGACTTGTGTCTTCCTACAAACACATTTCCATAAAAAGACAGTATTTTAGTGGCTGATAATGGAAGTGGATATATAATTTGATTCTATTTTTTCTTTTAGTTTAGTAAGCCTCTTCTGTTTATTTTGCATATATTGTCTTTGGCACTTTTTTGAATAGCATTATAACTGGAGTAGAACTCCTGCCTGACTCAACTGAATTTAGTTTCCCTTAATGATCAAAATTTAGCCCGATAACTCAAATTCTGGTCCTTGCAACTTAGCACCTCTTCCATCTCATTAGCTCTTCTTGTTGTGTAATAATAACCTTTTAAGGTTAAATTTTAAAGAATTTTCACTAGAGTCATTTGAATTTAATTAGTGCAAGGAAAAAATTAATTATGAGTCATACTACAAGATTAGTAGTTTCCGATGATAAAATATATGCCTACCAACTTTCAGGCACTATGTGTGAGTCTCATGGATGCTGACTAAAGACATTGATTTCATACATCAAAAACAATTTCTCATGCAAACTCACAAATCCAGATAAAGTGTTCTTTAACACATTATTAATAACGAAAATTAAATTAAATATTTCCAAAATGAAAACATCCAAAAAAGGCACCCAACTTTATCACAACATGCTACAATGTAAAATGTTTATAGCTTTGGACAGTTTTAGTAATGATTGGAAGGCTGCAGAAAATTGTTGAGAATGTTTGGAAATTCCTGTCATGAAAAGATAAAAACCTCATACATTTTACTCAGAAAAGGTTAACAGGTATAATAAAGTACTGTAGTGAAAAATCTTCAAACCATCACTTATTAACATGGCATTTAAAGTACTATTCAATTGACCCTGATAACTTGAATTGTAATGAATTTTACCTACCATCACACCAAGGCTGCTTCTCACTTAATCCACAGGTGCACCACTTCATGGTTTTTCCAGGTGCTAAATTTTCTACTGTGGACGGTCCATACTATCAAATCAATACAGTGGAAGCCCATTAATACGGTCACCAATGGGCCAAAAAAAATTGGCCATATTAACGGTGTGGCTGTATTAAGGAGGGTTTTTTACTAAAAAATGTACGGCTGTTTTTGCCAGGTGGCCAAAAAAAGTGGTTGTAATAACGAGGTGGCTGTATTACCGAGGTGGTCATAAGGCAGGGTTTTGCTGTGCAAGCAAACAGAGATTTAGACATGTTTAGACACTTGTGCGCTTGACTATTATCTTTTTAAAATAGGTTGCAAAGAAAGCTGTGCCTGTTTTTGTGTTTCCCACAACGAGACAGTTAGGCATTTTTTGTATTGAATGTCCACTTTATTCTGCCCCTAGAACAAATCTGCTCTCCTCTACTGCTCGAATGTTTGCTGACAGGTGGTCTTCTATGTCTAAAGCACAGTTGTATCAGTTTTTTCTGTTTGGATCACAGTCTGTCTCTGTCCAGAGCAAAATAATGATTTATTTTCTCATTTCAAGTCTTTTATATCTGAATCAAAGAGATTTTATAAAAAGTACCTAAATACGTATTTTCCAGCTGTTAGCATTCCTTAAATATCCTACTAGTTTGTTTTGCTGCCACTTTGACTAATTTACTATTTAATGTAATTTTTTAATAATTGTTCTATGTTATTTCGAAAAGTGCCCTCTTGATGAGTTTTTTTGTTACTCTTGGGACAAACTTTGTCAATAAAATATGTTTAAATAATAAACAAAAAAACTGAGATTTCCTATAAGATGTTAAATGATTGAACATAACAAGCCTTTAAAAAACAATTAAACACACTGCATCAACAACAACGACAAAAGTGAAGGCTAAGCTCATACAATTTTATATTGTATTTGAAAATTCAGAGCATAAATACGGAAATCAATGAACCATTAAACATTAGAAGTCGCTGGGGCAACAACACAATGCCTTAAAACTGCAAAAAACTCCACCAGTTTGACTACTTTCTGCATATATAGCTAGGTATGCAGTGTCAAAGAAATGTTACTTGTTCATTAAAAAAGTGCATTACTGCATTGGGATGTTTGATCTTTGGAATTGTTTTGAGGAGTTAGGGGAAAATTCCCTTTTCCTAAAGTGGGGAAGGGGTGAAGAAAAACTCAGGGTGAAAAGCCTTACAAGCATAGAATGCATACAGTTCTTCTGAAATTTGTATTCCACCAAAAAACTTCACTTCAAGGCGAAATAATTCAATACCCCAACAGCAAACTCCCCTGGTTCTGGGCTATAATACAGGACACAACTTCCTTTGCACATTGAGAAATGTGGTATGTGTTGGGACTTTAGGACTTTTTTCAAAGGGTAAGAACCAAGTTCTGTAGTGTGTGTCGGAGGGGGGGGGGAGGGGTGGGAGCCATTAAATGGAATGGCCTTGATTATCACTAACTATGTTTTAGGCATGTACAGGTATACCATCACAGTACTTCTGACTTTGATAGTATGCTCCTATTGCCTGTTATCGATTAACGGCTGTTATTTGATCCCGAGTGAGTCCCCCATCGAATTACACTCTAAAACCTGTATTTTTCAATTAAGGAGAGGCTGCTTAATTTAATGACGCCTTATTTTTTATTTTAAGAAAACTGAACTTATTTTAAGGGGGTTGTTTTGGAGTTAAGTTTCTATCATCTTAATTTAAGAGCACGTATCATCGTTCTTAAATCAAAATTTTAAAACAAGAAATGGATTCTCATTTCAAGATAAACGCAAGTTCTTATTTTAAACATTTAAAAATGTCGCTTTACAGTAGCCGAAATGACCAAAATTTGTACACTTCTGGAGCTTAGTTTAGTGGTTAAGAAGTCTTACTACGATTTAATCCTCACAGCAGTATTTCAATATGATCACAGCTCGTCGTTTCACTGCGTTTCATAAACCACTCGCTCATCGTATTCATTGTTGGTCTTTTCCTCGCCTGCAACGACAATGGCAAGTTTTCCTCCTGCCACTAATACACTGCAAAGAGTGTCAAACGATTGTACTATTCTTTCGAAGCGACCATTTTATCGATTCAACAACTCCTCCGCCATATTTTTTGTTTGTTGTTGGCTGCGATTCATGAGAACATGTCACGTGGTACCCCTTTGAGCCAATCAGAGAAAGTATGAAATTTCCGTTGCACTTCAAAATAATATTCAGGTGCGCAGTCGACATGAGAGCTCGAGGACTTGACTGGTGTGATTTCTAATGGCAAAAAAAAAACCTTTTGGCTTTGGTGCATGTGAAATCTTCTCTTCACTCATGTGGCCTGTATTTTTTTCAAGAAACGGACTGGAGAACAATAATAAATTGAAATCATATATGTGAGAAAAAGGTGAGGCTTAGGAAAGCGTAGCTTGAATGAGAATTAGCTGAATTGTTTTTCACAGGATGATTCTGATCGATCTTTGTTTCCTTTCACAGCTTCTTAATAAGCTTAAGTTATGTATTTTGTATTAACATGCATACTGTTTTATACATTTACTACTTATCATGGAATAAGCAAAAGGCAATATTTTGCTATGAGCAGTGAGGCTGTGAGTTTGAGAGGTTGTGAGGCTGTAAAGCTGTGACATTAGGTAGTGAGACCTTGAGGTTGTGAGGCTGTAAGGCTGCGAGGCTGTGATATTGTGAGGTTGTCAGGCTGTAAGGATGTCAGACGTAGTTAATCGATAAACTGATAATAGATAGTAATCGATATCAATCATCTCTAAATATCGATTTCCGAAATCAATCAATAGAAATCGATAAAGAACAAAAGTTGTGACTTTGATTAATATCAATTAGAAATCGATAGTGCTTTTTATTGATATATTTTAAATTGTTATCAATTACTGTCAATTTCTATCAATTGTTATCGATTTTGTTAATTGATAATAATTGATAAATTAGTTTTTCTGTGACTTCGATTTCTATCGATTTCTGATATCAATCGATATTAATCGGCGGATTAAATCGATTAATATCGATCATATCGATTGATTTCTGGTATTGATTTTTATTGATTAACTATGTCTGGAAGGATGTGAGGTTGTGAGGCTGTGCAGGGTTGCGAGACTGTAAGTGTGTGAGGCTGTGAAGTTGTGAGGCTGAGTGGTTTTCAGGCTTTGAGACTGACAGGCTGTGAGTTTGCATTGTGAGATTGTGATGTTGTGTGAAGCTGTAAGGTTAGGAGGTTGTGAGGCTGAGAGGTTGTCAGGCTGTGAGACTATGATATGAGGCTATGATATGATGCTATTAGGCTTTCAATTTTTTGGGGTGGCTGCGTTTTCTCTTATTCCATTTTTTTCCTTCCCCTCATTTAAGAACTCTCAAATAACCCTTGATAACTTAGCATGGTCAGCAATTAGAAGGGATTTGACTTCATAGAAGGAGAGAGGGGTGGAGGTTAAAGGAAAAATGTTTATGAGCAGGGAAAGGACTGGTGTAAAATAACCATCACATAGTTGGTTACCATGACAACAAGGAGGATCTGGAGCAAGCTTCTACATCACCAAGGGCGATTACAGTAATTTTGTAAGCTTGATGAAAATTGTTGAGACTTTGTAAGGGTGTCAGGCCTGACAAAAAACCCATCTTTCATGTAAAAATGTATTGTAAATCATGCCTGGTATGATCCCTTAAAGCAATGTTGTTAAGATAAAGAAACATACTTAATTAAATCTTCATGTGAATTGATTAACATCAAACTAAAAAGTCAATTTAAGTATGTTTAAAAAGTTAAATAATAAACTAAAAGCAAGTTTTTTAGATGATTTATTTATGTAAAAAGGCCCTTCACATTAGTTGATTACGTGATCAACTTTCGGTAAACACAAAAACAGTTCACTTTTGAAAACTTTTGTTTACACGAGCTGAAAGAGCATATTAAAATTAGGTACAGTGGAACCCCACCCTATGGACACCCGCTTAATACGGACACCCAGATATAATGAACGGTTTTGTTTGTCGTGGCGAAGGAGAAGCTCATATATTTTCTCTAAAATTAATCCACTTAATACGGACACCCAGTTAACACGGACACTGTGGCATGTCCCATTGATGTCCATATTAACGGGGTTCCACTGTAACCTGTAAATCTTCAAGCGTATATCTCAAAAGTGACGATTGCAATGGCCGCAGTAATTCAGGGGTTTCAATAAGTTTTTGCATAAGTGGGTACTTAAGAGTAACAGGCGGGTATATTTGCCGAAGGCCCCAAGGGCCTTCGACCCTAGGGGGGTCCGGGGGCATGCTCCCCCGGAAAATTTTGAAGTTCTAGACTCTCGCAGATGCATTTTCAGGTCTTTTTTTGTGGCTTTGTTTTTACATTTTTTTGCTCCTAAGTCAAATAATTTAAACAAATTTGAAGAGAATTATGTTACAATGAAGTAGTCATAGTCAAAACCTATTTTGCCAAATTTTTGGGCAAGAATTTGAAGCTGAGATGAAATTATCTGGTCTTAGTTGATGTTCATGTGAAGGCTCCAAGCGGGTAATCAGCCCGTTGCAAGCGGGTAGATCTACCCGCTACCCGGCTACTATTGAAACCCCTGGTAATTTAGAAGGATTTGTATGCGAAAAACTCTTTTTGCCACCCAGCTGTTTTCATGTTTACTGAAAGTTGACCACGTGATCAACTAATGTAAAAGGCCTATTTGTTTTAACCTGTTAAAACAAACACTCATGACTGGAAAAGAATTGATTAAGACATCAAGGTCTCTACTTGCATAACTCACCACTATGACAGGCTTATATTATGACACATGACTACTATTTAAAAAAGATACACAAAAATGTAGTCATTTGATTTTTATATTATTTTACCCATTTTCAGTCCTCACCTGCGGATACATTTTTACAGTGTAACAACCTTTCTATCACATCTGGATATTTGAACATTGCTGATGAAGTTCATCAGCCTGTATTAGCTGTGAGTTGTACACAATAGAAGACCTCTTATCAACAAATTCCATGTCGTAAATATAAATTTGCATCTCTACATAAAATATGTGAACTAGCTAAAAATTCTATCGAATTGAGTGTGTGAGTTTAAAGGAGCTGTGTCACGAAATTCAGCCAAATTAGTTAATTATAAAATGCCTGTTAAATTAAGAGAAACCATAAAACTAACCGCTTAAAACATTAAACAGATGTCATGGATGGGCAAAACTGAAGAAGATTGAAACAGATTGAAATTTGGGTTTTTGAAAACTGTTCAGCCTCACAGTTTTTCAAAGTTGATCTCTGCTGTTTGCAACTTCAAAAATAATGCTCAGGAGACATATTTGTTTGTCTCGAATCTCTGATTTTGTCATTTCCATGTAATTTCTTTGTTTACTTTAAGTTCCATAGCGATTGAGGGCGAGTAATAGGCAAAATTAAACAAAATGAACTGGATCACTGCCGTGACACAGCCCCTTTAAAGTTTATTTCAAGGTTCAAACTGGGCAAGGTCAGGTCCTAGTTCTTGAGATTAGAAGAGTGTCGTAGACTTTAAGTTATAAAGATTCTAGAAGGGATCGTGTGTCTTAGTTGTTCTTGATATTTGGGGGGAGTGATCTTAGATCTTACTTTTTGAGACTAGGAGGTTTGTCAGGTTTGACCAGTTGTTCAAGAGTAGGTTGTTACTAACCTGGAAATAATGTGGAACTTAGTTTCTGTTTCTCTTTTTCAAACGTTTTCCATTGTAAAATTTACCCAGTCATTTCAGAACATCCAAACATCCTTCATCTAGTTTTAAAAGGATTTAGAAGAGGAATTAATGTTCCATGAACGTTCAGATCTGAATTTCAAAGTTCACTCTAACTGCCTTACCCTGCTTTGAACAACCTGCTCATCTATTAAAGACTTCAAGGGAGAGGAAAACAGTCACAGCCTTGTGTTATGCACATCTTTTGACAAAGCAAAAATATTAGAACTTTATATTTATCAGTTAGGTGAAATTTGAGTTCAAAATTTAGCAAAAGCTAATCCAAAAGGAAAGTGAAAATAAACATTATTTTGAGTTTAGGAACATTGGAATGTTATCTGTCAAAAGTCTAAAAGATTAAATTCCATCTGATGGAATAACATCCAAGAACGACTTTTTCCTACTGATGGCTTTAGGACTGCTGATTTGAATTAAGCATCATTTACAGCTGTACATGCTTACAATACAATAATACTCTTTGTTTTCCCTATATTTTCATGATTTTGTCTGAGTTTTATACTGATGCCTGATTTGTATTTGATGATGTACATGTGCCACCTCGCATTCAGAGGAGCATGTTTTTACTGTATAGACATTAGCCAATAATTTAATAGTGATTTTTAGTAGTAAGAGTAGGTGAGGTAGAATCTCAGGTGTAAATGGCACATCATGCTGGAGTTGATCCCAGTTTCCATAGCTTGAAGTGACTAGGAAAATTTCTCTCCCCCTCCGTGGGCAGACAGGGTAATTAGTTGGTGTCTACCTGCCAGTTTTGACATTATTTCAAGGGTCACTTGGGTGAAGGCATTAGGCAGCAGTAAGAAGTCTGTGCCCACTTCCTCAATACTTTTCTTCAGTTTTCTGTGGCTAGGAGACTATTTAGACGATGTACTGTTCCATACAATAATTGTATGGAACAGTACATCATAATAACTTGAAACAGAGTTTTCAAGCACAGTTTTTGTAGTAGAAACCAGTAGCACTGACTAACAACATTGATCATCATAAGTCACAAATAAACAACCACATTTCTACATTTACTAATGAAATAACAAAATGTTTAGAGAGATAACATCATTAATTAGTTTATCTAGTACTTCCTTTGAAACACCACTTGTAAATGGTTTGTTGAAAAAGTTGCCATTAGTACATTGCTACTCACTGACTAGTGCGTTCATTAGCCAATCAGATTGCAGAATTTGAGACAATGAGCTTTTGTTTCTACTGAAGTGAAGCACTCCCTGCAACCACTCTTGTAACTGACCAGCTCTAGTTACAAACACCATTGTGAAACCCTGCTTGAAAAGCTAGCCCTTGTAAGCGACCAGAAGCGACTGCAACCACTTTCGGGCCATAACCCAACTGGACTTTTCCTTTGTTTTTAGGCTCTCGTAAGCTACCACTCAGAGTTTTATTTATATAAATGAACATAAATAAATGAAACTGCACTCTGTGCTAATGGTTCTTGTACAGTTTAGTATTGTATTATTTTGTCAAAGTACAAGGTCATTTCCTTAGTGATCACTTAGACATAAAGTTTAGCCGTGGCTATATCAGATGTAAAGATACTAATTAAACATTGATTTCTTTATTTTTCTTTATGAATTATTAAAGAGTTTTGAAGCTCTCGGATAAGCGACCACCCTCTATTGTTTTAACATGCAGTCGCTTACGATCTGATAAGCAAACAGCTCTATATATAGTCACAACCACTTTCTCAAATTTCCAAGGTGGTCACTTTCGAGAGCTTCTAAAAATAGCTATCTAGAATAATTAAGTTTATTTAGTTCAGATGTTCTATTCCGAGTGCAATCTTTATTGTAATAAGTGTTAGTTTTGTAGTAATATTGCTTATCCTGTGGCAGGTGGTTGTTTTTTTGTGAAAAAATATATTTATTTTGTTTTACAATGCCCAAAATGGGATCACCATTCTTTCCTTTTTAGTCCTCTTTTTTTCCCAAAAACAAAACAAACAGAATCAAAGATGGTGTGATATGCCTATCGATCATGAGCAACCACAATACAAGGTTTTAGAGGTCTTGTAACTATGTCAAACTTCAAGTGTGGAGAAATAAAAGAGAACATTGATTTGGTGTATATTAAACAATGTTGTCACAAGTTTAGTAGCTTGATGTTTGAACAGGGCCTTTGATCAGCTCTGAACTTTCCTAATCCTTTTTCTTGAAATAAGGACTGGTTTTTCTTCTTGAAAAAAGAAATTTTTTCTTAAAAGCAGAAGTTTAACTTAAGAAAATTAAATTCTTAAATAGTTTTTGAATTTAAGAAAATACCTGCTCATAATAAGAATTATTTTTCTTAAATTAAGATTTAGAATGCTTTTTACTTAAAATAAGGCCTGTTTCTTATTTTAATAATTTTCCCTTGAAATAAGATTTTTTTTCTTAAAACAAGAAATTTCATTTCAGAAAAAAAAACTCTTAATCTGTAGTTTAATTTGAGAAATTTTGTTCTTAAAACAAGATTTTCAGGTTTTAGAGTGTTAAGCAGAGCAATAGCTAGACTACAATGACTGGGGCTGGTAGTGGGCAACACTGAAAAGTAAACGATACCGTACCATTGTGACATGTGGACATAACGTTCCATACTGATATTTCGACGCTTTAGCTGATTTTTTCTTTGTTTCACCCGAAGCACCATCCGGTTCACTCATGGTGGGTGATTCACGCCGCACCGTCAGATGACGGTGAAACACCGGCCGGTCTATCAGCTTAGTAACCACTACATTTCTAAGCAGCCAGGCCATTTCGGTTTCTTCCAAAATGGCGGGAGAATACCTGGAAGAGAGAAACTAACGCGATCTAGGAATCTACATGTAGGGAGACAAAACATCGTTATTGTGAGGTAGAAATATGCTTGCAAAATAGTATTCTTTTGCTTTCATTGTTACGCTGTTAATACACATGTGTGAAAAACAATGCATTCGATTTCACCAACTGAGGCTGGACAGTTTCATGTGAGCTACTAATTAATTTGGAATGGCTTACCGACAACCCATGGTCTGTTTTTCGTGTAAAAAGATTTGGATATTGCTGACCAAGGCTTACACAGCAGAACAAAATTTCTGCACAAACAATAAGCGTGATATGGAGGCATAATACCACACGCGTGCAGGAAGGGCTACGAACAGCTGATTGCCATTACATGTAACTTCATGCAATTTACATGACGATCATATCACAAAGCTTAAGTGCAAATGGGACATATTTGCACTCTAGTTAGTGATCTTTTCACCTAATGTTTTGCAGTGTTAGTTAATCATTCGGGAAGACTTTTTTTACCAAACAACAGTTAAAGATGTCGTCCCTTGAGAAGATGAAGATTTCAGGGATTCGTAGCTATTCCCACACTGAACCTACTGTTATTGAGTTCCACAAACCACTGACACTAATTGTTGGACCAAATGGAGCAGGAAAGACGGTAAGCAATTAAATTAGATATTCTGGAAATGGCGTTTGGTAATGTTTTTCTTTTGTCTTGCAAATGCTCGACTGTGTGATAAAATTGACTACACTTAAAGACCAAAGTCATGATACATGCACAGGAGACCCAAGGTTACTTGCGCTCTTGCCTACTAAATTTTGCAATGTGTCCCAGTAAAGTGTGTGTGAATACATCTGACTTACTGGAGTGTAGCTGAGCACAGAACGTGTTAGTAAAAATTAATTAATAATAAGAGGCAGCATGGCTGAGTGGTCAGAGCACTGGACTTGCAATTCGGAGGCTCTGAGTTCAAGTCCCACTCTGAGTGCTAGCTGAATTATGTGATGGAAGTCCAGAGTTCAAATCCTCCGCCATGCTTGTACATGTAAATAGCAAGCTGGTTTGCCTCTGGCCAGTTGGTATTCTTAACCCTGTTAAGAAACTACACGGTAAGCATATTTACTAGGTAAATAAAGTGTCTATAGATGTCTATAGCCACTATCATTACTGTCATGTGTTTGAATGGTGCTTTACATGTAATTTCGTACGAATAACATTTATTATGTTACACTCTCTATAAACAGTCAGTTATAGAATGTCTGAATTACATGGCAACTGGTGACATGCCTCCTGGTAGCAAACAAAATCTCTTTGTACATGATCCAAAGGTAAGCAAAAAACATCCCATTGAAGAGGTTGCAAATGTATGAAAGGAAGATTAAACAGATTTAGGCCCAGTTGAGCCCCTGTTGGGGTAAAATTATGACAAGCATCATGGCCTTAAAACTGCGACATAACACTGCATGAAATGGCAACAAACTGCATAAAGATGGGTTGAATACCAACGGGGACATGGCGTACTCCTCAAAATGTGGAACAACCGTATTTGAGATTCAGACTAGGAAATAGTATTATTACGCTCCTGCCCCCACCCCCCCCCCCCCCTAGCCCCTAAGAGGGCCTGGCAGTTGGACAAAAATAATATTTATTGTGGGGAAACTGGAGAATAGGCAGGGTTTTCAGTAAGGTTTTATTAGTAGGAGGCAAGAGATAGTAGGCGGAGAAGAAAAAAGTTGCAAGTTACAAGCGCCGAAGGCCCAAGTTACTAGGGGGGTCTAGGCACATGCTCCCCAGAAAAAAGATGACATCTAGGCCCCTTATAATGCATTTCCATCATCCTCGAACAAAAATTAGAGTGTCTGAACGGAACACAGACATAATTAAATTTTGGCTTTTTTATTCAGTGACAGCACATGAATACGTTGTAGTTCAATTTTTTTCTGGTTTAAAAAATTTTTTCCAAAGAAAAGAAGGCAGTCTGTTCACCTGAAATAACTGGTGAATTTTGAGTCCCTGGCAGCTACCCTGATAGGTGGTTGAGTACATGTATGTATTTCAGTCTTCATGATAAGTTCAGAACAAAAATAGTTAAAGTATATACAGCTGTACATTGCTGATCAAAGTGAAATGCAGATTTCTGTGGCCAAGCCTACAATGTGTTTTTTTGTATCTCAATGACATTTGAACCAAGTCAGTGTCCGGTAGTCATTATGGTAACAGTGTTCTTACATAACATGATAATTTAGATTGCTGGTGAAATGGAAGTGAGAGGTCAAATTAAACTGAAATTTAGGGATGTTACTGGAAATCCTATGGTTGTAACTAGAACCCTGGTGTCCGAGCAGAAGGTAAAAAATTTTGAATTAATTTGTGTAATGCTAACTTAATCCTTCAAGCCCCACTATCCACTTACAAGATTTTCAATTTACTGATCTCCATGCATTTCTTAGAAGAATTAGTTGAGAGAAATTGATAAAAGATCAAAGCATATTTCCCTTCATTTTTTTGATCTTGTGTAATTTTTGCACCCCTTGGTAGGCACTATTGGCCGATATGTCGGTTGACTTGTCGGTAGAGCCAACTTGCAGCGATCTGTGTGTTGGTGTTTTGCCCAATATAGCACAGTCTGGGGGTTTGAAAATAGTTTCTGTTGTTGTGTCAACCCAGGTCAACCTGGCAGCGTCAACTTGTTGGATTTCTGCCGTGATTCTATGCGTGTTATACCTTTACATTGTCCTGGAAAACCTCATAATTAGGTGATGCCATAGTGGTCCCTATTTTTTCCAAAAAAATCGCACACACTTGAAATTATACTCTCACATTAGACTGGTAAAAGCGGCCAAAGCCCCATAAAAATTGCTGCATGGATAACATAACAAAAATTTGAGTAGACGAAAAATACACTGTTGACTTGTGACGTATCAGTGGAATGTCAGTAGCCCATTGTTCGATATGTTGGCTGACTGTCAATCAACTTACCGACCAACACTATTGGCCGATCTGTCAGTCGATAAGTCGGCCAACTCTCGGTCAACTGTTGCTCGACGTATTGGCCCACATGTCGACCTACCGTACATTGTACAGTCGGCCAACCGATGTCGGCAGAGAGGTAGACTGGGAGTTGGCCAATAATTATGTTGACTGATGTGGCGACCAAGAGTTGGCCAACATGTCGACTGATACTCGACCAAGGGGTGCCCAGACTAGGTGTGAGGGGATAATAAACAAAAGCAATCTTAACCTTTTAAGCCCTAAGAGTGATCAGCGTCAAATTTCTCCTTGTAATATCACTGCTTTATAAAACAGAGTGTTCATGAGATTTAAGGACATGATCACACAAAATGAATGTAATTGATACTTCAACAAATTCTCCCCACTACTTCTATTGAAAACGTATAGGGATCACAAATGAGAATCTGAATTTTGATGTTAGGGTTAAATGAGGAATGCCAAAATCACAGTAAGTGAGTTACAGTTAGGTCAGACTCAACAGAAAACTCGGCGAAGATCAAAAACTAGAAAGTGCAAGAATATGAAAAAAAAAATTCATTTCGAAAACAAAAAAATATATATACATTATGTATAGGTATATTAAATATACCTATATATAATGTATATATTTTTGATTGAATACATATAGATATACATTATACATACATGAAATATATTATAGAATTGCTTTAGACAGGCCACATTTAAATCATTAATGAAGGCAGTGTCTTTGCTTTCTCCAAGAAATTTAACTGCAGCATAAAGCAAATATGTATTTTAACAAAATAATATTGCTTTACAATGTGACAGGGAAAGAAGGTCGTCACAAAAACCTTGGAAAGTAGTGTTGTGCGTGAAGTTCATGGAGAGGTATGATTACAATTCTCATAGTTAACTTAGCAGCAATAGTTGAGCACATGTGGTGCATGCCAATAAGGCTTGTGGACTGAACTGTACATTCTGAGCATCTACTGAGAGTAATGTGCCTTGTGAGGCCTGAGCAAACCACCTACTTGCACAGAGTGTTGCCTCATTCTCTTTAAAAATCTGGTGAAAGAAACAATACTTATGTAATGTATCTTATACTTAGGGAGGGATGGATAGCGAACACAAACTGTGAAGCAAAATGCTAACAAACTGTGGCAGTCAAGGAAAACTTTAATGACTGTGCATTGGCAGGAGAGCTGCAATCTACATGTCCCCCAACAAAAACACCTGACCACCCCACTTTGCAGAAATAACAGACCAGTAATATCTTGTGGTTGACCACACTTAAATTCAAGTCATCCAGAAGTCTCCCTGTGCTCAATTATTTGGGGAAGGGGAGAAATTTGTTGTGATGTAACAGCGGGGTTGCCACGGTCAGGGAAAAGTCAGTGAAAAACAAATTTTTCAAGGTCAGGGAAAAGTCAGGGAAAATCTTTGATATCATCAAAGTCAGTGAAAGGTCAGGGAATTCTGTTTTCTGGTTTATAGTTCATAAGTTTTCTTCAAGTCTTTGAAATGCATTTTCTTTCAGAAAAGATGAAAAGTATGCTGTAGGGCAAGCAAAAGCTATCAATTCGACACTCTATGCCTGACCCATTGTAGTAGTTGTGGTCAGTGGTTTTAGTTGTGAATGCTTTCTTTCAATTCCTTCTCCCTCTTTCCGTGAAAGGAGGAAAGAGACTGAAAATGAAGAGAAAAATATCGGTGGCCTGCAAAAAAAGCTAAAGTGAATGTAAACATTGATTGTTTCTGATTAATAAAAGGTCAGTGAAAACTGTTTAAAGGTCAGTGAAAAGTCAAGGAAAGGTCAGGGAATTTGTAACTTTCTGATGAGTGGCAACCCTGAACAGTATCATGACTTGAAGTCAGTGGGTGCAGAAGGGGAGCCATACCCAGCGTCAAAGCTTACATGTATAGGCTTCTTACATTTTCTTTTATCTTTCATTAGCGGCGAAGTTTAAGCTCAACATGTGCTGACATCAATAGGGAGGTAAGGATCACCTTGCATACAAAACGATGTTTACACTTACTAGCAACACAATAGACCTTTTTACCGATATGGCGGCCGTATTGAATTAATTGCATTTAAGGAGTATTATGGGATGCCCAGGGGGCAGGAGCACGATCTGATATACTTGCATTAGTATTAACGGGCTTTGTGGGTCAATTTTTTTTCAAGTTTTCCTACAAAAAGATTGTTATGGAAAAAAAAGATCGTTCCGTGTTTGGATGCAATAATGATTGCTTTTTACCTGAGAAATATATGTTGTGGTTCAATTTTATCCTTGGTTTAAATTTTATCTTCTTTTGTTTCAAACTCATTATCATACATTACCATACCCAAAAACAAAAGAAAATAAAATTTAAGCCAAGGATAAAATTGAACCACAACATATACATTGAAGTTCCCTTTTTGTCCAAAAAGCGTTCGTAAATACTGAGCAAGTGCACCCTGGGCATCCTATAATAGTCCTCAAATTTAATAAATTCAATATGGCTGCCGTATCGGTAAAAAGGTCTATTGCTTACCAGCAAGTGGTGAAAATATGAAATTCTTTTTAAATCAATATCTTACTTGTATCCATTTCAGTGAACTGTTCAAGTGACAGTACCATGGTGACTTTTGATTGAGATAGTCAATAATGTTTTTAAGCATTTTGATCCTCCTGAGAAAATGACTAAAGTGAATCCTCATGCATTCTACTTTTACCCAATAGTGTAAAGTCTTAATGTACCGTAGCAGAATTTGAATTTGAATATTATAGATGTACATGGATACAAGATTAGAGAATTAAAATTGACAGTACATTAGTTCCTATGAGCTCAGAGTCTATTGCATTAAAGTGAAGTACCAATGGACCATCACATTTTGTAAGTCCAGTCTTAGTGACTGCAAGTTTATTCTTTTGTATAGATGATTTCATCCCTTGGAGTATCAAAGGCAGTGCTGGATAATGTGATTTTCTGCCATCAAGAAGAGTCTAACTGGTAAGTGTGCGACGGAGAAAAACCAAAAACACTCAGTGCATGTGTTACAGGTTAAAAAATTTTAACCTAAATTTGATTTTAACATGTAATACATGCATGGACCCATGTAAAAGACACAATGAGAATAATGTTATTTGACTTCACCCACTTAGTGCCATGCAGGTGTTGTTGGATTATCAACTGATAATTGCATTGCCACTGGCATATATTATGGCAAAAAGGTGTGTGTTTGTATCCATGGCCTACAAACTGGTTTTTGTGCACGGATCAATTGAATCAAGGCCATGATAAACTGAATTCAAATGCATTTGTCAGTTACAAATTATCATAAAATTATGCCTGTAGTATTAGTTTTGCATGAAGAATAATTGGCTGTTTTTATTGGTTATTTATTTAAGGCCACTTAGTGAGGGGAGAGTACTGAAACAAAAATTTGATGAAATATTTGCAGCCACAAGGTACAGTATTTAATTTTTTCCTGTATGCATGGAAAATACTACCACTAAGTTACTAAGTTACGTTACTAACTTTATCTGCCTCAGAGACATGTGGTCAAGTTAACAGTCAAGCAGGAATTAAAAAAAAAAAACTTGAATTCCTGGTTGTCCTTTAACATTATTAATTTTTTGCTTGCCTGGGATACACTGCAGATGCATGCTTGACACCCTATGATTATGTTCGAAGTTACAAGGGTCTCTTTTTTGTCTCCATGAAGTACAGTTCTTACAGTATAGGTTTTTTGCTTTGGTGTTAAATAACCTTTGTTATGGCATTGTGTAAATTTCATAGAAACATGTACATGTACACAACAGCCAAAGGTCTCATGCATGGAAATGATTAGGAACAGAAAGTTCATGCAACAGCATGCTCTCTCCCTTTCCTTGACAGGTACATAAAGGCACTGGAAGCCATTCGAAAGTTTAGAATGGAACAGGTTGGTCTTAATGTTCTGCAGCTGTACATTTACTAGTGTCACTGAATGGTTTATACAAGCAAGGGCACCCATTAAGTAGAAAAACAACTGATTCTTAGTCTCCTGTTTTTTATCAATTTCATGTGTTGAGATTTTTAAGGTGAATGTCTGAATTAAAGATGGTTGAACACTGCTTGTGGTGTGTATCTGCCATTTCTATATTTCCCAAGACCTTTAGTGTTATGCTAGATTTTTCTGTATATTGGGTGTCTGAAGTGGGTAGGGATTAAAATGGAGGTACACCTGTAAGAACAAGTATACCGTAACTTGCACTGCCTGACACTCTTTTTGAGCTTAACAGATTACCATTTGGACTTGAGTGTACACCGTCAACATTTCAGCAACTTGCCGGTTTTTCATATACTGCTGACTTGCTGTATGTGCGGTATGATTATCATTACTGCCTGAGATTATTGTTCCCATATGCGGACAAAAGGCACCAGCTACATTGGCTATCCCAGTCTTTACTGCTGGCATGCTTGTAAGGTTGACTGGAGCTTGACTTTGCAGGCATCACGGGGCCAACAACAGCCATCTCTGATGGCTGTTGTTGCCAATGATGCATGTTCTCATGTCTAAATAGTGTCCCAGGCAATATTGATAGCTATGTCACAGGTACATGTAGGCCGGCAGTGATTGAAAACTAGGCTTTTAGCTCTGACAATAGATGGAAGTTGAATAGTAACTTACATGTATTGAATGACATCAAATTTATTTTGCAGGTGCAGACTGTTAAGGAGTACTCTATTGAATTAAGCCATCTGAGGGCAAACAAAGTGAAGGCAGAAGAAGTACAAATTCTTAATTTTGTCATTATTCCTCTAAAAATGTTTTTTGTCATAAGCCTGAGAATGTTGCATAACTTATGTACACATACATGTATTAAATAAATTTTATGAATAAATTAACCCATCGTTAATGCTGCTTACAGGTGGGTAATGGTTGGCCTAAATAAATTTGTTTTAGTGCCATTGAATGTACTCACAAAGCAACTTGTAAAATTACTTCCATCCTTTTTGCTAATAATGTGCAGTGAGCAGACATTGTGAAATTGAAATAAAACAGAGCTTCTCAAAACTTTTTTTTTTACTTTTTTACATTCATAACCTCTCAGTGGATACTTTTTACCAGTGGTTTGAGTCCTTGCAAAATCGTTGAAAATTACATCTTTTTTCTTTGGGGAATACTGTGCCTGCTAATCTCTTCGGGTTAGCATTAATGGGAATTTAGCCAAGATAGACTAGAAATGCTTCCCTCATGGTTATTGTATGCCAAAATCCTTTTCCAGTGTAATATACATCTTGTGAATATACGTCTCATTTTTTGATCTTACATTACTCACTCAGGCTTATTGCCTGTGCCAGCATTTGTTGTATGATGTAATGGGCATGGGTTTACAAAAAAATGGTTGCAGTTCAATAATAAATTATGATGCCTGATTTTACTGGAAATTTTTTTGGGAATTTTGTCAGATAGCAGATGAACTGACGCAAACCCAGGGAAAGGTTGAGGCAACAAAGGATACAGTACGGGAACTGAATGAAAAACTTGAGCCAGTAGAGGTAGGGCTATCCTGGTGTTATTTAGTCTGTTGGGTGTTTACACTTCAAGAAACATTCTTGCTCTTAGTTGTATTCAGAACAAGATTCATGTAACATGTCAGCCATGTCATGAGCAGGACAACAAAGGGGGTAGTACAGAAAAGAACAAATTGGTCAAATGAAAAGGGAAATTAATTTTTGGACTGACTGTTCTGACCAGTTAGAGTCAACCACTCTAAAGGTTGTCCCAAATATTTGAGTCAGATGAAATCAAAATGGTCCTTTCCATTTGAATTCCAACTGGAAATTGTGGTGCAATGGAAACTTCACGCAGGGTAGTTGAAAGGTGGTTATCCCCTTATAGAATATTCCTACATGCAGTGGGACCCAAAATTTGTCAAGTACATTCTGGATACAATACAGCAATAATAAATAAGAATTGTGACTCCTTACTAGGCTGCCTGCTGAGTTACTGGTTAGTGCAAAATTGATTTATTGTATTCTCTCATTTTGTCTTTTTACAGTTAAAGCTGGCTGAACTTGCCAGTATTGCAGATGATGTAATTAAACTGGAGAAAAAAGTTGGTATGTGTCATAAAAAAATAGCCATTGATCAGAGTGAATCTTTTTATGGCTTCTTATTTAGGTTATCAGATCCTTTGATAGAACCAAGGTACATGTATGCCAAATCTGCAGGTTATTTTCGTTGGTTTCTTTTCCAGAATCATTGTCAACAGAAAAAAGACAGCTCTTCAAAGTAGAGGCTGATCTCAGGGACAAGATCACCAATATATTTAATGGTATTTACATTTCAATCTGCCTTGCCTGTTTCAAGTGGTTTGAGAAAACAAGTCAAAAAAACTGTTTCAGGACTCAAACTGAAACACTATTTTAGTGCCATTTGTGAGCAGTGGTTAATATTTTATTTGCAATAGTTAATACTGCAGTGCTGAATTATAATGGCACCAGTGGAACTCTGTTCTTTTCTGTTTTGAATCTCTGTACTGTCCACTCTTTCTTTCAAACTTAATGACCTTGATCAAGGAAAAAAGGTGGGGGAGGGGGGGGGGGTAGAAGTGGTAATGAGTTTTACACAAATGCCAGACGGAGATGTTGGTGTAAATAGAGGATATTACATGGCCGCGCGGAGATACTGCTGTTGAAAAATATTCATGAGTGAGCGCAGCAAACGAGTGAAATATTTTCAACACAAGAAGAGAAATTTCGTATCTCCAAGCGGCCATGTAATGTTCTATTTATTATATAAACAACAATGAAATACCAAACCATTTCACTGAAACAGTTTTATCCTGCGAAAGGCGCGATTTATTATTTAGCCATAGCAACAGTGATATTTTCACATGTGAAAATAACATGTTATTTTCATGTGTGAAGATAATCATGTTTTCGCGCGAAAGCTCACCTGGTATTTCATTGGTGTTTATATAATAAATAGGTATATTGACATAGGTCTCATATCATGTTTCTTGTCCACTTTCTGCACCCAGGATCTGTGGATGAACTTCACAAGATTTTTTCAGATTTTCAAAGAAGAGTACAGGAAAAGGAAAACACTTTAAGAAATGTAAGCATTCTCTTTAACTTGTCCAAACCACTGTTAGCTACTGCACGTCTTTTTCGAAGACTTTCAAAGCCCAGATTTATTGAGTTTCGTGGCTCTCAGGAAAGGTTTTGGCCTATCAGAACCCAAGAAACACTTTCATCAACACGAGTTTCTCCCAGTCTTCTTCAAAACATTATGCAAGTAAACCCTGGTTGATTGCAACTTAAACATAGTTTCCCCTGTGCAATGCTTGTCAGTAATGTATTGCTTTTAGTTTCTCTCGGTGAGTTAAATTGTTGCTGTTTGGGTTTGTCTTCAATTCTGTTTGAATTCATGAAAATTAATTTTGGCTGAAGTGTAGGGATTTTGCTTCTGATTTTTATTGGTTATGAAGGTAGAAACAAGCGCTTGTTGCGACCTCAGTGATACATAAACAATGTAATCTTCATTGCAGAATGAAGTAAACCTTCAGACATTAAACAAAGTCCAACAAAAGTTGACTGCTGACCAGAATCAGCTACTAATGGCAGGTGGAAAGCTTGAACAGCAGGCTCAGGTAAGAATATTAAGGTTGACTAGGACACGAAGCTTTTATTTGCTAAACATACACACCGGCTTTGAACAGAAGTTGCTAACATCCTAAAAAGTAATAACGAGAGAATGCTTTCGAATAGATGTTTTCAAGGCCTCCACTAGTCTTCCCCTGTGTAATACCTATGAACATTTTGTCCTCTTTATCCTGTTTACTTGTCTTGGTTTAATTTTCTTTTTACCATTTGGTCACCTAGTGATGAAATAGTTTATTAATGTCTATTTTAACCTTGATACCTTGTACTTTATTGTTTCTTCCATACAGAGACACAAGCAGAACCTTAATGACAGAGACAAGGCTGTTACAGATCTCGCAAATGAGTTTGACGTGAAAGGTTTGAATGGTCAATTCTCTATTTCTCAACAGTGGCTTGTATGGAATGCAGAAGTAATTTTGTGGAACGCCTTACTACTGAGCTTAAAATTCCTTTTTTTGGACACTGGACGCTTTTGATATTTTCCTTTTCTTCTAGTATACATGACACTTATCGCAATTATGGTCTGGTGCTTGTAGTCCCTTAGCAATGTAGAGGTTGGCGCATGTTCCTCGTTCTTGAAGCTCCAGTAGTTACGGTGACCTGAAAAACACTGTTGCTAAAACTGCACTACAGTACACTTTTCAAGATCTCTAAAAATTCCTCTCTGAAATTACCCTAGGTAAGGGTGGCAACCCCCCTTCTCCACATGGCAGTGCAGTGTGAGAGGCACCTATGTGTCCCCCTTAAATTTTCTGGAGAACCTGTGGTTAAAGCGTTCTTGACACCATTATTCCATCTGTACCAAATTTATTTAATTTATCATTTATTTCTGGATAGCCCTGATACAGAATATGAGCGTATCTGTTAATTGTCTTCTGGACGTTGTGTGCATTGTTTAGAAATGTACTCAGGCAATTTAATGATCTGAATAATTCTTTCTTTAGGGTTTGAAGGAGGTCCTTTCTCTGAGGAGAGGGTTGACCGATTTATGGAAGAAATGAAGAAGAAATATCAAAATGTCATCGATGACACAAAGCGCAAAAGGGTGAGAATTATCATAAGCCAAAACAGTGACTGGTGTAGTCTGTAAACTTCGTGCGAGTTTGATCAACAACTAAAGCTCAAAGCTTGACAGTACTATGATTGATGTGTTGGCTTGTTTGTATGTTCGTGGCCATGTGTATTTAAGAAGTAATTCTGCAATGAGCGTCTTTAATTATTTTTTTGACAGCAAATTTTCGATGAAAATATCAACAAAGTGCAGAGAAAAATCGATGATATGAAGAAGAGTCAAGCACAGTGCGAGGAAACCATGAGACTCAAGAACAAAATGATGGTACTTAGATCTATCTAGTGTTAAAATGCTACTACGACGAAAATTTTTGCGCATTTTTCCGTCTTTTTTCAGCACAAATCTTGGGTTTGTGTACTTAGACTCAGGGAACTTGCACGTATATTCAAAAACACATTAAAAGCTTTCTTTAAAAAAGTTCAAAGGAAATTAATAGTTAATGAATGTCCTAGTTTAGTAAAAACGGCTGAAATTTTAGTGCCGATTTTCTGGAACAAAAATGATACATAAAAATAACAAGTATAACCCTAAAAACAGTTTTTGTAGCCGTTCAGTGAAGTTATACATGTAGTTCACGTTTTATGACGCTTAAAACGCTCTGCTGAGCCTTGTGTTTTTTAATTCAGAAAACACTCATAAACTTGCGAGGCCTCAGATTTTTCGCTTAAATCCAGTGTTTTGCTGATAACACTTGCGCGTTAAAATTTGTTCTCTTGCTTTTCTAGCGTGAAAACCAGCAGAAACTAAGACAGATTGGCCAAGATTTGAGCAATGTTGATGCCTCAGCAAACAGGCTCAAGTCATTGGAAGAAGAACTGCAGAGGGCGGTGGGTACACCTCAAGAACAAATTTCCTACTTTTGCCGTGCATAAAGTTTAAAATTTTGTTTGTACAATATGCCCGGTAATTATTTTTCTGTGTTTCAAAGTATATTTGAAGTACTTGGAAAAATAGCTACAAGGAGAAATCTCGAGAATGAGGCAGGAGAACCTCGATAACCAAAGGGAAGAAGTTGTTTTGAAGTATTGTCTACCAAGTCACGTTTCTGAATCTGCAACACTTGAAACTTGCATCCTGTGTTTTTCTCTTCTTAGCCTGCAACCTGTAGAACGTGCTCCTCGTCTAATTAGCCCAAAGCGGTTATTTAAGCCTCTGTTAATCCTCTACTAACTGCATGTTTCATGCAACAACAGAACAAATGTTTTAATATAGAACACATGGTACATGCGATAATGTTGACAAACTGGTACATGTACATGGTATGAATGTGTCCCTACACGTTCAATTATATTTCGTCCCTTCTTCATCAGGAGCGTTAAAAGGAGATGACTCCAGGGGGTGAAAAAATAACCAGACAGTAGGAGTAAATTGCTTCATAGCGGTTGATTTTTTTCTTCATCCAGGAGAGGGAACTTAATGCCGCTCAAGAGAGTGGCAATGTTAATGAATTAGGAAAAGAGATCGACAGGCTGCAATCCGACAAGCGTAATCTTGACAATGAGCTACGGCAACTGAGGGAAGAGCAGCAAGCGATGCACATGCAGTCCACAACACAAGCTAAACTGGACATGTTGTCTAAAGAAAAGAGCACAAAAGAAGATGCAATCCAAAAAATGTAGGAATGTGTGGAACGATTGATGTATATTTTGTAGTTCATATTTATCGTTGTTTTTAGTTTTATTTTTTATTGTCGTTGGGTATGTAATGTATTATAATGCATTTGAAACAAAGGAAAATAAAATGAAAACTAATGACACAATTGAACTGCAACGAATAATAGCACTACTTCACGCTGTTGCCAAAATACCGACGAGGCAGTTTTATTAAGTCCTTAATTGGCTAAATACAATAAGAACTTACTTCGTTAGTTTCTGTATGACTTTCTCAAGTTTGAAGGTTTTTTTTAAAAAAATGTTCCCTATTTTTCACGTAGCACTCAGCTCCGGTGTCTTCAAAAGTGTTACTCATTGGCAGTTAACTGCATATAACCACATATTGAAAGCAACGTGCTTCTGCTTTTTGTCTCTAGTATGGACCGCCACGAAGAGGATCTAAAATCTATGCTAGGGACACGAGGCACCTCAGAGAACCTCTACACAAGATTACAAGAGCTTCTACGAGCGAAGGAAAGGGAACTGAGGGAAACTAGAAACAATCTGCAGAAACTGAAACAACAGTTGTCTTCGAAGCAGACAAGAAAGCGGATGATTGAGTGAGAGTATTTTTATATCTTTATTTCTATTTTATTTGCTTTTTAGATAATTTTCGTATAGTCAACTTTTTTCAACAATAGCTGCTCATCAAGATCGACTGGCTTGATGTAAAAGTCGCGATGAGAATGTACTTGTAACTTGCTTAACTTAACACTTAGGGAGCTCCTAAGAGCTTTTAAGGATTCATTTGGAAGTGGGAAGTGTTTATTTAAACCAGGGTACCAGGTGAAAAATCTCTCCTCTCAAGGTAGGAACCACTAACAACAAGAGGTCGACTTCGGGGCATGGTCTCTAGTCAAATTAGTGGGATCGAGACAAGTGTTGCTCTAATTATTGCTCTACACTTGTCCCTCTCGCTTGAATAAGTTAACGTTGATCTCACAAGCCTTCTGTGCCTTTTTTTTTTCAACAGAGAGAACTTAAAAGACAATGAGAATAAAGCGCAACAGCATAGAAGACAGATCTCTGAAGCGTGTGGGGAAAATGATTACAACACCACGAGAGAAAGTATCCGTGAAAGCATTGCTAGTTTGCAGGAGTAAGTGAATATAGTGAGGTCCCCGAAGCCTTTTTTGTATTTTCAAAAGCGGCAAAAAGGGCGTTAGCCATTTTGTGCTTTTGTAACAAATATATGCTTTAGCCGGTTTTATTTTCTGATTTTGCCTCAGTGAGAACATTTCGTTTTGCTTGGCCAAAACACTGCCAATCGAAAAGGGTTTCTGCCTCTCCACATCCAGCTTTTAGACAAGCTCCCTGGTGAGAGGAGCCCTACCTTACCCTCCCAGAACATTGTCGCAGCGTGTAAGAAAGAAAGTCATCAAGCTCTGCGAAGTCTCAACAAAAAGCCAAGATAAACCCTAGAAAAATGAGAGAACAACAACAACAACTAAAACTTTGGCTGTGTTCCGCTTATAGAGCGTTTTTACATGACGTCACGGAGGCCACTTTCAATGAAACAATGAAACCGCGGCCATGTTGGTGTTCCAAACCAATCCTGTGGGAGTTAAACTCTTTTTTTTATGTAAACGCTTTCTTTTGTTCTAATTAGTTTGCTTAGATGCTGGCCACGTGATTGAAAACGCTCTATAGACACGTAACTCGTAACGTAACTCGCGCTGAAGCACTTTCTTTGATTCTAGTGAACGAGGTATCATTGGCTCCCTGGAGAAAATCTACTCCAAGTATGTGTCCAAACTGGAAAGTGAAGATGTTCACACCAGCGGCTGTCCTCTGTGTCACCGAACATTTGAAAGCAACAGGCAGATTGCTGCTCTCGTCGATGAGGTAAGACTTACAGTGTGATGGCTTTGTGTTTTTCTTTTTCGCAAGAGCCGTAACTGAAGGTAATGTTTAGGGACTACTAACCTATCTCTACAGCAGATACTTTTCATTATCTTCCATAACTGACTTCTATTTTTTTCTTTTTTAGTTGAGGAGAAAAATTCAAACCCTTCCAGATAAACGAGTGGCAAATGAAAGAAGTCTCGTTGAAGAACAAAACCGCTATGATCGCATTCTTGAACTGGCACCCGCTAAAGAAGCTGTAAGTATTGACATTGCTTTTGTTTTTGTTATCAAGTGGTCGCCAGACATAAATTATTGGTGGCCAGAAAAAGTCAAGGACAATATATGACGTGAGGGGCGTGAAATGATGAAAATGGCTGCCCAACAATCGTAGTGGAATTCGACGTCTCAAGGCTTTAATCCCGGACAGCCAGGGTAGAAGAGACGAATGATAACGAAAATGGAGCATAAATAATATTTCATTTGAATGTTCATTTGACTTTAGCCGTAGAAAGACCATAAACACAACTGATAAAAAACACTACACCTTGGCACATGACTTCTTACAACACGTCGCCAAATTAGCAACTTTCCTTGTCATATTTGTGGCCAAAATATTTTTCCATTGGCTGATTAGCTGGTACATGGTGTGAATACATCAATTTTCTTCTCCTAGCTTGAGTCCTTGGAAAGCAACCACATTCCTGATATCAGGTCCAAACTGGAAGAAATGGACGACGAGGTGCGAAGGATCAAGGAGGAGATCACTGAGGTGCGTCATGCCATCATTCAATCCATTTGTTGTAAATGTAGAACGAGGTGTAAAAAGGTATCAACATCTCCGCGACTCTGAGATTTCTGGAAACTCTCTTTAAGTAATAGGAGCTAGCCTTGTTCAAACTGAATCCTTCAGGACAACTGACTCGGAGGAACTCCTAGACATGTTGTCGTAACTTGGGACCAAAACCAAACCAAACCAACGTTATTAAGAGAGGATGACCACCTACAGTTCCGATAACTAAGAAACCTATAGCCCGCTAATTGTCTCAATCTAGCTGGAGACACTTTCTAGATGGAATTGGAATTTGGAAGTGCTGGTTTCTAAAACTGGAGTACCTGGAGCACAGAAGGGAGTGAACACAGGAGGGAACGAACAACAAACACAACCCACATATAAGGCTTCGACTCCGGGGCTCAAATGCGAAACACATTGGTGGGAGGCGAGTTCCTTTACTACTGTTCCATCCCTGCTAAGAGCCGTTTAGTATCGCTTCCATGCTAATAATCATGATAGATCCTTTCGCAACGTCTTATCTATGTTACCGTAAAATTCCGAAAATAAGCCCCTCCAAATATAAGCCCCACAAACTCGTAACGCAAAAAACCCGCCGTTACATCGCCCCTCCGAATATAAGCCCCGTGGGGGGCTTGTACTTGGAAATTGCCCTCAAATACAACAACGGCAAAAACAGTAAGTTTCCTTCCAACTATAAGGCTAGCCCAATCGATTTTGAAACGCAAATTTCCCTCCGTAGATAAGCCCCTCCGAATATAAGCCCTTCCAAAAATAAGCCCCGAAAAGAGGGCCTTTGAGAAATATAAGCCCTGGGGCTTATTTTCGGAATTTTACGGTATTTGTTTCACTTATATGCTGCATTTGCTTGGTTTTAGCGTGAAGATGTTCAGAGCATCGCCGAAAGCGAGGAGCAGAGCGCTCGACAAATGGAACCTGACATCCGCATGTTGGACAAATACAAGTCAGAGCTCAAGGACATGGACAGGAATATATCCCTGCTGCAGTCCAAACTTCATGGAGTCGGTGAGCATGCCCACCTACCCCTCCCCTAAGCCAACATTACCACTTACTTCTCACTTAGAACAAAATGTTGGCTCAGGGGAGAAACGTATAGTGATCCCAAAGGGCCTTGGGTAAACGCGTTACAAAGCATCAGAGTGATCGATCGTGGATATCTAGCGTTCTCAAGGGCTAATTTTAGTGCTTAGCATTTAGAAGGAGCTCCGCGTTTAGGCTTGGCAGTCCGCACTTCATGGAGTCGGTTTTCCCTTGAAAACTTTGACGAATTACAACAAAGGGCCTTGGATAAACGCGTTTTAAAGCATCAGTGATCGATCGTGGATAGCTAGGGTGCTCAAGGGCTAATTTTAGTGCTTAGCTCTTAGAAGGAACTCTGCGTTTAGGCTTGGGAAGATTTATATACATTATATTGAGTCATAAAGACCTTACAGCTTCTGTAAAAGTTAAAATCAATTTCCAGAGGCATAATCAGTAATTCCTTTCACTGGTGAAGTTGTGAGGCTAAGTAGAGCACTTACAATAATTATATACCAGAATATTTTTCACATTGTTCATTTTTTAGGTTGTGTGTCCTTTGTCATCATCTACCTGCTAATGCGGTGTATTGTACAGATATTGAAACGCCTTTTTTCTTTCTTTTTAAAGCTCCTGGTCGTACCATGCAGTCAGTTTCCAACGACATCTCGGAGAGACAAGATCGATCGTAAGTCTGACGTGAACCGTCAACCATCGAACATAAGTTTGTCTTTAGGTTAACGTCCAAGTAGTTGATTGCAATCATTTTTTCATGCAAAAAATGCATTTAAAATCTCAGGCATCCTGATAACATCCCTTTTCAAGTTGGAAGCATTCAAATCAGCACCGTCTATTGGTAATCAACTTTTACGCGTGTGGTTTAGAATGTAACTTATGTTTTTGAGGCATGTGAACTATTTGAGGTGAGGTTGAAACATAGTTATTTGAGTAAACTGGTTATGAAAAGCGGCAAACATCAATGATAAAAACAACAGTGCTGCAGTTTATGTTGGAAGTACCGTGAAAGTGCACAATCCTTTGTTTTCTGTTGGCAAATTGTTACGGAATAAATTAATGCAACGTTTTTATTGGTCAATACAATCAAAATGATAGGAATTCTTTTGAACGTTGTGCACTTTCAGGTCCACAAAAACATATAACAAAGGAGTCTGACGGGTTTCATAACCATTCCACTCAATTAACTATGGTTGAAACGATAAGAAAAATAGGCTGGTTGTGAGTGCATAATTAATTAATTTACTTAATTATTTCAAGATTTCCACAAGGGCAGGTGATAAAACAATAGGACACTCGGTCTTCTTTTAGGTATTTATTACCGTAATAGTCCCTTCCCTCGAGGAAACATAGACCTGCCACACTGCCGTTGTCTACGTCGCCTCGTCTTTTTCTTCGAACAGCAGTGTGGGTTCCTTTGGGTTCTTACCCAGCACGGTCTATCACTGAGATTTGTTGTTACCCTGGTTTGTGGTCCCTCACGCTTATCTGTCGCTCTTTCAACTAGGCATTGAAACGGAGGGGATAGGGGGTGGGTTAGGTCAGATGCGATTTGGAACTTTTTGGTAAATAGTCTGCCTTTATGGGCTACTAAATTTTGAGTGCTTTTGATTTGTTCTCATTACAGAGACACCCTAAATAACAATATTGACAGGAAGCGAACTCAGCTGAGTCAACTCCAAAGGCAGCTCAGTGACCTGGGGACGACTGTACATGAACTGAAGTCACAGAAGGTTGGCTCATTTCTTCATTTCTCATATGCTCCTTTTTTGTGTTGTCATAGTAACCATTGACTGGCACTCGACAGATGATGACGGATCATCACTACTGGGAATTATATTTTTTATCCTCTTTATTTTAGGTAACGTTCGCAGCCAAAATAATGTTCGAGTGTGAATGTACAGTCAGACAGTAAACGAGCAATAATTGATATGAAATTAACCTAACGGTGTCGTACGTGTTAATACTTTTTCTGTCAGATCCCTGGTAAAGCATCTCTGTGGAAACTCGGGCGTGTTTAAAAAATGAATTTACTAAAACTTCGTTAACGACACGAAACACCCCATCGTCGAATTGTGTTATCGTTTTAAACGTTTGGTCTCTTGCAAATCACGTGTTTGGACAATACCATTCTGAGACTCTCCATTTGTCATTTACATTTCTTTAATACTGCGGTGCATGAATTTCTTAGAATTTTAATTTAATACCGTGGCAACAAAGACTACATCCGAAATTTGCTTTTTCGGGTCAAAACTTCTAATTAACTGCGATGAAATTATCATTCAGAATATAAAATATATTAACACTATTATCAGTAATTTAGGAAAGATGTTAATATAAAGAGAAACGCCTTTGAGTATATTGTCTACTTTCTTCCGCTGTAATCTTGATCTATATAGAGAGAGAACGGCAAAATTTTCAGTTATATTCGTCTGCCAAACTGCCAAGTTTCGTTGTTGTTGAGTTCTTGGTACATGAGAATTTGCACGATAATAGCATAGATAAGGTCCGACATAGCTGTCTTGTATTTCTAAGATCTGGGAAGATAACAGCAATTGATAATTACGGTGGGGAAAAAAAAGCCACTTGAACCAGAGCAATTGACTGGACGCAGGAAACACGAATGAAGTGCATTTTGTACAAGTTGTGATGGCTACTATAAATTTAGCACTCTCTACAAGTACATGAAATTCATCATTTCAGTTTGTTCAAGTACACTTAGAAAGGACGGTTATCGGCAATTTTGAAAACGTCGATATATATTTTTTCTAGAGTAAATACCAGGTTGTTTTCTATCAGGGGGCTCTCTGTCATGTCGAAGATAACAATAAAGAGCAACTAATGTAGATTATGCTGGTTGGACGTTGTAAATAATGAAGGTCAACGTTTCGAAAATCGGCGACCTGTTTCCCGGCACGTAATTGAATTCGTAGTGAAACACGAATGGCAATAAACGCCAGAAACGCACCGGGCGCTGTCCTTCAGCTATTTTAGGTCTAGCTTTTCTTTATTAGCATTTAATCAACAGAAGCGATGACTCGACTCACTCACTGTTAATAAGTAATGACATAATAAGGTAAACTGTCTTGCCTTTGGCGAAGTAGTTTGTGAATTGGCCCCATCAATTTAGGATTATATCACTTGACTAGATGTTAAATTATCAAGTGAAATAAAATTGTAGTTTACTAAACTAAAACGCGCCTGTTAATAGTAAGATGTTCTTGTAATGAGAAAATGAATTCTTAAAGCGTTTCCCTTCAATTCGTGATCATTAATTATGACATATATTGCTTCTTTAAAATGACAGTGGCGTTTTCTGACAACAAGACCTATCTGGAAGAGATGATTCTGCAAATAATGAGATGTTCTTGTCACGAAAAGATGAATTCTTAACGCGGTTCCGTTCAATTCGTGATCTTAATTTATGATATATATTGCTGCTGCAAAATGACATTGGCGTGTTCTGACAAAAAGAGATCTATCTGGAAGACATGAATTTGCAAATAATGTGATATCGTATAGACATGTCCACGGCATACAGCACGCATGGAGTTCAGCTGCCGTGTGTTTAGCTTATTATCATACAAACAAACTGAAGCTAAAGTTAGGGTCGTGGGGGAACTGCATTGACAAAACACCTGCTTCTTCAGCTTCCTGCTTTCACAGAGGCGTGTTATGAATACCACAAAGTACATGTTGTTGTGCACGAGTTGACCGGTAAATCTCAGGACAGGTTTAGTTGTTACGTCCATCTAAACGTGTTTTCTGCAGTAAAATGACAACCACGGTGAATATTACTGGAGACGGACCTAAGTCGAGTTCCTTTGTACATTTATTTTGTTCTCCGGCAGAATTAACCGGCGTCCTGGTCGAGTTAATTTTCCTTATAACGCTGAACATTGTTTTATCCATCACCACAATTTTGGGAAATACTCTGATTCTTATTGCCCTCCAGAAGGAGTCATCACTTTATCCGCCCATCAAACTCCTGTTTCGCTGTCTAGCAACAACCGATCTCCTCGCCGGCCTTATTTCAGAACCCCTCTTCGTTGGTAATTTGACATTCGTGTTGAACGAACGCTGGACCATTTGTCGCTACACATCTATGGCAAGCTTCCTCGTAGGATATATCTTGGCTTCAGTGTCTTTATTAACAGTAACTGCTATCAGCGTAGACAGGCTTCTCGCTCTGTTATTAGGTTTAAGGTACAGACACTTTGTCACATGGCGGCGTACTTGTGTAACTGCGACTTTACTCTGGGTTGTCGCCATTGTTGGCACCGCAATGTTCTTTTGGAATCATCGTATTACTTTGTGGTATGGGTATATAGGCATATCTTTGTGTCTTTTTACCTCGGTTGCATCCTACTCAAAGATTTTCATCGCTCTTCGCCATCATCAAAATCACGTGCAAAGTCATGTTCCTCAAGACCGCCCAAACCAGACGGGTACACTGAATATCGCGCGGTTCAAAAAAGCGGTGTCCAGTGCAGTATGGGTGCAGTTGACTTTAGTCGTCTGTTATCTGCCGTACGTTATTGCAGATGCTCTGATTGCTGACAAGAAATCATCTTCATTAGCTTACGTTGTTAAGGAATCAACAGTGACTTTAGTTTTCTTGAATTCGTCTTTGAATCCAATTCTTTATTGCTGGAAGATCAAAGAAGTGAGACAAGCTGTCAAAGACACAATCAGACAACTCTATTCTTTAGCTTCTTAACCCTTTCAATCCCAAAAGTCACCAAAGTCAAAATTCGACAAAATTTCCAAATTTTATTTTGTAAATGCTGAACTAAAATTAATGGAACCAGATGAAAGTGCTCGCAAAGAGATTCAATTTGAATGGTCACACTTCAGCATTTTGACCACTTACTCAAAAGTTAGAAGCACTTTTCAAGACTCCATCTTTCCCTTTGGGAGGGAAAGAGTTAAATGTCGTCCGGGTTTACATCATAAAAAAACTTTCATGCTATTTCAAAATAGGTCGCCTTTGTCGATCCGCGCGAAGCGATCTTTGTTTTAAAGAAGAGTAATTACCCCGACTGTGCACGCATCAGTCTCTTAAGATCTTTGATAGCGTTAGATTTGCCATCACTGTCGAAACAACTGCTACTGGGTTGGAGGTTCTAGCCAAACACTTTAGTGCCGTCTTAAGACAGAATAGGTTATCGCTTTAACTTGAGTTAATAAAAAGCAGCTTTATACAAACCCTCTCGCCATGATGTTGTTTTTATCTGAAAATTATTGTTTTATGGCCTTTTTAGCCTGTTGGTGTTTTAAGAATGTGATGCTGAGTTCAGACATTGATTTCTGTTTTTGTCACTTTCCAACTGGATGAATTGAAAGCTACAAGAGAATACAATAGTAGATTTCATTGGCAATTCGCACGCTACAATTTTGTAACGAGCACAATTTACTATCATTTTTATTTTTTACTTCAAATTCAATATTTTCATTGAGTGAAAATAAATACTGTGGTTAAAAATTTTCAGAAGGGAAAGTGGGTGAAAACGCGGAATTTTTTTTGATATAATTGTAGAAACCATGTGCATAAATTTACGCGGCCACGTGGGTGTGCAACTTTCCTTGTGCGGTTTTACAGTTCATGTTGTTAGGTAAAATAATGAGCTGTTTCATCGTCAGGGTTAAGAAACCTCTTAGTTCTTTTTTGTTTTGGCTGCAATGATTTTGCCCATGAATGTTGATCATTTTGAGGTTGCGTCTCAGAGTCTGTGGTGTATGTGTCGAATTGCATTACGGGATTGTTTTGAGGGTCGAAGGCTTCTACTATTGGCTATTATCAAGTTTAAATTTGTTCCCCAAAACAGTCCAATAATACACTAATTCAAGAGACCACCAACCAAGTTTTAAAGTGAAACCTCAAAACGGTCAATTCTATCCCGAATTCCTACCCCTGGGTCTTCGGGAATGGCTACTAGAGATCTTTAGATTCGAGGACGAGATTTGACTCAAAAGTTAACACGGTTATTTTTATTGATAGAGGTTAAGCACTCTCCGATCGCAAAGTGATAATACTCCTGACATTTGATAACTTTTTTCCGTTACTGGGACATTGCCCTAAAACCTGTAGCAGAATGACGCCGGTTATCACATTTTCACGTCAAAGTGACGCTGGTTTACGCACTCACACTATTTAGTATAAAGGAAATATCGTTCTCGTTGTCGTCTTTGTCTTAGATTCTAAAGTTTTCTACTGTCAAACAACGCACACTACCTCTGAGCGCAACTACGTAAATTTTTGTTTCCACTTAGCTACGTTTGACAGCGCAGCTCCAGACAAGAACGCGTTTGGAACAGCAGAAAGCTGAACTAACCGCAAATAACAGTGCTTTCACAAGAGAGATTAAGGTGAGTAGGAGTGTTAAAGTTTTTGTAGCTGTAATTTGGTTTAGTCTACAGCGTACAGCACTACTGAATTAGTTGAAATAGATCGTCACGCGAGCACGGTTCTTTTTTTTTACTACCTCTTAGGCTCAAATGCTTGCATGCAAGCAGGTTATATCAACTAATCTAGGTTTTCCAAATTGAAAATCTATCTTATGCCATAGTCTCAATACAAATCCCATTCTAAAACAAATTGTACTTTTCTTTTTACCTCGCACAGGAAGCAGAAGCGGAGCTTGGTCCTATCGCGGTATGTATTATCTTTTTGGTTTATCAGTTTAGACCTTGTTACATGCGAAAATGTCAAGCGGAAACTGCTAAGCAATGGCGTTGTAAAAAAGTTTTAGCAAGTATTGGCGCATGTAACAGCAGTCGAAACTTGATTTGAGAAATGCTATTCCAACTGGTGTGCTCAGCTTAGCTTAACGAAACTAGTTTATACAAGAAGCATTACATTACAGCAGTACTGCGACAGTTTTAGAAATAGAGGTTGGACTGTTTTCTTGGTGAAACTGTCTGGTAACGAAAATTTGAAAACGCTCCCACTGAACTTGTCATGTTACACGGAACAATTCTTGCTAGCACTTGTTTCAAAGCCTCTGAAGATACCTTTCGAATGAGTTGTTCCGCAAATAGTTCGTTTGTAGTGCCCTAGGGATTCAGTGTTGACTAATTTTTTTTTAATGTAGGAAAAACTTGAAGAACTCCAAACGCAAAAACGAGACGTTGTTAGTCAAAAGGAGGCCTCCGATGATGAGAACCGTAAAGTGGTTAGTGTAAATGTTCTGCGTATTTAATGTTCAACGTTCTTGATCTATTTGATTATGAATGGATAACTACAATCCTGGAGAAAAGCCATTGGGACAGTAAAAGCACATCAGCAGTTCTAAGTAAATATCCAAGTAACGTTCGGAAAGGCAGTACTGCCCTTTTTTAAAATGGTGAACCCCTCCCCCTTCAGCCCCACCCAATAGAATGTTGAAAGATCAAAGAAATTGTGTCTTGACGGTTTCAACGCTATCCATGGGGCGGAAGGGGGAGGGGGTGGGGAGGTGCATTGTTAGTCGAACGCGAATGTTTCTTTAGTGTGTGTTGAAAAGCGTTAGAACTGTACAACTGCCGCAAGGCTTTTGTCCATGATTGTAGGTACTATTTGATTTGCTTTTAATTACAGGTTTTGTCAATGGTTATCGCATTGCGATCAGCTTAATTTGTTTTTGTGGGAACATTACAAAAAAATAAACAAATTCCATCAATTCTATTAGTCAAACATTCAATCATCAACGTGGTAGCCAGAAATACGGCATAGACAAGGCAAGACCTGCTATGGCTGACCTGAGGCGATAAATGGGTAGGGGACAAGCCTCGCAGAAAATTTTCTAAACTAAAAGCTCAGAAACGCTATTCTCAGCATTTCTTGAGAAACACTAATCTCGCACAAACTGAGGATTCTTTTCCCTCTTGACAGGCTTATTGCAAATTAGGCCAACATACTTCGTGATCTTGTAAACTTTTCAAATTTTCACATTTGAAATGTTTTAAAAATCACATTTCTGCTAATGAACTTTGTGCGCTTAAAATAGTTTTTCACTGAACTGAAATGATTTCGAGAGTTTTGAGAAACGCTTGCTAGGTCAATCAATCAATCAATCAATCAATCAATCAATCAATCAATCAATCAATCAATCAATCAATAAATAAATCAATCAACCCGTTATGTGTTTGTTTTTTAACAGCTCAACGAAATTAAAACAAGAGGAGACAAAGTGCGAGAAAGAAACGCAGAAATCAAACGGTAATGTAGAATTAAGAATATACCCATTAAGGAATCTTTCTTCAATCACCAAGAGCGGCGTTATTTCCCCTCAGTTTGAACATAGTGAATAGAGTGGAATGGTCATGAAACCCGTCGGACTCCTTTGTTATATGTTTTTGTACACCTTACGGTGCACAACGTTCAAAAGCATTCCTAACATTTTGATCGTATTTCCCCACGAATTCTATCGCTGTCTGCTCTGGCAATAGCAGAAGAAGTGGTCAAGTTGATTGATATATTTATTGAGAAACGCGATTGGCTATTGGAATTGAACAGAAGAAATGTTTCGCCTATCTTTACCTTTATCTTTTTGCAACCATGGCTAAATTGAACGAGAAAGTTATTTTGATATGTCCAATTATATGACTATATTCGATCACACTTCTCATTGAATCTGTCTGGCTTCCTCAAAGTAGACTACGAGTAGTCCCCCATTTTTCCTCAGGGATAGTAGAGCGAGCGAAACGCGAGCGCGCGTGAAAATCACCCCACGCGACACGCGGCGGGGAGAGAGAAAAATGTCGCCTCTTCTCGCGTGGGGTGATTTTCACGCGTGCTCGCGTTTCGCTTGCTCTACTATACGTGAGGAAAAATGGGGGACTACTCGTAGTCTATCCTCAAAGGGCACTCATGCTGTTCTGCGCTTTTTAAGATGACCGAAGACTGACTTAATTAGTAATATATTACAAGACAAAAGAAATACGTGAGATTAAGGTATAAATACTAAGCTAAAAGATAACTACATATTGCTACATAACTTAAAATTATGATCTAGAAAAGGAGAAAAAATTCTATCCCTAAACTGACCTAATTTAATTTGGTTATATAAAGCACTCTTTAAAATATTTACAGAAGTTGTCACAGAGAATGTGCGACCACCCTCCTTCGCTCTATTGCATCTTCTAGGCAATATGTTATACATCATTAGGCTGCGAGCAGTTTTTTACTTTTTGCAATGTTACTCCACGAGTAACCTGTGCACGCGAGCGGCGACCGCGAGATGCGAGCTGCGATGACGTCGTTATTTGCAATCGCGCTGGATGGAATAACACGGACTGCAAGCAGTCTAATACATCATCTCTTCTTTGTATCAGTTCGTGGGCAGTGAAAACCCGCGAAAAAAAAAGAAAGGAAAAGAGCCTAAGAGGTCTTAACTCGACACAGTTAAATGTATTCTTGTTTTTGAATAAAAAAATCACCGATCTGCTTTTCAAAATATTTAAAAACAAATGAGATAAGTTAAATGTTTTGCTGAAGAAATTTCGCCATAATATAGTAGTGCGTATAGTGTTTTTCCCTTAAAGTTATCAATTAAGCATTTCATGCACAAATTACAACTCTTGCGCTCCTCTGTGATCTATTTTATTTCGACTCCATCTTTGACTTAACTTTCATCACTGAATATCAGAGTTTAGCCGTAGATTTCATGTTGTGTTTACTCTTCCTCATCCTGTCGGAATTCCATGTTTGTTTTCATCGTTTTTTTAATTCGTCGTTTTCTGTTTTCACCTGCGCCATGAATTCGTCCCTTTCAGAAAATCTGACGCGAGGATTTCGTTCTCGTTATTGTTTCAAAGATTCAATTTCTTCGTCACCCGGTTGATATTTTGTCGTTTTGGTCGTCTTGTCCTCGACAAATGTTCCCATTTGAACAGTTGATGTCACCCCCACAGAATTACTTCTCGACTTGGTTTGTATAACCGTTCCGAAAATTAAGACCGATATGATGTACTCGCAAGCTCTCATCAAGAACGTCAACGTATAACGTGTGCACATGGTCGTGCTGTTGATTTCCAATTCTACTAAGATGCCGTAATCACTAGCCGCCATGCAAATGCTCAGTATGAGCGAAACGGCAGAAATGGTGGGAGATAAAAAGACAAGAATGATAATGTTCTTTAACCTTCCTCCCCTTATAGAGTGGCCTAGCTGTCGCGATGATTTTAAGTTTCTCCACATTCTGTAACCCGCTATCGTGTAACCAGCACAAATTAGTATTCCCCAGATGAAGATCGCCACATACGAAGCAAAGTACCAGAATGCTCGGTCTGAATATAAGACCAGCAGATTAAATGTCAGCATAATTGAAGATAAAAAAGCAGTTATACCTAGCAACACCCAGATGTTTTGAAGCCATGGGGCGGCAAGTGAAGTTTTAGTCGTTTCTAATAGGATGAGAAGTAAGATGCTAAACGCGGACAAAGTCAGTGCCATTGAGAAACAGTCCATAAGAAGCGATGCTATGAATGTACCAATCGATGCATTGTTCATCGATATTGGGCTCCAAACTAGTGCGACTGTCTTAAGAGTCGCGGCTAGAAATAAAATGGCTGTAGTGAATCGACCGTGGTTGTTCCGTTTGTTGGGTTTAGGCCTTATGCATTGCTGAACAACCACTAGAAGACAACTCAGAGCAAGGACACCGAACAACGCAGCGAATATGTAAGTGTAACACTCCCAAGCCCAGTGATCGAGGAATTTTTGAAGACTTTCTGTTAAGGGAGATGTAGTTGATGACTTTTCGTCCTGTAGCATTGTAAAACGCTCTCAATTTATTCGACCTTCTTTGATCTCTCACCTTTCCAACTGCTGTATTTACCGAAGTGTCTGTTTTCGCCGCTTTTTTACATGCAGATGTATTGCTTTTGACGATTGTTTTAGTGTCATATATAATTGAGTTTGTTTTGTTTCTAGCGCCGGAACCTTTTGTCTAGCTTGTCGTTATTAATCTGGTCGTGGGAAAGATAATTACTAAAAAAGTCCTTCCTTTAAAAGTCTTGTTTGACAACTTCCCGCAGTCTTGCCGTGTTTGTGAGTCTTAAAACGTCAAAAACGTGAAAAGAATCTCGGTCAAATCTACTTTTTCAGGGTCTTAACAGACCTGGGGTCTTAAGTTAATTACACAGATTCGATGATTACATTCATATTCGTTTGTTTCAGCCGCCGTTTATATGTAACAGTTTTAAGTCCAATTTTATATAACCTAGCCTGCGTCGTAGACGGACTAAATCCTAGCTTGTGAACAGTGATATAGTCTTCGAGTTCTCTACGCAAGCCTCGAGCGGTAAGTCCGACTGCAACTCAGGCTGTCATAACAACGGTCTTTTGCATCTGCTCAATTGGCAGTTCACTCCTGATTCGGTTTATTTTATTTCATTTTTTTATTTGTTCTTCCCAAAAATGCAAAATGAAAACGGAAACAACAAAACTGTATATTAAGCAAAGCATTCTGTTTTTCTGTAAATTTGCAACATTGATCAGTCAAAACCGTTCGCGACTGACAACTTCAGCTGTCCAATCAATCACCGCGACCAGCTTGTTTGCTTGATTTTGTTTTTGTTTTGATTTTTTTAACGATCATAAAAAAACACATCTAATTTATGAATCAGTCAAGTACAAAATGAATTTCTACAGAGTCTTTTCACTCCCGTGGCCAGCGTCTATGCAAATTTATCGGAACAAAAGAAGGCGTTTATATACAAAAATAGAGTTCAACTCCTACATGATTGGTTAGCGGACGGACCATTAGAAAACTTATGGGGGGGCGGGGGGGCGAAGTACAAAAAAAAATACTCGCGCAAGAGAAAATTAAACGAAGAACCCTAAGAAACATTCATGCTATGACCTAAAAAAATTCCAAGGAATTTGATAACGAAAAAAAATTCCTGTGGCTCGAAAATTCCCCTCCCCCGCCCCCATAACTTTTCCGTCCCTTAGGAACACCAACATGGCCGCCGTTTCCTTGTTTTGGGACACCAATAATGCCGCCGTGACGTCGTGTGAAGACAGACGCTGTATTGGTACTATATTCAGGACTTGTGAATACTGTGGCACATTTTTGTTTGAGGCACTACAGTATTTCCTTTTTTGGGGCCTTACATTGAAGAGTCTTGATATATTTGGTCAATTTGACAAGCACTCTGGTACGCTAATCTATACCTCATCGTCTGTCTTTGTTCTGTCTACGGTGAACGTCCCCAGCTGAAGCGCCGCTTCTTCTTTCAGCGGACGACTTCGGGATTTCTTTTCAATGGCGATACCAAAGATTAAAACCATGATGGCAAAATCGCATAATTTTCGAAGAAACTTTATAGCATACCTTGACCTAATTGTCTTTTCAGCGATTTCTAAGCCCTTTAATATCCCGTAATTGTTAGCAGCAATGCAGAGATTCAGTATTAACGATGCTGCGGTTATTAAAGGTGCTGAAAGCACCAACTGGATGATCTTTTGCAATCTTCTTTCTCTCGCGGAGCGACCTAGTTGTCGCGAGGATTTTAAGTTCCTCCACATTCTTCTCCCTGCCACTGCGTATCCTACACAAATTAGCAATCCCCAGATGAAGAGGTGTATGTGCGAAAAAAAGCGCCAAAATTTTCTGTTTTTCAACAAGACCAGCAAGTTGAATGTGAGCATAATTGCTGTTAAAAGGGCCGTTATGCCAAGCAAGGCCCAGATGTTTTGAAGCTTTGGCGCGGCAAGCGATGTCTTTGTCGTTTCTAGCAGTATGAGAAGCAGTATGCTTAGTGCAGACAGCATCAAGGCCGTGGATAGGCAGTCTACGATTAGAGATGCTGCGAATATTTCATTTGGAGCATCATCAAGTACTTTTGGGCTCCAGAGTAAAGCGACGACTTTCATCGTTGCGGCAATAAACAACTGGAAAGTTGTGAATCGAACGTAAATACCGCTGCTATGTGAAGGCTGTGTCCATTGTCTAATAAGGACAACTAAACAGCTCAAGGCGAAAACTCCGAACAAAGCTACGAATAAGTAAGTGTAGAAGTCCCAAGACCAGTGATCGAAGAATTTGCGAGAACGTGACGGTGTATGATGTGTGGTTGTTGAAAGAGCCCTGGTAGTCGATTGCGCGCTGCTATTTGAGTTATCCAGTTTATCCATGCTGCGGTTTGAACACGAGGGTATTGAGATTGGACCATTTCAAATACCGAATTTGTTAAAAAATTAATGTGCTTTACTTGGCTGTTGATCATCAATTATAAAACCTGCATATTAATGTGTTATTCTCGTGTTTGTTAAATATAAACCTTAACGAGCAATGTTTGTATTAGAAAGGGTTGTTTTGAAGTTAAAACAAACGAGTTGTTCTATTGAATGGTTTTAGTAATTTTAATTTACCAAGCAGACAAGTCAAGGCAATGAAAATTTAAGACGTTACTCGGAAACGCGCCGAATCTGTCCAACCATCGCTACATGGTTAAAATCGTCCATGGTCACCTGCACGATACCTTTAAGCGACCAATAGAGGCTTTCTTTGTCAGTTACGAATGTCACTAAATAATGATTAATTTTTATTCAAACCACGTATTCAAGCGAAAAGAAAATAACGCAAATGGCCTTTTAATTATTAATACGCTTCTTGCTGGCTGCTATTAAATTTCTATTCAACAGCAACATGGGTTAATTTGAACAGTCGTTTCAGCTGCCAATTTAAACTCAAAATTTCCGTTTATAACTGACCTTCCTAAAAGCTGTTACGACGTTTAATATTTCTCAATCGCTTCAGTGGACAATTTTGATACAAAATACCGATTTTTAATAACCTGCTCTTTCATCACTGTTTGATATTCATTCAGAAAAAAACGCATAATTATTTTATTTGTTATTTCATTTATTAAATTTTATAATCTTTACCATAACCAATTTTTTTTGCTTTTGTATGCGTGCTCATTTTGTTTCCAATATTTGCTTTTGAACTAAGGCAGTTAATCTCCTGTAACATCGGCCTTTTCTGACGGACCAGAACCTACCCTTCCCAGCTAGGAAAGATTCCCTCTGCGCCTGGATACCCCGAGAAAATGTCCACTGCGTTTATAAGCGTTTTAAGTTAAGGTTGTTTTCTGTTTTCATTTCCTAAGATTTTATTGTGCTGCATGAAACATGCATGAACAATAAATGCAAATATATTTTCACTGCTAATTGTACAACGCCCGCATTTGCGCCACTTCCAGCAAGTTGCCTAGACAACTTATGACACTTGCACTAAGTTACTGTGACAACGGAGGTTTCGTCATAAAGGCCAAAATTCCCCTTTTGAAACTACTAAAAACTTGTTTGACGAATGGTAACAAAAATCTTTAAAATGATCGAACAGTGAACAGTAGTAACAGACACTCGGCTCTGAATTATGGTCAAAGTTTCAAAGTGACTTCCTTGGGAATTCAAAAATGTGTTCGTAGCTTCAGAGGTGGTCGTTTACGAGAACGGGCTCTCGTAAGCGACCAGGTGAAACGCGTATTTTACATTAGAAGGGCAGTTACTTACGAGAGCTTTTAGCCAAAGTTTGACACATGTTATTTATTACCGATACCTCATTTAGATAATGTACTACCTTAAATTTATCCTACGTGAGGTCAATGCTTGATCAATGAGGTGTTGCAATACTCGGGTCTTGACTGGAACTGTTTGCCTACAAGAGTGTTCGCAAGTAGTGCGTGGGCTGTAATTTTCTGTTCTTTTCTCGATTTTTGCAATTTTTTCGAGTTCAAAGTCAAGTATTTCATTTCACTTTCTGTAAAAACAATAAGAATACTTCAGGTGTCTCTCAATTAACTGACGCAAACAAATCCTTTTTGGAATAAAAAGCCCAATATTTCCACTTTTTTCTTTGAGTTGAAAAACGCAAGATTGCCTCTCAAACCCTAATTTCTGATCCATTAAGGTTAGCCTTCAGGCCAATACCACAGGATAATTTGCACAGCTGGTTTGTGTACCACATTTTTATTCTAATATATATATATATTTTTTATTAAACTGCCGTGCATACATTGCTAGTATATGTCACCGTAAATGTCATGTAGTTTCTTTAAATTCTAAAATTTTATGCAACGATATGATATTCCGAATGCGACGGGACATTTTCCATTTGATCATTTGAATAACAAAAATATTTAAGTTAGGAGAGTTTGGTCATATTTTTTATTTCATTTAAAATGATTTTTCACAATTGAGCAATAGGTTCTCTTTGATGAGTTTTTTTAAAAATCAATTTTATCGTTAGTTTTATTACTATTTTCTTTAGCTGCAAGCCCATTATCGCTCATTACACTACCCTAAAACAAAGGAAAATAAGATTTATAAGAAAGAAAAAATCCCAACCACTATATACATTCGGGAGTACGTCCTTCTTTCGAACTTCATTCAATGTCTCATCTATATTCACAGGATTGATCCGGATTTGCTCATTTGGCAATCTCATATTAATAATTTCGAATTTGTACCATGACTGACGTAAACAAATCCTTTTTGAAATAAAAAGCCCAATATTTCCCCTTTTTTCTTTCAGTTTAAAAACGCAAGATTGCCTTTCAGACCCTAATTTCTGATCCATCAAGGTTAGCCTTCAGGCCGCGGTTGTTCAAATGTTGGATAGCGCTATCCACCGGATAAATCATTATCCGGGGGATAACTATTGGGGAAACTAATTGCAATATCCACTGGATAGAGATTTGTCCGGTGGAAAGTGCTATCCAGCCTTTGAACAACCGAGGCCAGGCCAATACCACAGGATAATTTGCTCAGCTGGTTTGTGCACCACATTTTTATTCTAATTTTTTTTAAATTAAACTGCTTTGCATACATTGCCAGTATGTCACCGTAAATCCATAGTAGTTTCTTTAAATTCTAAAATTTCATGCAACGATATGATATTCCAAATGGGACGGGACATTTTCCACTTGGTCATTTGAATAACAAAGATATTTAAGTTAGGAGAATTTTATCATTTTTTTTTATTAATGATCTTTTACAATTGAGCAATAGGTTCTCTTTGATGAGTTTGGTTTAATTCAGTTTTATCCTTAGTTTTATGTCTATTTTCTTTAGCTGCGAGCCAATTATCGTTCATTACACTACCCTAAAACAAAGGAAAATAAGATTTATAAGAAAGAAAAAAATTGAACCACTATATACATTTGGGTGTAATTCCTTCTTTCGAACTTCACTCAATGTCTCATCTATATTCACAGGATTGGCTGAATTTGCTCATTCGGCAATCTCTTGTAACATACCGTCGACCTTTAGTCGTATTCCCGTAATTGAGAGTAAATTTTTTCACCTGCGGTCTCTCTCTTTTCACGACAATTCCAAAATTATTAGTTAACTTTGTTCACTATGATAGTCTTGTCCATGTCTTGTTCTTCCCTGTGGTGTTTACTCGTTGTGTCGTCGCTGAATGTTCCGAGCGTTATTGCCGGAGCGTCATTCACAAAGCGGCCCCTGACTTTTTTCCACACAACGATTCCAAAGATCAAAGACATTACGGCAAACTCGCCACTTCTTTTTAGAAACATGATTGCATATGTTGACCAAAACCACTCTCTAGTTACCTTTCTACCTGTGTACAAGCTGTAGTTCTTTGCGTCCAGTACAATACTCAGCACTAGCATCAGTGCAGCTAAAAAAGCTGATATAAATACTTGCCTGATAATATATTTTGATCTTGGCTCGCCCGTAGCGCGTCCTAGTTGTCGCGATGATTTTAAGTTCCTCCACATTCTGTATCCTGCAACGATGTATCCGACGCAAATTACTATTCCCAAGACGGAGAGAATCGAATTCGAAAGTAAATGCCAGATTCCTCGGAGCCTGTAGAATACTAGCAAGCTAAATATCAGTAAAATTGCTGTATAAGCAGCCGTAATACAAAGCAAAACCCAAATGTTCTGTAGCTTTGGAGCTGTCAGTGAAGTCTTGGTTGTTTCTAGAAGTATAAGAAGCAGAATGCTAAATGCGGATAGTATTAAAGCCTCCGAGAAGGACTCTATGAATAAGTCTGCCATGAAAATTTCCTTTGGCGCATCCTGTAAGAACAGTGGAATGATGAGATGTCTGAGAAATTTGAGCGTTGCAGCAAGTAGTAACTCAACTGTTATAAATCGGCCATGATTATTTCCGTTTCTTGCAGCCTGTACCCATTGCTGAACGAAAGCAATGAAAATGATAACCGCCAATGCTCCGAACAGTGTTACGAATGTGTACGAATAGAGCTTCAAAGCCCAATGATCTGAGAGTTCGTTAGGATTAGGGGATGAATTGTACATGCTCATTCGATGATACGTTGTGAAGAGTATCTCCGAAATTCGTATTTTCTGACATATTTAGAAACTATCCGGTAATTTGCCAGTAATCGGTTAAGAGAGATGTTTATCATAAGGTGAATCCATATGCTAATGATGTGTATTAAGAACAGGTAGAAAGAACCAGCTGGGAACTAGTTTTACTCAAAAAGAAACGTACGAGTCAAGACAGTAAGTTTCTTGTCAATCAAAATTATGTTTTGAGCTGGAATGGACAAGATAATTGTTAAGGATGAAGCTGTTATAAAAAACTTATTTTTGTGCCTACAAGATTAACAATAAAGGACAAATAAAGGAAAAAACACTTAGTATGGTTGTCGTGTGCTTAAAACTGGCGTTCCCCGTTGGCCATGAACGGAATCCCAAATCACTACTTTAATGGGTTTGAACGCGGTCGCTCATTTCAGCCACAAAATAGGGGAAGTAACACAGGAGGCGTTTCAATCAGTCGAGAAACAAACACTCTAACAGTCTGTTTCTGAGTGGTTAAAAAAACTTGGATTTATCAAACCACTCTGCACAATTTCCTACGATGTAAATCCCTCAAGTTTTTACAAGAATTCAGCTAAGGATTTGCTCGCGAAAACGTGAAAAGTGTTCATCACGTTTTTCGAGAAATACTTCAAGGGGTAATATATCTGCCCTGGGGCAATGAATGATTTTCCAGTAATCGGAGACTTAGTTATACGCACAGGTTTATGGGATCGCCAGGGGGCAAACAGTGCAAGTATCTCTTTATTAAAAACTCATGATCTGACTCCACGTACTAAGAAAATTCAGATATGACGTCATGACGGGAAAAACGTGTGATATAATTACAGCAAACGGAAATACGAAATCAGTGTAGGTACAAAGATTGGCAGAATAGCTACGGTTTATTAATCGGCTGCTGGCAAGGTACAGTTTTCTAAATATGCCAGAAAACAAGGATTTTGGAGATACTTTGTTCGCAAACGCACCCTCGAACAGGTACAATCCATCCTCGAATCCTGACGAACTCTCAGATCATTGGGCTTTGAAGCTCTATTCGTACACATTCGTAACACTGTTCGGAGCAATGGCGGTTATTATTTTCATTGCTTTCGTTCAGCAGTGGGTACAGGCTGTTAGAAACGGAAATGCTCACGGCCGATTTACAACAGTTGAGTTACTACTTGCTGCAACGCTCAAATTTCTCAGGCATCTCATCGCTCCACTGTTCTTACAAGATGCGCCAAAGGAAATTTTCATGGCAGCCTTATTCACGGAGTCCTTCTCGAAGGCTTTGATGCTATCTGCATTTAGCATTCTACTTCTTATACTTCTGGAAACGACAAAGACTTCACTGACAGCTCCAAAGCTACAGAACATTTGGGTTTTGCTTTGTATTTCGGCTATTTTTGCAGCAATTTTACTGGTATTTAGCTTGCTAGTATTCTACGGGTTGCGAGAAATCTGGTATTTACTTTCAAATACGATTCTCTTCATCTTGGGGATAGCAATTTGTGTCGGATACATCGTTGCAGGATACAGAATGTGGAGGAACCTTAAATCATCGCGACAGCTAGGACACGTTACGGGCGAGCCAAGATTAAAACATATTATCAGACAAGTTTTTATATCAGCTTTTTTAGCTACCCTGATGCTAATACTTGATCTCCTGATGGCTGCTAAAATCTACAGGTTGTACACACGCAGACAGGTAACGAGGGTGTCGTTTTGGTCAACATATGCGGTCATGTTTCTGGAAAAAACTGTCGAGTTTGCAGTTATGTCTTTGATCTTTTGGATCGTCGTGTGGTCAAAAGTCAGGGGCCGCTCTGTGAACGACGCTCCGGCAATAACGCTCGGAACATTCACCGAATGTACTCTGAGGAATCACAAAGGGGAAGAAAGGACAAGATGCAGAGAAGACTTTGAGGGGACACAACTTTAATAAATAATTTTAGAATTGTCAAGAAGACAAAGCCGAGCACTGTAAGTGTGGTACCAGAAGTGTAGGCGGCAAAATCACTTAAAATTGTGAGAATAAGGTAAATGTTGACATCACGCTAACGGTAGAATAACATTAAATTCGAAGTTGTTGTGAAAATGCTGAATAAAGATTTAAAAACATTAACTGAAGACTGAAAGAAGAACGTACACACAAGGTGTATGTTGGGTTCCTTTTTTCCTTTCTTTTTAAATGTCTTTTTCCTTCGTTTTTGGGTGTAGTAGTGAGTGATTAACTATGAGTTTGAATCCAAAGAGAATAAAATTAACAACAAAATGCACGTCAAAGAGAACCTTCATTGTATTGCACCAATTGAGAAAAATCATTGAAAAAATAACTTTTGTCATTCAAATGACAAAATGCCATTGATAAATGTCCCCTTTCATTCTGAATTTAATATCACTGCATAAAATTTTAGAATTTTACAATTTTAGTACATTTACAGTGACAACATACACGGATAATTTATTCAATGTAGTTTAATTGAAAAATAAAGGCTAAATGAAAAATCCGCTATGTATCCCTAAAGGGCTATCATAACGGATCCTGAACAAGGGTCTGCAAAGAATTCTTCTGTTTTTCAAACTAATAAGAAAAAAATGGACATACTGGGCTTTCTATTCCAAACATGATTCTTGAGGGTCTGTTAATTTGAGCGACAAGTTTACTGTCCGTGTTGTTTTTTTACAGCAACTAAAAAAACATACTTTGTACCTGACAACTATTTACAAATCGACGACATCTAAGGTGGTTGTCACTTTTCTTCAAACAGAATTTTAGTTTCTAAAGTGACCGATGGATTTTGTTTTAACAGGAGGAAAAATTTAAGATGGGCTTTTAAAAGGAAATATGGCTCTTGATTTATTCGTTTTACTCAGCTGCTTTCTGTTCGTAATTGAACTGGTTCGCGTTCACCATTTTACGTATGTGTGACCGTAGATCTATCGACATGTTAGAGTAGTTTGTAAAATGTGGGTGAAGGAAAATTTCAAAGTTATGCCGTCAGTTGCGTCATTTAAAACATAGATAAAAATGAGTTTTGCTTTATTCGTCATTGATTTTGAGCAGTTACGTGAAAGGTTCTACTGCTGGAACTTCGTTCTTGAACGCTTAGCCGAGTTGTACTGTTGGGTGCCTTCCCTACCAGGACTGCTGCAGATGTGTTTATTCGTCAATACCACTTAAACGCATAAATTCATAATCAACCATAGGGAAACTTCCCACTAGCGGTCATCCTCGTTCACGAATAATATAGGGCTATGAAATAAAAGGCGCGATCACTTGAGCAGAGTAGGCGCGGTTTGTCGAGATGACTTTCCAAAGTCTTTCTGAAGTCAGGCTCTAGTACCAGAGGGAGTTGTTGTTCGAGTATTTCGTATCACGTAAGGCAGTCTTGGACTCTACAGGGCCGCATTCTTCAAAGCAGGGTTAAGATAACTCAGGGCTAGTGGGGAGTTTAAATTCAGATAAGAAGGCTTAAAAAGCAAATTCTGTCTAATTCTTTTTGCCTGCATTGTAATGATTTGATGCTGTATAAAGAATAAAGAAAGTTCTCCGATAAAATGCTTTTGAACAGCCGGGCCGAGTTGTTCAAAGCTGGGTTAAGATAACCCAGGGTTAGTTCGAGATTTGAATTAAGATTTGAAAGCTTAAAAAGCATTTCAGTTTTAATTCTTTTTGTCTACAAGTTGATAATTGGAAGCTCCTAAAATAACAGAGAAATTGTCCGAGAAAATGCTTTTGAACACAAGAAAAGGAAACTAGGGTTAAATTTGACGCCAGGTTAAGCGCTAATCGGCCTTCGAACAACTGGACCCAGAAGAATAAGAAAGACAGATTAAAATGTTATCCCGGATTAGCGGTAATTTAGCCTCCCCCGCAGGCGTTTTTGGGCCGAGTTCTTCGAACAGGATTCCGAATGCCATTAACAAAAATTTCCTGTATTCTGGAATTCGGACCTTACATGAGACAAGGATTCACACTGGAAGAAATCTAGAACTTTGATATGTTGTTGGTCTTCCTAGTATTTCCTCATTTCATCTTCATCAATGTTTCACTGCGTCAGCGGAGCTTTGCCTCCTCCGCAATTGCAAAGTAATTTTAAGTTGTGCATTGCTGTCGTCTCGGCTTCTTTCAGCTTATTTCTCGCTTGTTAGTGTCGTATCTTCCACGAAAGTTCCCAATTGTACTGCTGGGCCATCATGCACAGAACGGCCTCTATGTTTAGTGGACACGACAATGCCAAATATCAAAGCCATCATAGCAAACTCACAACTTCTTTTCAGAAATATCAGTGTATACCTTGACCATATTGTTCTGCTAGTTATCTGTCTGTCTGCAAATAATAGGTAGTCTTTAGCGGCCAACGATTGATCTAGTGCTAGCATCAGCAAAGCCGTAAAAGCTGCCAGAAATGCTTGTTTTACTATGTATTTTAATCTCAGTTCGCTCCTAGACCGACCAAGCTGTCGCGAGGATTTTAAGTTCCTCCACATTCTATATCCTGCGACAGTATATCCGATGCAAATTACTAATCCCCAAATGAAAACAACGAAGTTGGAAATTAAAAACCAGATTTCTCGACTTCCGTACAGGACTAGCAAGTTTAATGTCAGCAGGACTACAAGAAAAACAGCCGTTATGCCAAGCAACATCCAGATGTTTTGGAGCCTTGGAGCGGCCAATGAAATCTTTGTTGTTTCTAGAAGTATGAGAAGCATAATACTGAACGTAGATAGCAACAAAGCCTTTGAGAATGTCTCTATTAGCAACGATGCTAAAAAGATTTCAGTAGTTGCATCGCCTAAAGATGTCGGCGTGCAGAGGTGGCCGATGACTTTAAGTGTTGCAGCAAGGAATAATTGAACTGTTGTGAAGCGACCATACATATTCCGGCTTGGAGAGTCTTGCATCCATTGTCGAATAAAAGCAACGGCACAAATGACCGCTAAAGCACCAAACAGGGTTGTGAATAGGTACGAGTAGAGATCCCAAGCCCAGTGATTCGGTATTTTGTCAAGATTGCGAGATAGAGTATAGGAGGTCGGAGATATGTTCATGGCGTGCGAAACAGCTGAAAATGCGTTCATGCTGTTGCACTTCGTGTCGCAGCGTTTGCTTTGTAAACAGCTTATACCTTAGTCCTAGTTACAAAGCCGTGGGTTTTGCATAAATAATTACCATTTCAAACCCCTATTGAATTGCATTGAATTATTTCTTTACACTGTAAATTTCTATTAGTAAGTGCTTTCTTTGCCGTGACAATTTTTCCTTTGTTATCGGACTGTATTCTTTCTACATTGAAAGTCAATCCAACCATATATGGGTTTTGTCTTTTTGTTTTTGTTTCTGCCTTGTTTGTTTGTCGGCTCTTAAAGTTCGAGCCAATCTCGGAACCCGCCCGTCCACATGATCCGGATATTTTTGAAAGGCGTTATAGTTTTTTTTTACAAATAGGCCGTGGACGAACGAGCGATTCACTGATTTCGTGTGGTTTCAAAAATATTCGGAATCGTGTGAACGGTGCTTCAGTCTCTACGTTTTAACAGATACAGATACTTATAGGGGACTTGTGTCGATTTGCTTTAAGCGCCGGATACCTTAAGCGTCCGTAATACAATGTAATAGTATAAAAGACTAACGCTGCTTTCATATCTGGGAAATACGCCCGACGGATCGTCGCCTAGTGGACTCAGTCTGGTGTTGACCAGAGTCAAACAAAAGAATTTTGCAAAAGTAATCCAATTATTTTGAAGCTAAGGAGTAAAATTTTTTATTCTTTAAGTAATATATCAATCATGAAACGCAGTGTTTGATCACCAGATAAAACACCGAGAAGAGAGTTGAAGATACGACGCCCAGCAGAGTATTTTGACGAACTTCGAGGTGTTTCATGTGGTGATGAAACACTGTGTCGAATGCTTGATATTACTTCTCAAACAAAATGGTTTTAGAAGGAGAAATTAAGGATTCAAAAAAGAGCAGTTTTTCATCTGATTTCCAAACACTCATTAAACATTTATTAAAATTTTCTTGTATTTCCTTTTTGAATTATCAATGAGTTTGAGAAGTTAATTATTATTATTTTTTTTTGCTGAATTTTTTTTATTGAATTAAAGACGAGTTTTACAATGTTACTTAAGAATAAACATTAATTAAATGAATCAAATTATACAATTCTACTAAAAAAAAGAAAAAAAAGAAAAAGGATAACAATAACAACGATAAATATATGTATATATTACAACAACGACGATAACAATAAAGATGCCTACTAATTTTAACGAACCTACGTGTATCAACTACTACAAAGTGCATTAGTTATCTTCTCCCACTTTTGATAATGAAAAAGAAGTTTCTTTTTCTCCCTGGCGATATGGAGCTCAATATTGAAGAAGTTAATTATAATACCAGTATACGCACCAACCTAAATTGCTTAGATGTCGATCAGCTGCACCTACTACCCTGCAGTTCTCATTGAGAAAATGCGTAGCCGACAATCATTTTATTAATTTGTTTTTTTTTTTATGTTCCAGGTACGTGAGTCTGGGAGGAGATTCAGCTTTACATGAGAACGCATCTCGTTTGAAGGAGTTGGAGGGACGAGCTCAGAAAACAGAGGAAGAAAAAGAAGCCGTTTCTAGTGAAATCGACAAGCTGAAGGAAGACATCGCTAAGCAACAGGTTAGTTAACCCTTTAAGTACCAAGAATGACCAACATCAATATTCTCCTGACGATGTCAATTTAAGATAATAGGTTAGGAGAATTAACAGAATGATCATCTACTAAGGGAAAATGCTGTGATCGTTTCTCAATTTTATTTATATATTTATTTGTACAGGAACATTTGGTTCAGCGTGGCTAATTTAAACACAGTCCGGTAAAAACAAACAAACAAGCGAACGAACAAAATATAACCAAAGAGAATCAATATACAGAGAGTGGCGCACTAAAAGTACGTAGACACGCGACAGCCTGGCCCTTGAAATGCCAAGGACTTGAACGTAAATTCTCTCAACCAATTCTTTAATGAAATGTAACTATGGCGATCAGTCTGGAGAATTTGTATTGAGACCTTGGGGCTTAAGAGATTAATAATTTACGTGTAGTGTAAATTTTTCGCCTTGCTCATACGTCTGTACTTGTGCCATTTGTTTATGTCTCCTGTAGATTCGTGCGCGTGAGCTTGAAGATAATATGCAGCTGAAAAGCACTCAAGAAGAGATTCAGAACATCGAGAAGAAAATAAACGATGTTAAGAGAGAACTCAAAAAGTTTGGAGAGCACCAGGACCTTGTGACGTAAGAATATGGGTGGGGGGGAGGTTCTTGTTCAAATGTTATTGCTATTATTTCTCCAATTTGCCATTTTTTACGTTTTGAACTTCTTTCCAATTTTCCATTTTTTTCGTTTTTAACTTCTTGCCAACCATTTCACGTCGGTTTATTTCGTTCTCTTCTAGTCAGAGGCAAGATCTACAGCAACAGTCTGATGAATTAAGGAAGAACGTAAGTTGTAAAGTCACACGCTTTTTTGTATTAATTCACATTTTCACTGCTTGCCTCTGATCTGTTTTATTATTATTATTATTATTATTATAGAAAGCGCATTATGAAGGGCGGCTGAGAGGCTTCGACGATGAGGTGAAGAGATGTCAGAGGGAGCTGCGCAGTGACTTATACAAAAATGCTGACGAGAAGCACAGACAGCAGATCATTGCTCTGAAAGTATGTAGTAGTAAAGAGTAGACAAGCTCGCAAATTGTCAGTTTTGAAATGTTTATGGATCTCCAGAGGTAGATCTTCTAGTTTCAGTTAGTTAACGGTAGTGTAGCCTCCGCGTGAACGAGGTTAGAGGTTTGGGCGAATTCTTTATAAATGTTTTTTGTCCCAGGCTCTTTAAAGTGAACAAATCTATGTTTTATTGTTGTAATTTCTGATGGACTCACTTGTACCCTGGGTACCAGAGGCTTTTCATGCACGGTTTCCGGTTTCGGTCAAGTCCTTAAAAAAGTGACCCGCGCGAAAAGTTTTTTCTCGCGGCTTCGCCGCTCGTCTCTTCGACCTTCGGCCGAAGACGTGTCGACGGCCGACTAAGCTCCTCGTCAAACGCGAGAAAAAACCTCTGGTACCCAGGGTAACTCACTTGGTAAACCTGTTCTTTCAGACAACTGAAATGGCAAATGCAGACCTTGAAAAATACTACAAAGCACTGGACGGGTAAGGCTATGACACATTTAAACAAAAGTTAGTTAGAACTTTGAGAGTTTCAGTGATCAACCGAATTTTGCTGAATCGCCTGAACACTTTCGATTGATTCTTCAGGGCTATCATGCGTTATCACGGCCTAAAGATGGCAGAGATAAATAAAATCATCAAAGAGTATTGGATCAACACTTACAAGGGGAATGGTAAGTTCATGTCCGTCAGTTTCAACAGAAACAGACAAACTACGGGATGAACGTATGTAGGTTTTCTGCCACAGACTCAAAAAGCCATAGCATCTTGTACAGGAAGACACACGTTGTTTCCACAATATATAGTTTCATCTGAATGGCTGGGTCACTACTAAAAAGTTTATTCATCTTCTTATTCCAACTGTTAACCCTTTAAGCCCCAAGATCCAAATACAAATTCTCCAGACCGATCTCCATACATTTCTTTTAAGAATAGTTGAGAGAATATGGTTCAAGATCAAAGTATTCTCCCTTTGATCATCAATTTAGTAATTCTCATAACCTTTACTCTTGTTGATCTGCTGATGTTGTCAGGAGAAAATTGATATTGGACACTCTGGGGACCTAAAGGGTTAAAGCAAGTAGAGTGACAGTACCAGAAAGTCCAGATTAATAAGATAAGAAGCAAAAGCCGTTGCTTATCGCGACTGTCGAAGTCGTTCAAAATAGGATATATCTAGCACGGAGTGTTTAATGCGATACTCAGAAGCAGAGAAGTAGATTTGATATTGGATAGAACGCTTCCTGTCTTAAACCCTTTCGACTCTTAAACCACGTTATGGTGTAAGTATGTTGATGAAATCATCTTAAGCTGTTACCATTCAATTAGCAGACAATTTGGCAGAATTTTAATACACTGCTTATAATTTCCTAGGATTTTACAAAACGCAAAGTCGATTTGTTTATTTTTTAAATTGTTTTTTTTTTTACTCATTATTAGTAGTGGTAGGGTTACAATGCACTTTCAAATCTCCTTTAGTTTGTCATGTATACGAGTTTATCATACGTCTCTATCTATCTCATGCAGATATCGACACCATTGAAATTCGGTCAGATGAGGAGGAAGGAAGCGGAGCATCGAAAGCACGACGGACATACAATTACAGGGTAACCTATGCTTGTTGCCTGACTTGTCTTATTTACTCCTCTTTCGTTTACAACATTTTTGATCCACTGAACCGGAAAAGACGTTGACCTCTTCGGTCGGAAGTATGTAAGTTAGCACAGGTTGCGAACTACTAAGTACGATAAGCACAGTCATATTTAAGGTTTCAGCCAGATTTACATTGATATCCAAAGTTTTCAGTTGATCATCCACGGCTTCGACTTAACGTGATATAATTTAACTGTAAAAATCACGCGCCATTTTCTTGACCAATCAGAAGTAAGATCCAAAGGTTATTAGGACAGACGTTTTCCCGCGCTTTTGACTGTCAACGAAAATAGCATCAAGTTCTGATTGGTTCATTTCAGTTGCTGCTTGTATAATGATTGGTTCTCTTGGTTTACTTGTACTATCACGTGATCTGAAATGAGAAAACAAGCATACAAGCTGAAAAGGTCTCTTATGATTGGCTCTTTTGAGTATTTGCTCGTGTTTTGATTGGTTCATTTGAACTTCTGCACCTATTAACGACCGGCTAAGGTAATCGCATTGTACATGATTTAACTACTACTCTTAACTATAACCCCTCCGCCATTAGGTTGTTATGCTTAAAGGCGACACTGCCCTGGACATGAGAGGACGCTGTAGCGCTGGACAAAAGGTGTGTATTTTTGTCGTATTTTGGGTCCCCCCTCCCCGCACTAATGCTGATGCCTTTACTAAGAAACCTAATTTACTTGTATTTTCGCCCTGCATTCTCAGTTGATTCAATAACTGAGATGAAAACGCCCTCCGAAAAGGAGTCATTTGAAACGAAGGTGTAAGAATGCTCATGTCATTTGTATGCGATTCAGTTTTCCAGAACGAAATTTTTAAAATGAAAAATCCATCAGCACATGCACCTACTGCTACCAGCCTTTAATTTATCGTATGAGTTTGTAGCGCTTTATCCGTTAACGTTTTTTGAAATAATGGAAATAAGGGAAACGCACAAAATCAGCGCGAGAGTTTTTCCGTGGACTGATGTAGCACCGGTGTACAGCGCAATAATCGGCTAGTAAGCGGTGGGTATACACGAATGACAAACACTTTGAAATACGTCGCAAGTAAATATGTTCCCATCTGAATCACTTGAGAAATTTTTTTCAGTGATTAACTAAAATAAACTTTGTTAACATTGTTTAATTTCAGGTCCTGGCGTCACTGATTATCAGATTAGCCCTGGCGGAAACATTTTGTTTGAACTGCGGTATTCTTACGCTTGACGAACCAACTACCAACTTGGACGAAGACAATATCGAAAGTTTGGCCAACCAGTTGGCTTCGTAAGTCTTCATTTGTTCTTCTTGAAGTGAGATAATTTATCAGTTGCAAATTAATACAAACGGCTGTTTCTGTTGATGTTGTTACGTCGGTTCTCATTTAACCGCCGCCTTGTTAGCTCAGGTAAGCGCCGGTCTACTGTCGAGCGGGAGACCGCTGGTTCAAACCCCAGCCGGACCAACACTCAGGGTATTCAAATAACTGAGAAGAAAGTGAAATGACACTGCAAACGGTTATTTCTATTCTTCTGGGATGTGGACGATAAACTGTAGACCCCTTCTCAGAACTCCGCACATATAATTAATTCTATGAGACGGCACTGTTTGTAAAGAGTAAGGGATGTTAAATCCCTGGCATGGTGGTCTGTCTTAATTTCACACTCAAATTAGGGGACACCTTTGGGACCGGCACTAAGTGTCCGTCTAAGAGTGATGTTCGTCTTATCGAGAGTCGAGTAAAGGGAGTAAAAAAAGGCAGGGACCAACTCTAGGTGTCCGTTTATGGAGGTGTCCGTTTTAAGGCAGCCGACTGTACTTGCAAACTGCACCATAAGCAGTCTAGAGTCCCCCAACTGGTGTTGTAAATTTTCCCTTGAAAGCAATTTAGCAAGTGAAGTATTTTTTCCTTTTATTTCACAGAGTTATCAGGACTAGACAACTTCAGAGGAATTTTCAACTCGTGATCATCACTCATGACGAAGAGTTTGTAGAGAACCTTGGCAGAGCGGACTTCGTGGACTATTACTTCAGGATCTATAAAGACGAGAGGTAAGATGACAATGATCGTAACCGCCTTTATTCCCTCCGATCTTTCACTGCTAGTCTTCAGGGCTGTTCACACTTGTGTGCCTAAGCAATAATTCCTTGTGTTGTGTTGACACCTTGTGTACCAGACGTGTACATATTTACTCCATTTTGCCCTGCCAGACGCCAGTTTGAAACGGGAGCGTAGCAGACAAAAATTAGCGGTTTGCTTCGGAATTAACGGAAGACCTGGACACAAAGGGGCCCAAATACAAGGTCTAGAGCTTTACTGATCGTCGCGCTTTTGTTCATCCGACTCGAAGAGTCAGGTCAGTCATCAGTCTTTTGTGAGGCGTATAAGAACCAATTAGTGACCATCCCTAATTTCTGTCTTTAGGCAACACTCGCTTGTAAATTGAAGTCCTGCTCTGTTATGTTGGCCTTTCCAAGCCCATGTGATTAATTCTATTTCTTTACTAGACATATTTAGCTCGTATGTTTTGTTTTCCCAATGAAAGTCACAGAGGAATTTGCTACTGTGTCTTTTCATAAATTATGCGTACATGTGCAAATGAATAAGACGAAATCTGAATGAAACAGTTCTCTGGGGTATTACCACATGACCTTCATTAGGGTTTTCCGATTTAGCGGAAGTTCTGCGGAAGTGGAACGAGCCAGTTTCAAATGAGTTAAATTTCTAGCCTTTCTCTACGTGAAATTCGTTTAACGCCGACTATATGTAAGTAAATTACTGGGTTGTTTATACCTTGCACTTCACGAGACCAACTGCAGCGCTCAACTTTATATTATTCTTGCAAAGTTGAATATGATTCGATTCACCAAGAAAATCAGGATTCACGGAAATAATTTCCATGGCGAACTCTTTAGAGTCTGAGGCTGAAGAAGACGAGAAAAAAAAAATGAAATATTCCTCTTCAGCCCCCAACAAATCACAGCACGTAAATAGTGCAAGCAAAAATCACAATACACCGTGAAATTCGGGCTTTGCACTCTCAGAAACAAAGGTGTTTAAGTATGGAAAGTGATAATGTTTCAAATGCTGGGTTTTTATACATAGTGGGAACTCATGGAATTTCGCGCCAGTGTCAAAAAATATTTGCATTCGCTTAGTAGTTGGATTGCACCCATAACTATGATTGCACATTCTGCGGTTTGTATAAATTTATTGAGCTTTTGCCATAGTTTTCAACCCTCACCCTAACTACCCACAAAATGCACATAGTCGAAAAATAATGCAAATGAGTCCTCTTGTAAAAAAAATTACCAAGCATGTTCGTCCTCATTTACCCTTTTACAAGCCAGATATTTTGCATAAACAATGACATCATGCAAAGATTTACTTATAACAAAAAAATCGAGATGACCTTTTACAGTATAGTGGCACCAATGTCACATCTCGGAAAAAGGGCTCAAACTTCCGCTAAATCGGAAAACGCTATTGGGAAAACAAAACATGCAAGCTAAATTGGTGCAGATAGATTAGTAATTTTTGCAAATTAACTGATAGTTACATATTGCCTCCGTCAGTCCAATTATTCGGACGAAACCTAAGACTGTTGAATTCCCTAGGGTAGATTCGAAGCAATGGACAACTGTCATCCGTGGCACAGACCAGTGGGTTCCGTTCCTCGCCCCTACTTATTCACTTCTGCCACTCTCCGAATACCTGATCACACTGCAACAAAGTGTGGTACAAAGTCTATTCGATATGTGACGCTTCCCTTTCGAGATCGGAAGCGCAGCGCACCTTCGCTCCGTAAAAGAAATCGCGCCGAAATCACCGCTCTTACCTTATTATAGGAAATTAACGCTCCATGAAATTAACGCGAATCGTTAAAATTCGCGTTAATGTAAGTCGCGTAAATTTTGTTGAGCGTTAATTTCCGCGACGTTAATTAAGTGCAGCGTTAATTTCGGCGCTCTTAATTTCCAGTATTTCAACCTCAATTTTGGAACCTGTCCAGACATTCTTGACACCTAAAAACATTAATTACAAGCTTTCTTTCTTTCCATTTACCCTCTATTTTTCATCTTTCACAAAAGCTAAGGCGAATGTTTACAATATTTCGAGTTCATCCTTCATCGTTGTCGCTGTCAGAAGAAATGTCATCTCAGTTTTGGTCAGTTTTGAATTTTTTTGCATGCAGTGTTGAAATAAATGTGTTCCAGTTGTCACTACCAACTGTGTCTTAATCGCGTTAATTTCCTTTATTATGAAACTCTAACTCCTGTTTCGCGTTAATTTTTTTTATTCGAAAGTCGTTTTCCATTAAATTCGAGTTAATTTAAGTCGCGTTAATTTCCAATACCTTAATTTCATGGAGCGTTAATTTCCTATAATAAGGTATATGTAAACAGAAGCCCTATCCGATATGGTTCTCGTGCCGGCGTAAGAGCTATTCGGTATAGTCTAATATAGTGTGAACATAGCTTTAAAATGAACGCTCAAGTCAGTCTCCTTCTTGATACAAAAACAGACCTACTGGTGGTAACTGGCTTTGTTCACTCTTTCTTCCAGTGGTTACTCGCAGATCGTGAAACAGAGTGTGGCTGCGTTACATCGAGAGGAGGAGTCTCAACTTGACTGATGTCCTGTTTCTTTTTTAAAAATTTAAAACTTTTTGAGGTTGACATAAAGTGCCGGAGCAAGTAAAGGAAGTTCCCGAATGTCTGTGTTGTTATCACGTTGTTGGTATAGGAAGAAGATAAGGAGGCTCTCCTTGGATTAGCATTAGTTTTGTTTTTGTTGTTGTTGCTGTTTTAAATTCACAAAAAAATAATCACCTTTTTAATATATACATTGAACGTCCGGTTATTACTAGACTGCGAGCAGTCTCTCTTTTTTCTTTAGATCTCGTGAAGGAATTGAACGCGCGCGCGAGCGTCGAGCGAGACGCTAGAAACGAGGGCAGCAGCCTCTCGCGCCCCAAGTCACGCACGTGATCATTTGCGTGTCTCACGCGTTTTGCTTGACGGAATCAGAAAGAAGAGCAGGCTGCTTGTAGTCTAGGTTTATTACATATTGGAATATCATTGACATTATGGCTGCGGCCGCACTTGGCAAGTTAACCGGATTAGTTTTGGAAAAACCCGGTAAAAAATTCTTCACCGGCCGGACTCAATTTAGACTTTCACAAAGTTATTCAATGTTGCTCGGTTTTGTCTGTTCATTCGCTTGGGTCCCTCACAACGCTCGCCTCAGAGTGACTGACAAAGTTTGACCCCGTATTACTGTAAAAAGAGGTTGACGTCTTAAAAGTTTTAACTCAATTGTGTTTATAAGAAAGAAAAGCTGAACTTGGGGCGAAAAAAGTAAGTTTCTAAGCGGTTGTGCATGCGTGCATGATAAAGCCAAAATTTGGAACATTCTCACGCGTAGGCGGAGATGATTGACTG